CTGGTCAGGTTGGAGGAGACCTGCGCCAAGAGCAAAGTCGGAGGCGTCAGTTTCGACACGAAGGGCTTCTCTGGGTCAGGGTGAGCAAGGATGGGGGCGGTGGTGAATGCTTTCTTCAGGTTCTCAAAGGCGGTGTTTGCGGCGGGTGTCCAGGCGTACGGGATGTCTCTCCGGGTCAGGGCTGTGAGCGGGGTAGCGATCTTGGAATAACCTTGGATGAATCGGCGATAGAAGTTGGCAAAGCCGAGGAACCGCTGGATGCCTTTGACATTCTTGGGAGATTCCCAATCCGTGATGGCAGCGATCTTCTCGGGGTCCATCTGGATGCCTTTCTTGGAGATGATGAAGCCTAGGAACCCGACGGATTCGCGGTTGAATTCGCACTTCTCTGGTTTGGCGTACAACCCATGCTGTCGAAGGCGGGACAAGACTTCGCGGACATGTTTGGGGTGATCTTTGGGGTTCTTGGAGAATATCAGGATATCGTCAAGGTAGACGACAACAAACACATCGAGAATGTCGCGGAAGATGTTGTTCATCAGGTACTGGAAGACGCCAGGAGCATTGCTGAGTCCAAAGGGCATGACATTGTTTTCGAATAGGCCATAGCGGCAGCGGAAGGCGGTCTTCCATTCATCGCCCTGGCGCATGCGTAAGAGGTTATAAGCGCCGCGGAGGTTGATCTTGGTGAGACGGCGGGCGCCGCGCAAACAATCCATGATACCGTTGATCAGGGGCAGGGGGTAGCAATCCTTCACCGTGATGCTGTTCAGGCCTCGATAATCGACGCAGAGGCGGAGAGAACCGTCCTTTTTCTTCACGAATAAGACTGGCGCACCGGCAGGGGACTTTGAGGGTTTGATGAATCCTTTGGCGAGGTTTTCTTCGAGGTATTCGCAGAGTGCCTTCATTTCTGGTTCGCTGAGGCTGTAGATCGGGCCGAAAGGTGGCTGCTTGCCTTCTTCCAGATCGATTGGACAGTCGTAGGGCCGGTGCTCGGGGAGAGTGTCAGCATTTCTCTTTTCGAAAGTCTCGATACTCGGGGGGCAGGAAGTCTTTGATGTCTTTCTCGGGTGTCGGGGGGTTACTGGGGCTAGGCGAGGCTGGGAGATCGGGTTTCGCAGGGTTGGCGTAGGCAACAAAGACCTGGTCATGCCTTGCTGCGACCTGGAAGGCTGGGGCGGAGATGAACGAGACTCGGAGCGGCGTGGGAGCCGGTTCTGGGGTGCTGGAGCGAGATACCTTGGGTACTGGAATCGACCATGTTTCGTCGGCGGGGACTTCATCCTGGGGGATGCGGATCAAGGGCTCGGGGGTTCTGGCGGGTGCTGGGCTCAGGGGTGCTGGAGAGTTGTCCCAATTCGCGAATTCATGGTACAGACAGTCGCAACGGAAACCGACCGAAAGGTTCTTGAAGTCAAGGTTAATGTCGTGGAGGCGGAGCCAGGGGAGACCAAGGAGGATTGGAGCATGGGGTGATTTGGTGACATGGAAGACGAGTTCTTCGAAGTGGTTGTCGACCCACATGCCTACTGGTTGGGTGTGATGGGTGATTGGCCCAGCAGAGCTGGGTTGACCGTCAACGAGTTCGATCGTCAGTGGACACTGATGCGGGATTAGGGCGATGCGGTGTTTGCGGGCAAAGTCTCTGTCGATGAAGCAGGACAGGGCACCATTGTCGATCATGACGGAGGTAGGTATCGGGGCACGGGTGGATGATACCATGATGGTAACGGGGTAGTTGAAGGGTTCGGCAGGACCCAGCGCAAGCATGGCGCGTGGGTTAATTTCGGAGTTTTCGACATGAACGGCGGCTAGGAGGGTTGTGTCGGCTATAACGGAGTCACGAACCAGGGGGGTGGCCTCTCCCGTTGCAGGAGCTGCGAGGTTAGGAGGCCCAGAGGAGTGTGTGTTGTCCAGTCGCTGGGGCTTTACTGCAGCTGGACCTTGGGAAAACCCTGTTCCGTGGAGGTTTCTTTGATGTCGATGTTGGCGGAACGGGTGGTGGTCTTGTTCTTGGCCGGGCAGGCCTTTGCAATGTGCCCCGCGCCACCGCAGTAAAGGCAGAGGCTGTTGGAAATGCGGCGTTGGCGTTCCTGAGGGCTCAGAGGGCCGCGGGGACGAGCGGCGTCAATCTGCATAGGCTCGCTGTGGTCGACAGTGATGGTAGTAGTAAACGAGGTATGGGGAACCGGGAAGGTCTGGCGGCTTCTGTTTCGCTCCAGGCGGCGCTCAAACAGCCGGTTATTGCACTGGATAGCCTGCTCCATCACCACATCAATGGTGGCCGCAGGGGGCATCGTGAGCATCAGGTCTTTGACGTCTTCTTTGAGGCCACGGCGGAAGGTAGCAATCAGGGCCTGGTCGTTCCAGGAGACATTGCATTGTAGCTGGCGGAACTCAGCGACGTACTTGTCAACCGCCAATGTCAAACGCCAATGTCAATGTCAATGTCAGTGTCAATGTCAGTGTCAATGTCAATCTCAATGCCACTCCCCCTCTCTCCTCTCATTTCGCGAATCCTCCCGCAATATCGCCACTCCTCCTCTCCCCTCTCATTTCGCGAATCCCTCATTCGCCGCTCCTCCTCTACCCTGTCCATCTGTGAGCCAATCTCCGGCCATTTGTCGACCCCCCCAGTACTTCTTCATAGCCAGCAGCTGTAGCAATGCTCTCTACGCTCGCCACGCACGCTCTAGGAGCATTGCTGGCGCCCCCCCCCCCCCCCCCAGTCCCCTCTTGTTGTTGTTGCTCTATGGCCTGCTGGGTTGCCTATCGATAAATAGCCGGCCGCTCTTCGTCCATTCCCTTCCTCCCCAGCAGATCAACACCAGTTCTTCTCATCTCCTGTTCTAGTCCTTGTTTCTTGCTTCGCCAATACAATCTCTTGTCGCCTATCACTCTCGCCTTCTCTTCTCTACTTCGCTTCCGCCTCAGCCGTCGAGATCATAACAGGCACATAATTACCCCATCCCTAACGAGCAGGTGTTGTCGTCTTTTGAAGCATCTCCTGATATTGCCCTGATATTGCGCCAAGGATTTGTTGGCCCTTTCTCGCTCTGCATCCATAGCACGAGCAACATCATGACCCCTAAGACCCGTCGCAATCTGACGGCGCGCGATCTCATCATAGAGCACTTTCCGTCGTTGATAATGCTCTCTATCTGCGGTAGAACTCCGCCAACTAGCACAATATTGCCGATCCAGTTCCCGATCGGCACGGGCATGACCCCCGCCCGCCTGGGGTACCCCAATGTCATATTCTTGCCACACCTCAGCGACCATGCTGAAATTCCTTTGCATTTTATAGATAGGCGGGGAAGGCGGGGAATCAGGCGGGGAAGGCTGCATTGAGCCCTCAGCCAAGGTCTCTGTGGACAGGATATTGGTGTCAGTGGTACTAGGAACAGATGCTGATTCATCCACAACAGAGGCGCTCATCACGGCCTGAAGGTTCAACTTGGGTGGTGGCGATGGCATTTTCCGATTCCAAGGCCTCCCTAACCTTCCGTCCCGCCGGTGACGTTGATAGGTCAGCTATGGCCTTCAGCACACCGCTGATATGGGAAATATGGCCATTACTCTCTTGCATAATGTTCTCCATAGCGCCGCCGATTGTTGTGGCACATTTGTACATGGCGGTCTTTGCATCTGCGATTGTCTGAGTGATGTTGCCATTGATGTTCTCTTTAACGCCCTCTATGTCTTCCCTTGTAAGTTGCTTATAGGCCGTGGCTTCCGCCGAGATCTTCAGGCTTTTGACGGTCTACTCAAGATCCGTCATCTTGCTGATAACGGATTGGTTGTTCACACGTATAGCAGAGGCAACCAACGGGAGAACATGTTCGATCGATGCAACCGTTGGATCACTTGCGGTTGATACTCTTTCCAGCAGTTTAATCTACAGAAGCAAAAGGAGTAATCAATTATGTGCCGCGGTTTACTTAGTGAAATGTGCTCTGATCCCATGCATTGAACAACAACAAGGAGAATGTCAGCACATAATTGTGTATTCACCTGGAACTCCTTAAACTCCGCAGACTTGAAAATCAAATGGGTCCAAATGGGATGTCTTGGATACCGCTTCTGCAAGATAGCCCCGTCCTGAAGGACGCATTCCCGCAACCGGTGCAGGAGCTTTGCGTGACCTTTAGTGGCAATGTCCTGATGATCATCCTTTGCGCTAGCTGCAAACGGGAAGATCTGATCCAGTAGGCTTGCCGGCGGCTCCAGATCTCGAGGCAAAAAGTAAGCGCCTCCTTTAGTGGTCCAGCCAGCAGGTGCTCCAGCCGATTCTCGTGGGATATCTTTATCATAGGCGCCGCGCCGGGCAGACGAATCCCATCCTCCCATCTTGTCTATATCATGATGATTCGCTCCGGCAGCGCTTGCCTCGTGCACTGAAACACCCTGGGGCACATGTGTCAATTTGGAGACGGTTATACCGCAGACAGCGAACGCCTTGCGATATATGCTCATATGGGCATCAAGGCTGAGCTCTTCATCATCACCCTCCCTGCGCTTCCGCTTCCGGCCAGTCGTGGCACTCGCAATGATTGTGTCTTCAGGGAGGTGGCCAGCGACATCCTCAGCTGCTCTCTTGCGCGCCTTTTTTTTGTCTTTGACCATGTAGTATTTATCATACCAATCCTCCTTATTGGAGAAGTCCGGTGCCGGCTCTCCAAGGATATGATATTGATAGAAGAACATCAGAGCAGTGTGTCCCACAGGGCAAAACTCCGCCATCTTATGCCGCATGCATCCCACAGTATCGATGCGCCCAAATTTATTGATTTTGCTTTGCCTGGATATGACAAGCATTCCCCAGGTGGGCATGGGTCCCTCAGGGGTCTCCTGCAGATCCCAAAAGAACAAGCGCGAGAGTTGCAACTGGCAAATAGACTGCCCACGCTGCATCAGACAATGCTGCAGCAGGAAACATGTGACGTTGCGTAGGCCGTTGTTGGAGTTCTTCATTGTCCACCAGTGCTCCACAAGTTTCATTTATCGTTATAGCCGTATTTCTCCAGCTCTGTGCCGATACCACGGTCCACTTTGGAATCGTTCGCGATTCGGAGCTCCGTCTTCGAATAGTTCTTGAGCACGGTTTGAATCAGACTATTGCAAGGGTGCGGCGCATCTTTCATAACATCGATTATAAATTTCTGTAGATTTTGGAACAACATCAATCATTATGTGCCGCGAATCTACATAACAAATGGATGCAGAATGCACTAGAGGCTCCTAAGTAAAGTGCGGCACATAGGCGAATAACACGCACCTGCGAGTCATACAAATCAACCACAGCCTTCACATATTGTTCCAAGGTAGATCTCTTTATGGGCACAGCGTTCCCTTCGGCGTCCGTCATACCGTTGAGTTTTCCTCTCGGGATGACATGTTCATTCAGCCAGAGAAGCACTTTGTCGGCATATACGAGGTTATTCGTTCCTCTGGCGGTACACCAGTCATGCCAAATCTTTTGTTTGCCGGAATACGCAATTGTCATATTCCTTGGCCTATTGTTTTTGTTTGGGGCCACTTCTTGTTCCTATGAATGTCGGCAGCAAGTTGGACTTCGTGGTCCATGGCAGTGCCAGCGGGGGCATGCATGGCACTTGTTGGCAGATGCCAACGAGCGACGCTGGGACCTGCAAAGGTTGATTGCTGGGCTTCTCCTAACATGATGTGTGGTCGCACTCCCTGGCGTAACGGGAACACACATATTTTGGCTTAGTGGTTAAGACACCTGGCTCTCACCCAGGTGGCGTGGGTTCGATTCCTACCTTCCCCAAACATTTTTCTCTTCTTTCTGTGACTGTACCACATCTTCGGGGCATTCCAAGCGATCAGGACAATTCCCTTGACACCCGGTGCGCCACAAACTGGTAGGTGGGGTTCCGAGACAAGCAAGGGAACCCTCTGCAGCATCCAGGAATGTCGCGCACAATTGGGGTGTGCAGTGTGCAGGTTCTTCGAACAGCTTCTTTGAATGTTGCGTACTTATGTGCCGAGAAATGTTTGAAAGAACAACATAGGATGGCTGCGAGCGTTTCTCATATATGGAATCGCGGCACATAGTTCCTTTCCCTAACCCTAACCCTAACCCTAACCCTTTCCCCCTTCTCCCCTTTGTTAGTAACATGATGGATCGTATGTTTCATATATACTATAGTCATCAGCCAATTCTGGAAAGTCGGATACATCATGTATCCCGACCGCCTATCCTATGGGCTGGTCGTGGGCTATTGATGACATACCTCAGTCACAACGGTCCAAAATGTATTTCGGCACGTGACCTGTGACTGGACCGGTTGTGACTTGCGGACGCGCTGTGACTTCCGTGACTAACCTACATGTTACAGTAGGCTGGCAGATATCAGGTTACGACGGGTTGTTGAGCCTCCCTGTGCAACCCCAGATGTCACCGGCCAGCTGTCAGTCCTGCCCTGGGCTAGCGGTCGTGCTGAAAAGATTTGCATGGGGGCCGGCAACTTGAGCCGGTGGCTACGCTCGGAATGACGTGTCCTTGGGGCGTCGTAACCTGATATCTGGCAGCCTACTGTAAGAGCCGCATTGTTTTATATACCATGTAGAGGTCGAGAAACGGGTCGCGTTTATCGATAAAGTTGCAGAGATTTCCGTTTCGGTGCCTGACAAGTAGGTAGACGCAATGATATGAAGCAACAGGAGATGGCGAAGCGACCATCACTCCCATTGGAGATCCTAGAACGCATTGTTCTACTGGGGCCTTCATTCGAACTCGTGCGTGTGATGGGTTCCCGAGGGCGATATCTAGCTTCTCAGCTCCTTGATCGTTGCGTGTTTTGGAACGGGGCCTGCGATCCATGCACCTTGTCGCCCACAGTGTTCCTCTGGACCATGTCTCCACCCGCATTTGAGATGGGATCGGTTCGCTGGGATGATGTGGCTAGAAATGCTCTCCGCTGGCCGCTAAGTCATCAACGTCAGCTCCTTCAATCGGACAAGATCGGCTGGGCCTTCGAGGATGTTCTGGAGCTAGGATACGTCAACTGCCTTCATGTTTGTTACTGACCCTTAAGTAACAGTGGTAGCCTCAAGTCTCGAAATGCGTCTCTAAATCTGTCCGAAAGTCCGTACATGGAAGTCCGTCTAAATCTGTACAGTACGTGGAAGGACACTGCGAGGACGCGTTGAGGATGTCAGCAAACGTAATGGCGTCGGACAGGGGGTTGCAGTATCGGACAGGACGGCCCTTTGCGCTCTCCCTCCCAGGCGCGTTTGGCAAAACGACGCAGCCTCGCTTGAGACTTGCATTCTTTCCCACCCTCTCTCCAGTACGTATCTGACCTCGGCGTCGTTGAAGCTCGCCTCTGCAGTACTTCACTCAAGCATCTGCACACCAGCGCTCAGATATCAAGGCACGCTCGGCGACAACGACCGAGCTTCGCTTGGTGTCGCACAAGGCCACGCCTCGTTTCAGGACCGGAACATCGCCGTCCAAACGTGCATTCCCCTGTTCCCACGACGAACTTTCAAGCGCTTCCTGAGTTTGCAGTCCATAGCCTGTTGAGAGACACGGCTTACACTCAAGCGCATTCATAATGCAATACCAGGTGAGTTCGGACGCGATGACGGGAATTGGGGACTCTCTAGTTCACGCGATTTCCGACGCCGAATTACTTATACCCTCCTTTTCACCGAATACAGACTAGAAGCAGAGCTGCGGCGGCTACGAAGGTGTCCGCGCCCGTCGATCAAGACGAAAATTGCGCCCCTAGAGCAGCAGTTCAGGGCAATGCTGTGCAGCCCGCGCGTGCTTTGAAGTCGAAGGGGTCCGACATTCCTATAGACCTGAAGGCAGGAACCCGCAAGAAGGTTATCGCTCAGCCGGCCAAGGTGGTTGCGTTGACTAGGCAGGCATCTAACGCGAAGGAAGTAAGTCAAGAGCCCGTTTGTACCCACGCGCACTTCCAAGGTGCCATACTGATTGTTGCACGCAGGTCAAAGTCCTAGGCGTAACCGTTGAAGCGGCGTCGATCGAAGGACCGGCTGATCGAGTGCAACCCACAAAGGCTGCCGTAGAAACCATCAAAAAGAGAGCGCTCGCTCCTGCTGGCACCTCCGTGAAGCTCACCGATGTCAAGCAACCGATCAGGAGAACCATATCACAGCCTGCCGTTGCGGCCAAGAACCTTTTCAAGGAGAACGACGCCAAAGCGTCGGCAAAAGTCTCAGCCAAGCGTTCCCACAGCGCCCCAGAGGCTCCTACCGCTGTCAAGAAACGAAAGGTTAACACTGGTGTACCAGCTCCCGCTCCTCCTGCTAAAGACGAAGGATGGGAAGACCTCGACGAGACCGAACGAAGTGATCCCATGATGGTGACGGAGTACGCGAACGACATTTTTGGATACCTGCGCAGACTTGAGGTGAGCTCTAAACTACTTGTTGACGATGCTGAACATCAGGCGCTGAAAATCAAAGTATATGCAGGCTCGAACGATTCCAAACCCCACGTACCTGAACAGCGAGGGTCGACGCGATATTAGAGTTCGTGATTACGCCGCTGACATGTTGATCGAAACCCAGAACAAGCTCCACCTCACGGCTGAAACGCTGTTTTTGGCTATGAACATTATCGATCGAGTCTTGTCCGTTACACAAGTTACCTTCAGCAAGCTCCCACTTTTGGTCCCCGCGGCACTTCTCATTGCCAGCAAATTCGAGGAAGTCGGGGCTCCCAGTATATCTAAGTTCGTTTTCGTCACCGGCGACAGTATCATCACGGAAGGGGCGCTTGTGAGCGCCGAACGACACGTTCTTCGTTTCTTGAACTACGACCTTTCTTACTCCGGACCCATGAACTTCCTTCGACGCATCTCAAAGGCAGACGCATATGACATCCAAACGCGAACCGTAGCCAAGTACTTTATGGAAGTTTCTCTTGCTGATCATCGATTTGTGCGCATGAAGCCCTCACTGGTGGCGGCAGCTTCCTTGTGGTTCGCGCGGATGTCCTTCCAGCAGAAAGGCTGGGTACGTACCACACATGACTACATGCAAGTTCTTCAAATGCTCAAATGAACTGACGCCCAACTTCGACGGCAGGACTCCACATTTGTTCACTATTCGGGCTACACTAAGGAAGAGTTCGAAGAATGGAGGGCCCTCATGGTCTCGTACTTGCAGGCCGCTGTCGACAACGGGTTCGACAACCGACCGCTTGAACGCAAATACCATTCCAAGAGATACCTCAGAGTCTCGCAGCACGTGCTCGATTGGTATCACGGCTGCACTTCTCGCTAAACACACAAGACATCAAACCGCATGATCGTTTTTCATTAAAACGTGGCTTTTTCGTGTGCGTTACGGACCACTTTATCACCCTGTTGTATGGAGCCATAGTGCTTCCTCAGGCTCAGTTTGTCCGCGGTTACTTTGCTTGCTTTATACATAGAGAAATACTTAACAATTCGGGACTTTCGAGGCTGGTGAAGGAGTTCATCAATAAACAATGTGCATCGTGATGTTTTGTAAAAGAAAGAAAATGAGATCTGAGCAATTTGGGTCTGATGTCCAACTGGGGAGGATGAGAATGTGCTCCAGACTTCTGCATCGCAGACCACACGTTGGATTAAACGGCATCATCCTGCACACTGCTAGTAGCGAAGAGAACGCTGTTCGGCCCAGTGAATCATCCCAGAGGCGCACACCTATCTTCCGTAACATAAGAAAGGTGCAGGCCCAAGGGAAAGAGCCTTGAGGCTTGCTGAGCATTTCAGGAGTGTACGGCTTCAAGGATGCAGGCAGCCAAGCTCAAAGCCCTTTTGAGAAATCAGCTTGGTATTCTAGTATATGAAGTTCACTCCCTGCCCACTCCGCAAGTTGCAATCAACATAAGAACACCGCAAGTACGAGGATATTCGAGCAGATCAGCCTTTTCAGTGAGGAATGATAGTCGTGTATATCTCCTCCGGGGGCTTTCTTGATGTTCTGTCCTTTCTGTTACTTCCTTATTCCAGTACGTATTCTGGGTGCTTGACGGACGCGCTCGAGGCTTGCGCCTCACTTGCGCCTCGTTCACTCCTCTTGACGAGATTCAGATTGTGAAGCTCTATTTCCCAGACATGCCTCCACCCCTCAGCAAGCCACCCGCCTTCGTGCAGTTCCGCGTAGCCCGTCCAACATCCTCTCTCACCCTCACCCGCCAATTCTACGGGCCATCCGGCCTCGGTCTTCCCGAAATCGGCTCCTTCTCCGACCACGCGGGCTACTCGGGCGTGATGTTCGGACTCCCCGACGCTACATACCACCTGGAATTCACTGAATACACCGGTGCGAACACGACCCCACCGCCGTCCTATGCGCCGCCGAGCGGCGACAATCTGCTCGTTTTTTACATGCCTCACGCGGCGGAGAGGGAGGCGACGGTGGCGAGATTGGTCGCCGTGGGAGGGACGATTGTGCAAAGTGAAAATCCGTACTGGGATGCTGACGGTGTGACGGTGGAAGATCTGGACGGGTGGAGGGTTGTCTTGCAGAATTCAAAGGGACTACTTACACAACCTTGAGTGTGGAGGTCTTCTGGGAGAAGTTTGTGGGAGAGTCCGGAGGGCGTCAAAAACTCAAAAATCCTAGAGGAAAAAGTTCTTTCCCAAGGAATATATTCTCAACTTCAGCCCATCCACCCCTTTGGCTTAAGCAATATTTAAAACAGAAACAGAAACAGATTACATCTGCGTGCTTTACAGATGCGAATGCCTTTGCCCCCCTCCCCACCTTCTTTTGGAAAGGTGGAGCATTATATGAAACTTCAACGTGTTCCACCACTGGTTCCATCCGGTAACGGTACGCGCGCAACGTCCAAGAAAAGTACGGAGCTCGTACGATAACTCCTACTACGGCTGCTGTTGCTGCTGCTGCTGCTGCCTGTAGCCGCCACGACGGCCATACCCGTACCCTTGATTGCCGCCGTAACCTTGGTTTTGGTTGCCTCCGTACCCTTGGCCATGACCGTATCCATCATTGTACGATCCCTGGTAACCTCCGCGACCACGACCGCCGTAGCCTCCTTGATTGTGGTAGCCATGCCCAGCAGGCCCCTCACCCTGATAAGAGTTGTATCCACCTCGACCACCACGGCCGCCACCTCGTCGGAAACCACCCCGACGGTATCCGCCACGGTTCTCGACGCCCATTTGTCCGAACGTTTCGAGATTCAGCTTTCGTTCTTCGAACTGTCTCACGCGACGGCCCCCTCTGTTGAACCGACGCAAGGCAAGTCAGATAAGCAATCCCCCTGAAAGATTGGACCTGTACACAAAAACTTACCTGCCGTCATGGCTTTCGGCGCGGTCCTTTGCATCACAAGAGATGTTGTCAAAGAATGATGATTTCTGATAGAAGCTAGGATCGTCCTCGCTCTCCTCAGTACCATCTTCTTCGTCATCGTCGGCTTCGGTTCGCACTACCACGTCGTGGGTGGCATTTGCCGATGCTTCGTTTGCGACATCGGTTTTATTGAACTTTGCATTGGAGATTTCGAAATCGAAATCCGAATCAGGAACCGAAATGCGTCCTCCGCGAGATGACGGCGCGCTACCCCTAAATCCGCGTCCTCGACCGCGGCGCTGACCACTATGCACCAAATGGGCGCCGGTTCCAGGCAGACGAGCTTCATAACGACTGTCCGTGCCATCTCTGCCATTGACATCGTTAACTTCCTTCTCCGCGCTTCCCTCCCCTGCTTCAGTAGGCTTCGCCAACGGCTTGGCAGCTTGATCGGCGGCAATCCGTTGTTCTTCTCCACCAGCGGGACCAGTTGATCGTGCAGGGACTTCGGCATTCGGTGACTTCACCGCGGGCTCCTTGGGAGCAGCGCGCTCTGTGGGCCCGGAAGTCAAATCTTTCCGCTTTTCCGGCCTTACTTCTCCGGAGTCCGGTTTAGTGGAAGGCTTTCCTTGTGGACGGGAGTCCTTACTGACTTTGACCGACTCGTTCAAATCCAATCTCTCAATGGCCTGCGTGACCTCTTTAACGTTCTGCGGTGGTTTCTGTGAGTCTCGCTGATTCTTCCCTCGCGTCTCCTTCGGAGCATCCTCCGCAGGCTTTTGAGGTTGGGGACCTTGCGCAGGCTGCTGCTGTTGCTGTTGCGGCGGCCGCTGCGGTGGCGGTGGCTGGGAATATTGATTCATCCCCTAAGGAAGAGGGGTGTGAGAAACGGAACGGGTGCGGAACAAGGACAATAGTACACTTACAGGAGCTGCGGCTGGATTTGATGAATTCCCCTGGTTGGAGTCATGGGGAGCCCACAGTTGTTCATCGGGTTTCTGCTGGTTGAATGGTGGAGGGGGATACGGAGCAAAGCCCATCGGAGGCGGAGGCAGACCATATGGATGACCGCCAGGCATTCCTGGAAAACCGGGCTGCCCCGGTTGTCCGGGGAATGGAGGTCCCCCAAATCCACCAAATCCTGGTGGCTGCATCTGCCCCGGCGGTCCAGATACGCCTTGGAAAGGCCCATGTCCCATTCCATGAGGCCCATGAGGATGCATGTGCCCGGGTCCTGACTATCAGGCGAAAAGTGTGACCATTAGAACTTCCTATCCCCGTGCAGCATCCACAATGTGTTGACGTCTTACCGAAATGACTGCAGGGTCATTTGGCACCCTCATTGGATTGGGAGCTGGGGCTTTCGACGGAGCGGTCATAACATGCAAATCCTTCACATCTGCGCCACGGAAAACAACGAAAGGGAACGGTTCTTCACTTGGGGAAATTTCATCTTCCCGGCGAGCTTTTCGTCCTTCAGTTCCCCAGGAGTGAACTGTAATGGATGGAGAGAGGCTTAATACGCTTTCAACGCTGGAACCCTGCCAAGTACGCAGATGCATACCGTTCTCCAACGACACTGTTGAATTCTCCTGGTTGATTTCGACCAAGATCCCCTCATAACGGACGTCAGACTTCGATATCAAACTAATCTTTGAACCGATGTAGGGCATCATCTTGAACAACTGTTATTGAACAAAACTGATAGAGTTGTATATGCGGCTAAGATTGCCTTGCGTCAGACATGTAAACGCAATCTTCGACGCTACCAGGCGAAATCTCACCCCGAGTGTCTCGACAAGATCTATTCTTGTTTCCACTCAATTCCGCGGCTGGTCCACTAGCAGGCAGAAGCTTGCTGATCAAGGAGGCGCGATGAATACTCTTAGATCTCTCTCGTTCCGCGCCGTCGGGAAACCGATGGAAAGAGTTGATTGCGGAACAGGTCAGCGGGGAAGGCAATCGCTTGAGAGGATGAGTACTGGTTCAGTCACGTGAGTCACCAGAAATTAAATCACACCCTCGACGTGAGTTCGCTGAATTTGAACTTCGCCGTCCTGAAAGGTCCTATCTGATACCGGAGAAGGTCTCACCTCAGGTCACAATGAAGGTAAACGGTCGCTTCAGGGAATATGTTCTTGCTCAGTCCGCCGAGTGGCTCCGTAGCAATTGCTGTCGTCATGTACTCATAACAACCTCCCAATGGTGGATTCTTTTAGAGCCAAATATTTCACTCAACTTTCGTGATCAAAGATATGGACCCATATGGGAAACGCTTCGACAGGGGTCCGTATAGAGCTCTCTTGTGGTTCAAGTGGAAGGTGTTGGCTAATAGAAATCGCTTCTCTCAGTGTCCCGAATTACAGCGCTGAATGAACCTGGAGACGTCGAGATCACTCTCGACGTGAACACTGAGATATACCCCCTGGCAGTCAACGATAAATTCTCTCTGGCGTTGGCCGCGACGCTCGCACTGGATGGGTCCGGAGGAGATGCTATAGACAGGGAGGCATGGAGGGAGAGGCCAGGAGTGCGGACTTTGGCGGACGATTACGATTATGTTATGCATGGGAAATGCTACAAATATGACGACAACGGACCTTCGAAAGTGTGCGTATGAGCGATCTTCCGCTGAAATCTTCGTTCACTCACTCACGCCCATTTCTCTGATCCCGCAGTTCGGTGTACGTGTCGTTTGGTGGACTTCTGTTATGTATCTCGGGCGACTACAGACAATTGCAGGACCTGGACGTGGGCATGAACTTGTACCTCCTCATGAAGAAATGATCCCTCTTGGAGTACTGGAGAACGCATGAGGTTTAGGGGCTTATGCCGGACCTCGCCGGCGTAGATCACCTTCGGATTGCGCGCGCGCGTGCACTTGCCGATCGACGAGCCATCTTGCCTGGATTGCAATCATCAGTCTTACGCGTCGAAAGTGCGAACTATGCCGCAGCATTGCGGCGGATCCGGATGCGCAGAAGTGCACCGTATTTGATCGCATTCAATAATCTTATTTGTACATATTAGAATCATTGGGGGATTTGATTACTACTGCCGTCAGACAGCTATGTGTGATGGAGCACCATATGCCGTGCTACGGAAGACAACACCGTCATGGAATTCAATCGATGTTGATCCGAGCTTTCGTTGCCCTTTCCTTTTGTTCCATTCGATGTACTAGATCTATTGTGTTCTCATTGTACGCCACGTGAGTCGCCTGCCACGAAGGTTATATTCCTGCCTTGCCGACACATTGTTCGGCCGAATCGCCGACGTCGCTTCCGGTATGCTTCTTGGCAGATTTCCGCCGTGCGCGCGCCTTAGCTTTGCTGCTTTTGCTGCTTCCGTACCTAGGGGAAAAGCATAAATGTCAGCTTACTTCCACCTTCTGCCAAGGTGCCAAATACAATCTTACTCCTCGAAGATTGCCAGCCCCAGATAAAGTGCCGCGGTAGTTGCAATCAAAGCAAGAGCTCTCAACCTATGGCCGAGACCTCCTACAAGGACCAGTGCCGCGCCAGTGCATAGTCTGGCAAACATCCTCACACTTTTCGGAATCCTTTCATGTGACCTGCCGTGCTGGTGCAGCATCGAAATCGCGGCGCAGGTTATGATAGCTATCCCGAATCCGCCGCAAAAGATCCATCGCAACCAATCGCTGACAGGCGTGTTTTCGTCATATTCCGGATGTTGCGGATCGATATGTCCAACGATTAGGATGAGTTCGGAAAGCCCCGCACCGGCGGCCACCAGGCACGTGTGTAATGGGAGGTGGAGCATTTGCCAAGCGAATCCAAGGAGGTGAGCCCTTCGGAGGGCATGCCGAAACCGCTTTCCATTGTCCATGGTGAAGTAGATCCATTGAACGCTGATGGTGATGGTCAATCCCAACACAGTCGATAAGTAGGCGCGGGAAAATCCGCCTTCGTGTGCCACCCACAAGACTGAGACGACCACCTCCCCTGGTAGACAAGAACAGAATGTGTTAGTTAATGACCAGTGGAACGAGAAACAAGACAAACTTGCCTAGTACGATGATCATAAGGAGCCCTATGCGCTCTATTTGATGCTCAACGTTGAGTGCGAGTCTGTACGTTCTAGCAACGAAGTATCGAGCGGCATATGTGGCGAAGCGGGAAAGCAACTCGGTCCCTAATCCAAGGGTCCAGAGCCACGTTTGCGTTGATTGCGGAGTAAAGATGCTGATGAACCACGGGATGCTTGCAAAAACGGTGCCCCCTACTCGTAGTGCCGCATGCGGCCAGAATTTGGGCATGCTTATGAAGACTTTCGAGTAGGAGAGAACGTACAGAAGTCGGGAGAGCAGGAAGATGGATATAAACAAGTGTCCGGTATTCTCGTGTGCATCCTCTTTGAACGCACTCTCCGCTGTGATGCCCATCCCGGCAACTAGAATCATTTGCATCCATGCGTGAAATCGATGCCAAAAGCCGGTGCCGATACCAAATACGTTGGTGAAATTCTGGTTCAACCCCCACGTCAGCCACAGGGGAGCAAACACCAGGATGAAATGTGCAATGGTCTCGCCGTTAAGAGCCTTCGAGAACTTAATAACTTCGGCCGTCTTGCTTGTAGCAGCCACGTAAACCAGGTCCGTAAACAAATCCTCCCAAGAAACCTTTCGGGGCTTCCGCTCTCGATGAAGAGTATCTCCAATAAAGAACTGACGAGCCGGACTCGGCTTGATCCATCGTTTCCACCGCCCGACGGTGGGGACATGCTTTGGATGCTGCGCATGTATCTCGTCGTAAAATTGAATGTTTGCGTCGAGATCACCGAATTCTTCCGTCACGAAGTCCCCCTCTGTTCCCTTCTCCAAGTCACCGTCGATGTACATAGTAGCACCTGCGGCGCCGTGAACGGCTTCGACCCGTCCCTCCGTTCTTTCGTCACCCTCAACTTTCTCTCCGGCGTTGGCGTCGACGACATCGTTATCCTCTGCATCGCTGCGATCTGCTCCCGACATCTCCACGCAGAAGTCGTCATGCTTTTCCGCTGCTGTTTTGCGTTCTTTGCTTTCCGAAGGGCTGTTCAAAGTCTTGCTGGACTCTCCCAAGCGCTTACCCCCATCGGTTAAATATTGACTCCGCTTTGGCTGCGCTTTATTTGCTCTTGCGCCTACTGAGTGCTTCCGCGTCGGAACTGCTTCGTCGTCCTCACTCGAGCTGCTTGAGCTTGAGGACGACGACGATGAAGATGAGGAAGAGGACGAGGACGAGGTTTCCGATTGTCGGTGACCCGCGTTGGATCTCTTCCGACGCCGTTTTCTCTCGAATACATCAGCTTTGGTTCCGGCAAAGACCCAGGCGTCTGGTTTCCGGCGACCGCGTAATGTATACGAGTCAGGCGGAGGGGCTTGCGGAAGCTTCCACTGGAACTTTTTTCTTGGGTGCGATGTTGGCGGCTGCGCGGGAGGTGCTGCACTTTCCGTTCGGGGAGGTCGCGGCGGGGCCCCCGAAATCGACATCGTGGTTTCGTACTTTTGGTGTACACTACGTATTTGCAAGTTGGGAAGAGGACTGAACCCACCAAGCATTGCCTTATATATGCATCAAGCGTGATTTTCAAATGGTGCTCTCACGTCCGCTCCTTTTTAGGTTTTAGACTTTGGTCTGTCCACTTGTGGCATTCGCAACGCTGTGGACCGATGACGGGTTGGTTCTTCTCCATGATGTCATTTTGTCGAAAGTCCGCCACAAACGCGGCATCTCCGGTACTGTCATTTTGTTCGACGGAGAGCGGGAAGGATCGAGTAGACTCAGAGTTCCCTGCAAGCGAAGGCGGTATATGATATGTACCACACCGAGAATGTTTCCGAGGAGGTACAGTACGAAAGCGGGAATACATGAACGCCGGCTTCGATTTGTCAGGCGCAATTTGAACGCTTTGGTGCAAGAATGTGTTCGCGAGCATTTCTTTTCAACAATGATCCACATGTATACGGCCAACCTATATAAAGTAGGTCTGCCATCAGGGATTGCGGGCCCCGTCAGGAATAATGCGTGAGACTTACCTGGAGAGCTAGTTTGCCAACAGTCTGCTCTGCCACTTTCCCGAATCTACATATAGAGAAGACCTTGACGCACCGGGATACGTAAGTAATTTGACTGTCCGAGCCTACGTACATACAGCGGGGTTTCATACGATGCATGTCAGGCGTAGAGCATTACTGTACTGTAGGTAAGGGTGGAGCCAACCTGGTGTCGTTCGTACTCTGCGGAGCAATAAAACCGGTTGATAAGTTCAAACATTGCGTCAACGTAATCTGGTGACTGGCGGTCATCAGAGACTCATCAAAAGCGTCAAACTGCGCTCAGCTCGCTCAGCCCCGAGCTTTTTTTCCCACGGCCTGTTTTGCCTGCGGACCCAGCTGCGGACCTCCCTGTAGGTCAACCAAAGCTCAAGCGCAGTCCTTCTCAAACGCAGGGAAGGTCCAGTCGTAGAAAGGGACCAAGGCAACATACTGTACTGGCGTTGACGTCTTCGCCTGAAGTATTTGAACACCAGTTCCATCACCTTGCTGTGCGCGTCGTGCAAGATGACCGTGCAGCTACAGGTAAAACAGCTTGGGAAAGCAGCACAGCTTTTTTGATTCCTACTAACCGCTCTTGTCGATATCTAGAGGGCAGAGACCGGGACGGAGCTTATGCCCTCGCAACAGGTGTGCTCGCTCAAAAAGTATACTGAATGCCACGCATGTTTTGACTTTCCCGAATAGCAATCCTTGAACTTAGTGAGAAACTTACTGGGTACCACCATCGGCGCAATCACCTATCTGGTGAGCATTGATTGACATCTTTCTCCTATGAATCGAAAAAGCTGATCAAAATGTTTACAGCGAGGGCTGTTTCCTGAGAACAATTTCAAGGATACTAGTATGGGTGGACTGGGACTAAAGAGTTTGGAGAGAGGTGTCTCCCAGGAGGCGAACAACTTGATGGACTGGCTGGTAGGGTTGGTTGTCCGGGAATGCCTATTGATGGCTTCTGAAACACCAATTTTTACCATAGAATCGCGGATGCTTTCATGCTTTGGAGCGGCAATATGTGTGAAGTCTTTGATGCTGCGGATGAACCCATGTGCGAGTGAACTGATATGCTTTGACTCCAAAATAGCTTCGAACGATGATCTTTGGCATATATCTGTCTCCCGACGAACCCAACAAACTGTAGGTATCCCAAACGCCGTGATCGAAGACCCTTTCCCCTCACTCACGGAGCGCTCTCAGCGTGGAAGCGTATACCTTTAGCTTCACGTATCCTGAAACGGACGGATGCTGTGTCACTATGAACGCGAATGGAGTGGAGACCTTTCGTTTGCAGACCAAAACTGCGATCATGAGGGCAACATCTACGATGTTGCGGCGCCTACTGATTTTGACCCAAACATTGCGGGTATGGATATGTCCAATCAGAATTGCCGCCGGATTGTGATCGATACTAACATGCAGGCCACCAAGGCTCTTCCGCCAAGCGCTTATATCACCATGAAGCTATTCTATTACGATGAACGCACCCCGGCGGAATATGAACCACCATGCTTCCGCGCAGGGAACGATGAGGAAAAGTTCTTTTTCTCTCAAAAGCCGGAGAAGATTAACATTGGAAAAGTCGAGACGCCACATCATGCGTAAGTGTCCGTTCGCGTCTCGAAATCTGGAAGAACTTTCTGACCATATTTTGCAGCTTGAATTTACAAGTGCAAACAACTGCTGATGGCATCGAAGCTGCTAGAGACCCCGAAGCCCAGGACGAGTTTGAGACATCCAGTCAGCAAGAGGGGGATCTCTCTGCAGACTCCAGTACTCCTACGGATATGAAGGCTAAGCAGCACTGCCAGAGTAGCGAGGTGTCGCTGATGCTCGAGGACACTGGAATATCGCAAATGGCCGGTGTCACAGAACAGATGGGCCAGGTTGCCCTTGAAGAAAGTAAGCTGCTTATCCGTGTGGGTTCGCGGCGGTATGTCTCACCTTTGAGTATAGACGCCTACCTGATGGAAGTCGATGTCAGAGAAACGTGTTCTCAGCAATATGCCTCCAGACAAGCTGGGCTATCTCCGCCCGCCATGAATTTCAGCAGTGGTAAGTTGATCAATCTGTTTGTTTTTCGCAAATTATTACACTCTTACCAAGTATACGGCAGTCATCGACGACACGCAGGATTTGGTCAATCGGCTGAAGGACAGTTCATGTGCGAATGACCACGTCCCCGACGACGACGTTGCGCCTTCGGAGACGTTTGGCCACACGCAACACTCACGCACTCAGGGGAGCGACGTTCCAGAGTCCATCGATCTGGCTATGGATGAGATGTCCGACGCTCACGACAGTCCTGAACCGGAAGCAAAGACGGGCGAGGACCAGTCCACTAGTGCGGAGATAGGTGGAGCGAAGGACGACTCCCAAGGCAGTTTGCAAGCAGACAGCCCAATGAGCCAAATGCTAGGAGATCAACAATGCCAAGGTGCTCCTTTGGAGCCAACGAGAACCACAACAGCTCAGCCTCGTTACGGGGGGGTCCCGACCACAGGCGCTGATGGGGAACCGATCGATTGTCCTTGTGGAATCAACCGGGTAAGTTCGCACATTTTGGCACATTTTGGCACACATTGCATACGCGGGTAATTGAGTTCCGCGATAGGAAGAGGACGATATGCTTTGCTGTCATCAATGTGGAACTTGGGGTCATTTAGCCTGTGCTGGCTTCAAGTCCTTGACCGACAGACGACTCCCGACAACCTATGTGTGTTTTGCATGCCTGAATGACAACTGTGTTGCAAACGGCTCGAAACCCAAATTCAACCTCGAGTTTGTTGCGGAAGTAGCGTTGTTCCGACGGGGCATCGCCATCGCGTGGAAGGACGGCATCAAATCGATGACGGATTTCGCCACGGATATGGGTTAGTGCCGATCTTCGTGCATTGTTGCGAGCTTCCCTAACGCTGCTGGGCTCAGGTGTCGACCGGTCGCAAGCTCGACAAATCATTCAACGTCTTCAAAAGGAAGGCTTCATTACTGACAAAGCGGATGCTAGGGTCAAGAAGCCTGCTGACCGAAGAGCCTACTATATTTTGAGAAAGGCCGCCCGCCCGCAACAAGGGAAGTGGTTCTCAAATAGACCCTTCCTCGAATACGATCAGAAGCAAGAAGAAGCGCAGGCTGGACCGCGCACTACCACCGAGGTGGCCGACGATGGCGAGACGCAGCTGACATCCAAGCCTCTACACCACATGAAAGGGATGTCTTCGCCTCTGATCAACACTCCTCGTCGTATGACCCGGGGCCTTTCAAAATCGCTTTCGGGCTCATCTCAACGACTTCTGGAACTCGGCGGCGCTTCTGGAAGAACCCGCGCAGACATTCTCCGGCAAGTGCAGCTTACGTCGGTTGGACTGAATGGCGATGCGGGGGCCATGGATACCCCCATGCAAATCGGTGACCACTTGGTTCATAATGTGAGTGTGAAGTGGTGTTGTCCCGCTCTGATAACCTTTCGTTTTTGGCTACCCCTTTCTTCTCCACCTTTTATGATTTTCAAACGCCAAGTCCCAGTTCAACTACGATTTTGAGAGTCAGGGCAACGGCACATGCCTGCAAGATCTCAGCCAGACGCAAATCACCTGCGAGAGTCGATATTTTGGAAAACGCGCGATGGAGGAAGATGCACCCAAAGAGACCGGTGGACGCATTGATCTGCGAGTCGTCAAGAAGCGCAAAGTCTCGGTTGTGCAGAGGAACATCGCCGTCCTCTAGCCCGATTCTGTTAACCATCGGGTGCCTATTACCCCAACCACAAGCTATTCCTGCTTGACATGACGAGATAATCGCGTGGGCGTATGAGTGTTCCTGGTTTTTAGTCTTTAGACGTCTTTTCGAGGCGCGCTTTCAGTTTGCTGTTCATTGTTGTTTCCTGATCCTATTTTTTCTTGTGGGACATTTCAAGTTTGCTGTATATGTAGATAGTGTTCCTTCCTTCCAGCCGTGAGAACGTTCGAATTTCCGCCGTTGTATGTACTGTACTTGCCGTTCGTTTCTCAAAACATTCATTCATTTCAAATACCAGAATTGAAGCTTGCGTGGTCAGACCGTTGATTGTGGGATGAATTCAGGTGCAGATTGGAAAAAGAGCTATTTGGAAAAAGATGTTATTCAAATGTTCCAGCTACGTGAGGTGCAGCCAGGTATGTAAGGAAAGTAAATATCCGCCTCGGGCAAAAGGGTTTTTGCCGGCGAGGGAAGAGGGGATGATGGGGAAAGGGATATTTGCACACATCTAGCTAAAAAGATAACTATATACTTGTTGAGTTCTGCCACGTCTACCCTGCGATCATGAAGGGATAAGAGATGGGAAATCTAGCGACCAGCTCTTGATCCGCCACGCCCACGTCCACCTCGTCCGCCGCGGTCACCTCCGTATCCACCACGACCTCCTCCGCGTCCTCCACGGTATCCCTGACCTCCGCCCTGGCCTCCGCCACGGTGGTCGCGCTGGCCACCACGGAACTCTCCACGCTTTTCTTGCGACTGCTGCTGCTGTTGCTGCAGGCCGAGGTGAATCGATCGGCTTTCGAGGAGACGCTCGTTGCTGTCGACGAGGTTCTGCACCTTGTCGGCATACACGCCAGCGAGGTGCTCGAGTCGTGATGTCTCGACGCCAGCCGCGCCGGCCGCACGGTGAAGCACGATGCTGTTCGATGGCCTGTCGATGGACGCGTGGAGCTCTTCGTTGATGATCATGCGGGAAACGACACCGCGCACTTCGGCCGATGGGAAGTCGAACATAGAGGCCAGTTGGTCAATGCTTAGGGAGTCGTAGTAAGGGGAGTAGGTAAAGAAGTACGTGCGCAAGCCTTCCTCCTTGATCTTTTTGGTGAGGAGGTTCTTGATTTGTTCGGTGTTCGGCATCAGGTCCCAGATCTTGACGGCGTGTATTAACTCTACGCAGCGTTCCCATTCGCCAGCGGCGAGGGCCTTGGCTGCGGTCATGATGTGGTCCCTAGTGTTCTCAGGGGGTCCTGATATCAAAGGTTAGTGAGAATGTCTCGATGCGGTAAGAACAATATTTGAAAGGTGAAGCTTACCTGCAAACACTTGGCGTTCGTTGTAGTCCAACATCCTCCTAAATGGCTTGCTGATAACCTTGCGGCGAGGTTCGTGGGCGTTGGCGGCCATGTTCGGAATCTCCAAGAGCATGGAGCATGTCAAGTAGACACATTCCAGAAGTTCCAGGTTGATGTGCATGTGGAAAGGCAACTGCCTCTGCTTTTCCAGGCGCTCTTGTTCGGGTGTCTTCTCCATATACCGCTGCATCTGAACTCCTTGTGCCAAGAGCTCCTTGACCTTTCCGGAAGAGGACAGCTCTTGTAATGCGTTTGCTGCTTCCCGGATCAGACCGCATCGGAATGCGCACAGACCGAGCTGCGCCATTGTCCTGTTGAAGAGAATCTGCGTGTAAACTTCCGTCTGACCCACGTGGTCCTGCAGGTGAGACATGAGCATAAGGTCGCGGGCTTTGTCGAATTTGTCGTGGAGAGCCAGATGGTAAACGTGGCACAAAAGGGCGCGGGTACGAACGCGGTCGACGTCGGTCTTGTACAGACTTGTGCAGAGGTGTTCGACAAGGGTCTCGGGCTCTTCCAACGCCTCGGTCAGTGCTGGGTACAGTGTGCGCACCTCCTTCTCCACAGCCCGGATCACGATGTCGGGTTTGTAGTAAATGTGCTCAATACGGCGCATCTTCGTGTGGTCAAGGGCCTGGGAGGCGTCAATGCGCTCGAAGTACTTCTGAGCGCGGACAATGAGGGCGTAGAGGCTGGTCTCGTCTCTCAGTCGGCTGACATAGTCCAGGGTGTGGGGGTCGATGTGTTGAAGAGATTTTGTGAATTCGTCGTCGATGCGGTCAATCAAGGATCCCAAGCTGCCACGAATAGTGATAGGAGCGGCATTCTTTGCCTTCTCCTCAGCGACCGTTTCCGAATCCTCCTCTTCCGTGAGCTCTACGATTTTGATGTTCTGGTGTTCCTCAAGAATGGCAAACAATGCGTTGAGCTCGGTGGCTGCGGATCTCCATACGTCTGCAGCGACAAAGTTGGTGGAACTGGGTGCAGAGTCGAAGCGGGCAGGGATCAACGCGAGGAGAACCTTCGCTTTTTGATACGGCGTGGTGGCAACGTCTAAAATGCGTTGCAGATTGTCCATTTGCAATTGGCGATCCGTACCCTGAGGAAGTCATAATAAGGCAATTGAACTCAGAGAAGATCAGAAATCAGATTTCACCCACCTTTTTACCACGGGCCTCGATAATCTCCTGAAGTTTCTTGAAAAGATCCTCAGGCTTGACCTCGAAAGTCTTTCCACCTTTTCCGACAACTTGGAAATCGTCTCCACCTTCCTTCACGTCGCCCTTTACCCCTTTCCCGCCTGCCTGCTCGAAGTCGCTGTCGCCATCCTCAACCCTAGCCTTCTTGACGAACTTTTCACGAGCCGCAAGTGCTTCTTCGTCATCGGCCTTCTTTGCAGCGAGCGCTTCAGCCTCATCTGCTGATTCGTCCTCGTCCACGGGGTTCTATCGTAAGGAAGGATTGTGATGAACATCGAGTTTCGCCCCCTAAGCAGTTAGGCCAAGCCACGGATCTCTCTACTTACAGCTTGGAATTTGGCGATGTCGGCCTCGTACTCCTTGTTGTGCTTCTTCAGCTTCTGTTTCATGGCATTGAGAGCTCGGGACGACGAAGCGTTCATTTTCTTCACGGCATCCTTATTCGCCGTAACCTGCTTCAGGTACTCCTCTAATTCTACGAGAGTACGAACGTAGAACCTCGGGACTCCCTCCCGGGAGATGATGGTGCTGGCCTTCGAGTACCCTTTGTTGAGTTTGTCGAACTCTGCAAATGACAAAGTTGTTTTCGTTAGGCGCCGAGAATAATAAGACATGCGCCATCCCAGTCGGAAGAGACATCCAACCCCGCTTCCTCCTTTCCGCCGCTCACGTCTCCTCCAAAAACCGTACCATTCTGAATTGCGACCCAGTCGTTGATCTTCTGTCCATTCTTCAATGCCTTCACAGAGCTCCGCATTTCGTCAAAGCGCTTGTCCCTCGCGGACTTGACGACCCGCTTCGTATCATCGTCAGAATCCTCGTCAGAGTCTGAGCCGGCAAAGCCACGCATGAACCGGCTGGCTCCCGTCGCGGCTCCGCCCTTCTTGGCACCTGCTTCATTGTCGGAATCTGAGTCCGAATCACTGTCGTTGTCGTCGGATTCCGACGCAGAGGTTTCGTCTTCGTCGGACTTCTTAATGCGCTCCTCATCGGAAGAAGAGTAGTCGGATTCTGATTCCGAGCTGGAATCGCCTCCACGGAAGAAACGAGACATGGTTGAAGAGGGTCGAAATTTGGAAGGTGCTATGAAAGTCGATTTTCAGTGGGAGTGGGATCTCGAAGTACTAGCCCCCCTGTCGTTGGTACCGCCTGCAGTGAGTGCTGTGCCTGATTAAGAACGAGGCAGGTGCGGTTGTTGTGCAGTTGATTTCCCAGGCGGCCTCGGGGGATCTGGCTATGGAATTCGAACGTCCGGTTCGCAAGTGTCCGTTTTTCTTTTGGGCGGACGGTCCCTCTGATTGCCCTTCCTCGCGTCACACAAGGCCAAAGCGCGTCTCATGTAACCCACTCCGTCCCAACTGAATTTGAATATCTCGAAGACGCAGATTATAACCATGCATGTACTGTACAGTACAATCTGATTCCAAATGCATGCTAGGCTACATATGCCATGTCCATCCCTCATTTCCTTCCATGCCTACATACTGCCTGCTGCGATGCACGATGATAGTGACGGTTGCTACCTAAATATAGGGAAAAGGCAAAGTGACGGAGAATGCGATCGATGTGCTACGATGAGCGATGTGATGTTCACGCATGGAGTCGGGAACAGCAGTAACAGGCGATAGATGAGAGTACAGATTGAGGCACTGCGTTTTCGCCACTGCTTGACGTAAGAAGGCACGCCGAGGTGATCTGACCGCGACCTTTTCTCGTACAGTTGTTCGTGGGCATCCGGGCCGTCCGTTTCGCTGCTCGTTTCAACGGCGCTCGTACAACGGCTCCTGGGAACCCAGTCAATAGGCGCTCATTTAGCGCCAGCCTTCTTCTTCTTGTTCGCCCCGTCATCTTTTACCGGCTTCCCACCCTTGTCCCCTGCAACCGCGGTTTTCTTCTTTGAAGGCTTCGGCTTGAGCAGGCTGGTCAGTAAGCCTTCCTCTTCCTCATCATCAAGTTCGAGAAAACTGATGTCTACATCCATTTCCTCGCCGCCCAAGAACTCCTTCATGATGTTTGCCACGGCCTCCGACACTTTTTCAGTCTTTCTCCTGACTTGCTCGTTGTCGCCGCCGACCCTCTCCGCTAGTATCTTATTGATTTTGTCCTTCCTCGCGACCTTGCCCGCCTTTGGGCCAGGTCGCGCTTGGCCCTCTTCACGCTTGCCTTCCTCCCCAGCAGCCCCTTTCTTCGCATTCTGAAAGCTCGCTTGCATTTGATCAACCAGATCTTGCAGCGCGTCGGAGAGCTTCATTCCTATCCCTTCCAACCCTCTCTCCCTATCTTCATCCACTTTGTCGCCAGCTGCTGCTCGCTCGACTATTACGCCTTCCGGCAAATTCGATTCCCGGTGCTTGGCATCCTTCGCCTGTGCCGTCGACTGGTCTGGTGAACCGCCAAGGGTTTGCTGCGGTTTCGATTGCGAGTAAGACGCGAAGATTCGCGCCACTTGCTGTACTCGCTGCCATTTCAGCGCCTTCGTCAAAGAGACTTCATCTACACCATGCATCTCGGCTGCCATAACAATGTGGGTGTCGTCGTGTCCCGATGCTTGCCCTGATGGGTGCGAATCTGGCACATCCACGGAATGGCAACGAATCGGCGATATGTTCACGTTGTGTTCGTTGAAAAACGGGGAGAAGACGGGGTCCGTGCAAAGTCTCGCAGTGTGGATCGTTACGAGGTACTGGCATGTCAGAGTTTCTCTGACGTCGTGAATTCGATCATGTAATGCATGAGGATTGCAGTAGAACTTTTTCAAAGGAAGGAATCAGAGCTTCCGTGTTGCGAATGCCTGTGGTTGTCCAGCATACCTACCTCAATGTTGACAGACCGCTCCGCGCCGTTGAGATCACACTTGGTACCGCCGCCCCATCTCTGGAGGACATGTGCGTGCTTAGCGCCAGCACCTTCCTCTATGACTACCAAGTCGCTAGATTCGGCCGCAACGCCGTCTTTCGGCTTCTCCCCACCGCCTGCCTGTCCTAGAACGTAGTTTTGACTCCGTATCTCCTCCAGTTGGGCAGGGGTCTTTGATGCAGCCTCCTGCTCTGTCATGTGATGCCATTGTCTGATGTGTCGATGCGGACAGAACTCATACGTCCAGTAGTCCTTGAACCACAGTAAACAACTCGCCGGGAACTTTCTGATCCCTAGAGCTTCCTGCGCAACCTTGTTGGCCAGCTCCAGACGGTTCTCTGCAGACCGGGGTTGGCTGTGGAACTTATCCATCCCCCTTTCACTCGACTTTTCCGGCTCCCCTGGAAGAACACAGAAGTACCGCTGTCCTGATGGGCTTCGCAGCCAGTCACCGGCAGGGTGACCGGTCGGTGTGAATAAGTTCGTCGTCGAAGCGACCAAGTCCTCGAGAGCAGATTGCGATGTCACTCGTTTCGTGATGCGAACTTGATGTTGAGGGACCGCAAAGAGGTCCGCATACACATCGACAACGGACGACAGACATGGTACTGCGCTGGCAAGAAGTACCAGCCATGGGAGGAGGCTTCGCAGATGCCCGCTTTGTGGTGGTCGGTTGGTCTTGGACATTGGGGCGTTTCGAGAACACCTGGTGGAGCAGGCGGATAAGGCTCGAGTGCGACGAGCACTGCAACGTATGGCTAGCTCGTTCGTATAGTATTCCGAGTTGATCGCCTAGGAAAGTACTTGTGGGCGAACGTCAAATTGTAATGAAGAGTAGGTCCAGGGAAGGATGCCCTCCGTTCGAAATTTCAGCGAGACGGCCGTTGAGGTGACGTGGGGGGGAGTGATCGATTGACAGGAAGGCTTTTCACGTAAGCAATCGTTGCACTCTCCGCCTGTCAGTTTCCCGACAGCAACCAAACGACTCGAAGATTGCAGGTACACGACGCCCGTTCTCGCAAGATTCAGTGGGACAACATGCCTCCAATAGCAGTACCAAGCGTCATAACAGAACCGCAGCGCTATCAACGCCGACATTATGTGCAGGCAGATTTTGTGTATGATGACAACATGAACGTCACAAAGAAGACTCTTGCAGATACGGGGAGGTTTGTCAACTGCTATTTGGGCTTGCATTCGGAGCTACCGATGCGTTGCAAAGCCTACCAACTGACTATTCCCCTCTTACCCAGGAATCAACATGTTTCCTCCTCGAGAGATGAACCTACCGGTCCGTCTACGTACCGGAATGACTTCAAGCAGAGCGATTCTGGACCCCGAGCTCTGGCGTATGGTCCGGTGGCAGAAGTAAGACCAAGTTACTGCTAGAGCATGGAGCTCAATGACGAACATCTGGGCTGAAATATTTTCAACGCAGTCGTACTACTACCGGTCCTTGAGAGATGGCAACTACCCAAACGCTGCACTGAAACAACGCGTAGCGCAAGCGGACCGCTTAGCTCACCTGTCTAGCTATCAGGAGGCCTGTCAAGGTGCGTGATCTCGTATGTAAAGTCTGTGATTCGCCGAAGGAATGGCTGAACCCAGAATGCCCTCGGGCTTCACGATGTAGATCGAATGGAACTCCCGAAGATTCAATCAGCGAAAGACCGAACCGGAAAATCTCTATATCAGTCTTCCTACGTCACATATGGTGAGGAGGATACTGCCAAGCTATCAGATGGAGCAAACCCGTGGGGTAAAACGAAGCTTTTGTATGTCCCAGGCACTAAAGGTATGCAAGCGTCCGAGACCAGCGCGGCGTTCTTCTCATGACGAAAAACATTTTAACGCACGGATTCCCTTTCCGAAAACAGCTACGGTCCGAGACCTTCTGCATGTGACCCCACCACAGCACTATACCTCCTACAAAAGCGACTACCAGCAATGGCCTGCGTTTGAGAATGATGCAGGCCCTTTGCCTGCGGCACCTTTATCGTCTCTTGATGCTTGTCGTACGGTAGTGCCGAAAGCTTTCAAGTACAGGCGGTGGGGTGGATGGAACGGGCTTTAGGGGTAGCAACATAGCATAGCGCTGAAGTAGCTCCATATATAGGGAGATTACAGTGCTCGGACTTGATGTTAGCCAATAGTAAAGGAGCAAATTATTGCTGGGCGTGTGCAGTTTGGATGAGTTGCAATACTCGACCGCTTGCAGCACTGGAACAGTGGTTGAGCCCACTGTCGATCTGCCCGTATGATGAATCCACCTGGTTTCCGATACTCATTTCTGTGCGACTTGCAATTTGAGCAAGCGCTCGACTTTGAGAGACGTTGCTCGTCGTGTTTCTGATGGGAGGGCTACGTCAGGACTTCAAAAGGACGTTTCCCACCTCAGCACCCCCCAGTATTCACCGGAAAAGGACCAACGAATCTTATACCGAACACAACGAAATACCACCCACAGTGAGACGGAACAAGCACTCCAGGAAGAGGCAGCAGTGATAGTGTAAGTCATTAGCCCATTTCTCGTGGGAAACTGTTGCAATGAAGTCGGCCTAATATGAGTCGGACTTCCAGTTTCGACGCACGATAGCACAATACATACCAAGATCAAAGTCAGATATCATAATCTGGCTTTCCGTTTGAGTGCGCATGAATGAGATAAGCGGCGATAGTTTTGTTCGCACTCTTGCAACCCACTTTCGGGAAAGTGGGGCGGCCGTTCTCGATGCTGCCAGGAAAGCGGTCAGCAGGCTTGACCAGACTTCTGAGCTTGACGTTCGAGCCGACCATGGCCCGCCGTCCGGCAGGGCTGCTACTCAATCAGTGCCAACTTCCGCATTTGCCTCCTATTTCTCAGCCGCCATAGGATTAGGCACGACGACTCCTACGGCGAAAGGGAGGACCTATGCTACGTTTACCTCACCTTCCGGTGACTACACGGCGTTGGCCATGGATCCATATCATTTGGAGTATCTGGGAAGCTTGTTCCAAGAGTCGCCGCTTGTTCGAGAGTACATTAGCGACAGCAGAGTGAATGGACTTGTTCCAAATATCCTGTCGGCTCAACCCAGTGGACAATCGAACAGCACATCTTCGTATCTCACATTCCTCTGGTCGCAATCAACACACGAAGGCCCACCGGCACCGACCACCACAGTAGACGAAGACGTACTCTATCTTTACAAGTTCTTTGCTGCACTGCCTGCCTTACGTATTGCCCCTGTCCGCCGCAACCGCATCACTGGTTTTCAGCCATCATCCCAGCTGAGCTCGGTTGATTTGTCCCCATTCCATGAACTCGTTTCTCTGGAATTCGATGCCGTCCATCCCAACGTAGTTTGCGCATGGGGTGAGGTCCGAACGCGGCTTAGGGCTCTTTCATGCCGTTATGTCTTGAAGAATGCGGAGGACCTTGTGATCGCGTTTCAGGAGTCGATTCGAAAACCGTCGATCTATGATCCAGACGCTCCGGACGCCGCTGATGTGGATGACGGCGTCCAAGTCTTCTTCCCAGTCCTCACGCATCTGACTCTAGCAGGGAACTTCCTCTCTGAGATTCCGATCTCCCTTATATCGCACATGCCTCAATGTGCGTATCTGAACTTGTCCTCGAATGCTCTGTCGGTCGTGCCGCCGGCACTGTCAGCGCTTGCCGAGCTGCTTGTGGTTGATCTATCCGGAAACCGAATCACCTCCATTGCAGAGGCCGGAGATGAGTTACGGAATGTGACTATACTGCTCCTGCAATCGAACGCATTGGAGAACCTTCTTGGAGTAGAGAGTCTCGCCCGACTTCAGTGTCTTGATGTTTCGGACAACAAGATATGGGACGTGTATGAGGTGGGGAGGCTTGCGGTTTTGATGGAGGTCAAGGAAATATGGATAGCGGACAACCCGCTTACCAAACTGGTAGGCATTGCCTCAAATCGCCCATGCGCTCTTCTGTTTTCTGATATCCCTTCGTTTTTGGTAGCCAAGTTTCCGGACGAACATCTTCACGTATTTCAAAGATCGAGCGTTTGGCCTTCTCTTGGACGGAAATCTGCCTTCTAATGTGGAGCAAAAAGCTGTGCAAGCGAACATGACCGTGGCCGCAGAGGCGGCATCATCGCGCACCTCCCCGCATGTCAAGTCAAGCGGAGGGAAAACGCGGTCTACGGTGTCCAAAGATGCCAGCGCACGCGAGGGTGATCGAAAGAGCACAACGAGCGGCAAGCGCTCTGCAAAGTCTACTGCCGATAAAGAAGAAAGGCAGAAGAGGAGGGAACGGAAAGCCGCGAAAGCCCTCTCTCAGCAAGCAAGGGAAGAAGGTGGAACAACTGCCGCGGAGCCAGTTAGCAAAGTCACTATCCCTGAGCAACCGGAGCAGGCTGCCGGGGACCATACAAGCGGCTTGGAAATACGGCCGTCTGGACCCACAACTGCGAAAGTTCCAAGAAGGACAAGATTGGCTGAACTGGAGAACAGCGTTGATCCGAACGGAGGGAGGGCTGGAACCGACATATTGGTCAGCCGAGGCCTCAAGAAGAAGACCAAGCCAAAGGTTCCCAAGAACGCGAAAGTCGCTAAAGAGGTGGCAACGGGTCCGTCAGTAGACGCGCTGGATACCCCAAACTCATCTCATGCTTCCATTGCCGAATCCCCGTTTGGCGAGACGCCGGCGTCCTCCACCCCCACATCTATTGCGGCTTCTGGCGCACCGAGTCCTGCTATTTCTCGCCGAACTTCTCAACCCAAGCCTAGCGACCTGGGCAGCAAAAGCGATGTGCAGAACAAAGAGGCGGAAACAACAACGACAGTAGAGCCTCGTCACCCAGACATTCCCCATGCCCTTCCTCCCATGCCGCCTCCCGTCGCCGATGGCTCGTTCAGCGGTGGTAGTCTTGATCACGTTGTCTCACTTATCGCCGTTCCACAACTCTTCACAGCGCCACCAATACTGCCTCCGCCTCTGCCTCAACCGCCAGCTGTTCCGCCGGGAGGACTCATAGAAACGATCGGTCCCTACCGGCGTATCTTTCAGTTTGACGCCTCGGTGGACTCCCGCTCCGCAAAGAGCTCTTCGTCGAACGTTAAATGGGTCTTCCCCTCCAACGGGATGGACCGGAGAGCTGAACTCAAAGCCGGCCGCTCAGCTAGACCCTCGTTCCGCCGTCGGGTATCGTCAGGTCCAGATGTGGAGGTGGGTCGCCAGGAAGATTTTGAAGGCGTCGAGAGCTCGCCGATTCAGGAGCGCAAAGGGAGCCAAGACAAGGTCGGCATTCTTGATGATGCTTCCCTTCCAGCGCTGCGGGTTGGTACCGCCGAACCCGCCGCCGAGTGCAAAAGGAAAGATCAGCTGACGAGAAGTCAGGAATTGAGACCTCCGTCCCCACCCGCACTCGTCCTCGCTCGACCATTGCGTTCGAATTTCACCGGCTCGGTGACCGCATCCACCCGCAGTGGTGGACGGTCGAACCTCACTGCGCCGGCGTACACAAGGATTTCCCAGGAGTCCTTGTCGGGTTCAGTTGTCGGGTCAGCCATAACATGGGCATCGATGCCCTCGTGGATGCGCCCGGGCCAAGCCACCGATACCAATATGATTCCCAGCGCACCGACCTTACCGTTCACGACGCTGACAAACGATTTGAAGCTGTACCTTATGATGCACATTGTGAAGGACCAATCCAAAGAGAAGTGCTTGCTCTGGGTTCCAGCTTCGTGCGTCGTGCAGCTCCCTCCGGACACAATAGCGGACAGCGGCAAACCGAAAGGCTGGTTTTATAGCGCCACAAAAGAGCAAGAACGTTGGCGAACGCCTGATTACCTCCCGGCTCAACGGCCATGTTACCTTCTTATCACGAATTTCCGACTGTATATCTTCGAGCCCAAGTTCAGATTCCCTTTTGTTGGACGATCAGGATCCCACTCCCAAGACACTCGTTATGATACCGATATTTCGTCACTCATTCGTTTGCTAAGGTGCATTCGGTTGACAGCGCTATCAAGAGTGGATGTCGGTCTGAATCGACAAAGCACTGTACTGCGATATTATGTTCGTGGAAGCGTGGCGCCCTCTGGACAGAGTGCGATTCATGAATCGCTGCATTGGATGGAACCAGGCGGTGTGTCGCCTTACGCGGACAAAGGCAGCAAGGGATATTGGGAAAGTGTGAACATCATCACGCGGGATAAGGTGACGACCACCGCATTCTTGGACATTCTGGCGGAGAATCACGCGAAACTGCTCCAAAACGAGGACAAGGGATCGCAGAGTAGTCTCAATGGTGACGTGGACGCGCAGTACCTCGACCATTTCGTCAATGAGCATCCGCACTGGGTCGTGGATGGCATCGCGGACAAGGTCCTTCTTCGCAAAAGCCAGCGACGGTTCACAAAGCCCTCCTCGTGGGCGCCGCGGACCCCGTCACATAGTCAGACACTACATACGTCTTCGCCAGGGGCGTGGTATCGACGTCTGCTGCGAGGTCCACAGCCCGCTGCCCCTGCACAAACCAATGGGGCGAGACCGTCTGATGCGGACAAGAAGATGGCTGGAGATCTTCTCAAGGAGGAAGACGAGGATCCTGCAGTTGTGCAGCCGCCCGACAGCCCGCCATCCACCATTGGCCTCTATTTGCTTGTCGGGCTGATCATCGGGGAATCTGGTGACCATACCGATTCATCTCGACCCATATCAGTTCGACCTTTGTCACTGGCAGCCACCAAGGATTTCCTCTACCTGTTTACTGAACGCCACGATATTTGGCCGCCACTGCTGTTTCCCCCCGAGTGTCACACACCTCCGTGGGTCAATGAGGTGATTCACAAGCGCGTTGCAGCAGCACACACGAATGGGCGCCCGCAGAATATGAAAGGCATCCTGGCCGATGCGGTGTCCATGGTCTCTCATGTAATCGACATCGCCAAACTGCGTGACATAATTCGTTGCGAGCGGTGGCGGACCTGGCGCTGGACGAACGCAGGCGCAGGGGAAGGCGCCATCGTTCAGAATGGATACATCGGCAGCTGGAGAAAAGGCAAGCGAAGAGACTATGGTGCCGGCCGGTTACCAGATTGGGGATGGTCCGCTGAGGGCGAATGCGTCGAAGGCAGTACGGCTGGCTGGAGCTGGTGGGTGCGTGTGGTCTTCCGCGACCCGATACCGCCGCCATCTTCCCAGTCCGACGGTCAGACCCCGCAAGACGGTCCAAACCCGGCAATGGCCGCATTACCACGGCGCCCACCTTCCGCCATCGATATGGGCGAATCGAACAACTGCTACTGGGATCTCGTGTTCGGTTCGCTCGACAGTGCAAATGAGTTCATACAGTTTCTGCGGGAGACCCGTGGCTCACGTTCCGGGTTCGATTTGGACCTTGCAGTCCCTGAAGCCAGCATCACCTTTGACTCTGCGCACAGTGCCGAGAGCAACGACTCAAGCTCGCACCCACATCAAGATGACTCTGGTATCGAATTCATCATCGGCGATGATTGAGCGGCTCTTCGTCGGTTGATCTCCCTCTCACCGACGTATCTGACCTCATCGTTCCTTTTTGCGTTCTATTTTGCGAATGTCTATGTACATATCCTATATACCCATTATAGAGCGGATTCTCCCGAATCAATATGCTACTTTGCATTTGGTTTTGCAGACACTTTTTCCCAAAATTCATCGTTTGACGTTGATTGCCGCTGTTCCTCCTTCTCTACTTTCTTCTTGAGATACTGTGTCTGGAGATCTTTCACACGCAACAAACTGAAATGTTGAACCTAATATGGGAAAAATTAGCCATGGTCAGAGACCTTGTCACACGATTAGAAGCACTGCTGTTTTACAAGCCCTCAGGACTTACCCAACTCGCTAAACACTCCTTGTCAAACTCGGCCTTTGCAGCCTTGCAAGCAAAAAGTTTCTGCTTTTGATCCTTTGAGAGATTCCTATCCTTCTCACTCGCGATAGTGAGTCGCTGCGGATCTATTGCTATTATCTCGTCGTGCGTTTGAGGTGCCAGGCCTTGCAGGTACAGGTTGTGGGCGTCCAGGCAGGTAAAATATGCATCTCGGGCCTGCCAGCAACGCGAGCGCGCGGAGCGTGATGGTGGGAGCGAGCCCAGTTTCGGCTGTTCGGCAGGCATTGCAGGTGCTTGGATCCAGAATCCCGAAGCCGAGGAGAAAACGCAGCGGGTGCAAGAGGTGCAGTGTGATAAAGGGCTCTATGGGCTGAAAGGTTTCTCAGACACGAACAACCGTCGACGTTGAGGATGGACATTCCCAACAACGCCAGCAAGCAGGAGCATTGGAACAAAGGGGAGAACTCGTTTTGTTATTGTATCGTATTAAGTGTCGTCATATACAAGTGGGAAAGAATAACAAAGGTGCGTATGAACAATGATCTTGAACTGGACCATTGGTTTCCCTAAGCGGATACTCACAGGAACCGCCACGAGAAGGCTATCCAGTATGGGTTCCCGCTTACAAACTGAAGACCCATACTGGATAGCCTTCTCGTGGCGGTTCCTGTGAGTATCCGCTTGGAAAAAGCGTTTCCGGTATAGCCGACGGATCACATCCTCTGTCGTCATGTTTGCCACAGTAGCTTTCTTTCCTAGCTGGGTGGCAACGTTTGTCCGAATTCGGTTCATGGCAGCTCATGAGTCTGTTGACAGTATGCGAATACCAACGAACACCAACGAACGGCAGTCCGTGATGGCCTGCAGTAAGAACCTTCAGGTCACTTGCGGAAGTAACGCATTCGGCATACAGCTTTCCTGCAGATGTGATGCGAGGGGTAGACAGCTTGGTCCCATCACTTTCCGTATTTTCTTTTTTCCCCGTAGTCTCTCTGCACCCTCATTTCTGGAATCCACATCAGACTCGGCTGAAGATTCTGCACCAGATTCCTCACATCGCCGCCGTCTGCCGCCAATCAGAGAGTACCGAGAACCTAGTCCTTCGCGTGCATTTCTTTCCCGTGTGCTTTGTGCCTCCCTTACTGCATCCGCGTATCGTCGTTCCCCATTGCTCAGGGTATCAATATCTCGGTGGCGCAAGTTGAGCAGCTTCGTGAAAAGCTACAGCGCATCAGCGAGGGTGAAGCAAATGGCACCATTGGTCTCTCTAAGGAATATCAACTGCACCGGGATATCGGCGTCCCCGACAACCTGGCGAATGGTGCTGACAGCGTGCCATCCCATCGCAACATGTAGCTTGGGTCCTCCGGAGTTGTTTGGCCATAGTCTTCTCCTTCACCTTTTCCTTCTCGTTTTCCTTTTCCTTCTCCTGAGTTCTTGCTGGCGTAGCGAGCGGTCGACCGAGCGTCTTCTCATATATGACTTTTGCCATCTGAGCCTCGATAACCGTCTGTGCGCTGATTTTGGCTTGCTGTTCATTCCAGTGCAAACCCTCGGATAGGTGCCAAAGGATCAAGGTACATAGATCTTCGCGTTCGGAAATCGAAATCTGCTTCATCTGCTTCTTCAATGTCCAAGATTCAACCACCCAGGAGTATCGGTCACCAGCATCAGAAATGGGGCATTCAACTGCTTATTCTCCATTTCCCTTACATCAGTGCCCCGCTTCAAAGGTGCTGCCGCAGATGATGCCGATGGCGCGGCACTATCATCGGACACGGTCTCCACGCCATCGTCTCCACCACCATCAGCTGTTCTGGTCGAGGGCTTGTGTTTGCGTCTGTGCCTATTCAGTTTGCTTTTTCCAGTGGTAATGTCAATTCCTGCTTCTGTGGTCGTGCGGTCTCCTCTCTTCTTCCTGGCCCAGGGTCTGCGCTTCTTTTGCTTCTCCTTTCCAGCACCTAGGGGGTGGTAGAGGAGGTGAGTACGTGCACTGAGGGTTAGGGGTAGACGGAGAGGACCACACATCTTCCACTTACATCATTGCTGGGGCCACCTCCCCCTCGCTGCTTGTAACATCCTCACTGGACTCTGATCCTTCATTTTGCAGGCGACAGCGTTTGCCAAGAGCAGCGTTGCCATCAGTTGTGTCGGATGGAATCAAGATTGTACCAGACCCCTTGCAGCCGACGGAACGCAATCCAATGAGTGTGGACTTGCTCGCTCTCACTCTGCCCACTCCCGTCCCAGCTCACATCCTCGCTGTCAATCTCCCAAAGCCCATCATTCATAGTCACGCCCCTGTTTTGCGCGTCGCTTACGCGTGAGCGAACTAAGCAACTCCGCATGCAGTTGACAAGTGGACAACCGCTGAACCCTGCATTCAGCGCGAACTGTCAAAAAGCTGCTAGGGGTTCGAAGTTCACAATTTCCGTCCTTACATTAGGTCCACTGGTGGAGGATGTCGCTACCTCCAAGTCAACAGGAGATCCTGGAAGGTGCAGGGCAATTGAGTATTGCTACGTTTGTTTCGACTTTAGCTTTTACCAGTGGGACAGCTGTAGGTGCCCTTTAGCGTAGCCGTAGCTTTGCAATATTTAGAGATACTGATAGTGCGTTACAGCTGGGGTTCTATTGCGCTTTCTTTTTTCTCCGAAGCCGTGCGCCGCTGGTTTATTCCCCACGATCAGCCGTCGTCCCGGAAGAGTATGTTCAATTTGTAGTTTTTGCACAGGTTTCAGGTTTCTGATGTATGCACAATCATGTAGAAAGCGAGCCCCACAAAGTTCGGGCTATACTCTCCTAAAATCATGTCTATGGGTGCCCGAAGAGGAGCTCATCCGACAGTGCGGCCAGGACGCCTTCGCGGTGATCTACTACATGCGGCAGATGCTGATCTTTTTTGCAACGCTCGGAGGTGTTGCTATCGTTACCCTGTTTCCATTGCATCAAACGGGGGGGCAGAATTTGTTGGGACTGGACTCGTTGACTTTGGCAAACATTGGGCCTGCCGAGACCAAGAGGCTTTGGGCTCATCTGTTGATCAGCTGGATATATGGTGGTACGTAATAGACAAAATATGATGAGTACTCGAAAGAAAACTTGATCATCGCTTTCATTTAACAGTCTCTTGTATGAGAGTCATAAGGAGACTACTTCAAAAGGCGACTTCGCTGCGTCACTCTTTCCTTCTGAGTGAGGAGAATCGGAGGTCGCTAGATGGATACACCCTTCTCATTCGTGATGTTCGTATGTGATTCAGCCCATGAGCCCCATTTCAACCTATTCACCCTCATCACATTTCCAGATACCAAAGCATCTCCGTGACCCACATAAGCTGTTCATTCTTATGGACCGCATCCAGCCAGGCTGCGTCGAAGATGTCGTAGTGAGCACACCCAGCCGGCGACTGGATCGGTACGCATCTCAGAAGATATCCGTCCGCAACGCAATAGAGAGCGAAATCACCGCATATTTGAGAAATGCGGCGTATCGCAAACCTGCGAAGAGGAGAAGGAGTGTTTCGCCTGTGGGATCCCGGTTGAGATTTAAGAAGGCGACGAGGGAGATGGAAGAGGTTGATAATAGTGGAGTACGCCGCATCTTTGCAATGCAGCTTCTTCCTCAGAAGTGACCAGGCTGACAGGTTTTGCTTTAGGATCTACGAGGGCGAACGCAGTTCACCTTGCCACACCCAGCGACATCCTCGTCCATGAACTTCCATGGAAAAAGAGAGGACACGACACATTCGCCAAGCGGGGAAATCGGGGCGGGCACGGCACGAAGGGATTTCTCCGCCGATACAAATCATGGAATGGACGTAGATCCTTCAGATAAGGGTCATCTTGAATTGCCCAACGTCGAAATCGACGTGGAGGATGGGCAACATCATTTTGTGGATCACGTTCTTTCAGGAAACTTCCAAACGTCAGCACACATCCCCATGTCCCACGACACAATGGCGGGAGACGGCGGTTCCCAAGACAACGTCGGCCCATCCACCTCATCCCTCAACCTCCCCGAACCCACCCCACTAGCTCCTAAAACCGCCAAACGCCCCATCCACCGCTCCTATTACTTCGTCGGCCACCAATCTGACGCGATCGCAGACAATCTCATCCAACTCCGTAAATTGATTGAGAAGACCGAACGCAAGCGCACCAAAATCGTGTCAAACCCCACTCGGCAACAAGGTGCAGCGTTCATTGTTTTCAAAGACATTTTCTCCCCGCATGTAGCGGCCCTAGTCAATCTGGACCCGCGGCCGAGCTTGATGGCGGATCGCCAGACGTGTGTGAACCCCGACGATATCATTTGGGAGAATTTGGATATGGAGTATGGAATGAGGAAGGCGAGGACGATGGTTGCTACGGCTTGTATTGTCGGCCTGACTTTGGCTTGGGCATCGATGAGTAGGTCCTTGCCATTTGGCCGTTGCGGGTGCAGAAGAGAAATAGCTGATCCGTCTGATGCCGCTCTCTGCAGTGACGGTGATTTCGTCATTTGCGACACTGGATCGTGCTATTCAGGTATGCCATATATGCCACAAATATCCAGACCATGTCTCGGAAATTGATTCTCATTCGCTTTCGTGATAGTACCTGCCTTTCCTGAAGGTCTTCGACGACCTCGATCCGGCAACCAGGGGCGTTGTACAGGGAATACTGCCAACTTTGGCTGTATCGCTTCTGTTTATGCTCGTCCCTTTCATTGTGCGAAGTAGGTTTATCCCGGATGTTTTGCCACAGGCTTCGACGAACCATACTTACGGAGCAAATTTGGAACCTTTTTCAGGACTGTCACACTTTGCAGGCCATCCTACGCAGTCCAGTATAGAGCGCACCCTCCTTACGTTCTATCACGGCTTTCTGGTAAGTTGCGAGCCAGGTTAGCACCCATCTCTGCCGGCGCCTCATAGGTAATATTCCCCTCAATGATAGGTCTTCAACATCCTTCTCGTAATCACAATCTCCGGCTCACTCGTCACAGCCCTCAAGAACATCATCGACAACCCTCAGCGGATCCTCAGCATCCTCGCCACATCCATACCCACCGTCTCTAACTTTTATGTGAATTACGTGATGTTGCTCGCGCTCAACGGTCCCGCCGGAGAAGTTCTACAGCTTTCAAATTTGTTACTCAAGCCGATCATGTTGAGGCTGTTTGGCAGTACGCCGAGGAGCATTTTAGGGTATTCGAGGCCGGGGTTCTTTTTGCCTGGGTATGCCATACTTGCACATAAAAGCTGGACGGACGGATTACTTGCTGAAGATAGCTTTTCCTTGACTACAGGACGACACTGGCGAGCCATTCATTGATTGCAACAATAGGCTTGACATATTGCACAGTCGCGCCCCTCATTGTCGTTTTCGTTGTTCTGTACTTTGGGCTCTATCAAGTTGCTTATTCGTACCAAATGCGGTGAGTAGTTTCTTTTTCCACCTGCCTCTCCCGATGTCACACAACCTGATCTCCTTCTCGTATGATATAGTTATGTATACCAACATTTGGCTCAGACCGGCGGGCTGTACCTGAACACTCTTGCCCGACAACTCTTCGTCGGCCTTTACATCCATCAACTAGTCCTGATCGGACTTTTCCTGCTCAAGAAAGCCTACCCGCAAGCCCTAATCATGCTAATAATGCTGAATGTTACCTTTCTCTACCACAAGCACACACGGCTATACACAACACTGATGATGGCCGTGCCCGCCCGCGCCGTTGTCCAGATGGAAGCTAAGCTCGGCGCCACCGCATCTAGCCGGTCGAGAACCGCAACGGCTACGACGACAGATCATAGCGACGCTGACGCTGCGAGACGAATGAGTGGATGGGATAAGGAGTCTAGTTCTGATATTTTGGATGCGGCGCAGGCCATTCTGATGGAGAAGAGTCGACCGATCTGGGATAAGACCGTTGCGCTCGTCGGTGGAATTCCGACACTGATACCGACGTTGGGGAGAAACAACCCGAAAGACCACGCAGATGCAGCGGACGTGGAGGCGGGGACGAAAGTACCTACTGATGTTGTGAAAACCCCACGCGCTCCCCCTGCAGATATGTTTGAGCCACGGGAAGAAGCACATCCGCCAGGGAAGGAAGTAGCCTCAGATATCCCACAAGCAAGCGCATCAGGGCATCCAGGCCACGACTTCGATGATTCCGACTCCGACGACGAAGATTCCACCGCCGACTCCAACGACCCTGTGGGCTCCCACGCCGAGATGCCAGCAGCCAACATCAAACGCAAATACCTCGGCCCTGCCGACTATCGCGAACGGCTTTCACCTCCTTCTGCACGCTTGGCGCCGTGTATGATCTGGGTGCCTCATGACATGTATGAAATTGCCAATACCGCGATCGCTGCCGAAATCAATGAAGCTCTGGGCAGCAAAGTACGGTTTGTATGCGACTGGGCAAAGTTGGACAGCAAGGGACATATCGTTGTGGATTTGGAGCTAGCCTGTGATCATATTAGGGTTGAGACTTGAAGATATTTCGGACTACGGAGGATATTCTGCACATTTTTGTATTTTTGTGTCTGCGTTGTGTGTTGTGCTTGTATTGTATTCATGTCGAACTCCATGCGCATCTTTGGGACGTCTGGGCCTGGGCCACATCAAGATCGAAAGAAGATCGTGTTATTCTATACAAGAAGCTAATATCCACGAGACAACAGACGCGGTGCCAGCTAGATGGTATTCAATATCCGACTCTAGAAACGGAGCGGTCAGGAGCGCTAGAAAGAACAAGAGGATAAGGCCGGGTGCTCAAGGATGGTCATAAGAACTTTGGTACTAACCGTGGGCACATGCCATTACTGAGGGGTATCCTTTGGTGGTCCAGACAACTTGAAAGGCATAGCTGGGGTACCCCGCACTTCCTTCATCAGATCCAGGTATTGTTGTGCAAGGTGTCGGCAGTTCTGTAAGTGGTTGACGCCCTCCCGCCTGTAGCACCATCGCATCTTGTCCCGCACGACGTGCACTTCTTGGAATCGCACCATCTGCTCCTTGAAGAATTCATCTCTCGACCGCAAGACTGCTGCCCTGTCTGCAAAGTGGCGATATAAATACTGGTCAGGAACCTGTCCATGTGCCCCATAAATTGCCCAACGTATTCGTGCCGTCCGGCGCACTTTCGCACGTTCGTTCCAAGCCCACATCTTCATACGGAAACTCCGTCTTTCCCACGCTCCCGCATCCTCTGCTCGCAGCTTGCGTCTTCCACGGCAAACCCGTTCGTGCTACAACAACTCACCATAGACATCGAGGTCTGGGTCAATAACCGCCAGAGGCGACACCTGAGTTATCCAGCGTGAGTAAAATTATGCGAACGAGAAACAAACGACAGACAGCGTGGATTCCTGCCGCGGCTTGCCTCCTCACGCACGTACCGGTATAGTTTGTGGGACAGCCATGGTGTGTGTGTGTGTGTGTTGTTCGTTGGGAATTCAGGATTGCCGTCTATTGCCAACTTCAAGTTCCCACACGACTCGGTCGGTGTTGCTTCACTCCCCACGCAAGTCTTCAGCAAGCGTGTTCTTCTGTTCTGGTGGTCACGCTTACGTAAACGCTGTGCTTGCTTGTCTCGCCGGTTCTCTTCTACGTAGCTCCGAAAGCAGTTGGCATTCGCAAATTTCACCAAAGGAATAGCCTTGTAGTCTCAACGCCCCGAACAGAAAGAACAAAAGCCACTTACTACTTCGTCTCGAGGTCAGGGCAGCCACGACTGCATACTCGACCGTACCCGCTGCAAATCCGGTTTTGGAACAATGGCCGAGAAAGTGAGCAAAAAGGAGAGGAAGGAACGGAAGGAGAAAAAGGAAAAGCAAAGTAAAGGAAAGGAAACGGAAGAGACTCCAAAACCAGCACAGGAAAAGGATGCTGTGAAAGAGGTTCGAGTTGCGGCTACCGAGACGGTGTCCGCGGTGACGAAGAACCCCACCGACACAGAGGCTGCAAAGTCTTCCGACGACGCAGCCGTTACAAAAAAGACTGAGAAGGAGGGAGCATCGTCGGGCAGGTCCCGCACTACCCTTTTCGTGTCAACAATCCCATATCATGCCACCTCCGAGCAGTTGCAAGAGTTCTTCTCCGAAATCGGACCGGTGCGGTCATGTTTCGTAGTCGCGGACAGCAAAGCCGAGCCTGGGAAGCCAAGAAACAGGGGTTATGGATACGTTTCCTACGCCCTTCCGGAAGATGCCGATCGTGCGTTGAAGGATCTGAAGAAGACCAAGTTTTTGGATATGCGTGTGCTGAAGATCGATTTTGCCATGACGAAGAAGGTCATTGAGGATAGAAAGGCCAACGGTCTCCCTTTAAACGACGATGCGGAAAGGCAAAAGGCGCGGAAGGAAAAGATGCAGAAACAGAAGCCTGTTGTCGAACCTGCCGCCGATGGTGACGCCGCACCCGTCGCTTTCAATGCTCCACGCACCCCGAAGATACATCAGCGAATTTCGAAGAACATAATCGTGGAGATCACGGGCCTGCCCGCGGACATCACACAGAAACACGTTTACAAAAAGGCTCGCAAATTCGGAGACGTCTCCCAGGTGATATATCCTGTATCGAAGCGAGGCGAGATACTTGCTGGAACCGCACACGCCGTTTACAGCACACCAGCAGAGGCCGACAATGCTGTCAAACACCTGGACGGACACCAGTTCAAGGGTGCAGAAATCCGAGCGAAAACGGTGGTGGACGAGTCGAAGATTGCGAAACAAGCTCGTCTGATTGTTCGTAACCTGCCATGGCAGTGCAACGAGCAGCACCTGCGGAAATTGTTCGGCAAACATGGAACCATCGTTGATATCCTGATCCCTCCAGCGGTCAACGGCAAAGCTCGTGGTTTTGGGTTCGTTCAATTTGAGACCCAGGAAGAGGCCGCTCAAGCGATCGAGCAGGTTAACGGGGTCGAGCTCATGAAGCGTCTCGTCGCTGTGGATTGGGCTTTGTCAAAAGCGCAATTCGAAAAGGCCGTGCAGGAGGAGCAGCAGGAAGAAGGTGGCGATGCCGCAACTCCAGCTGCTACAGTTCAATCCGCGTCTGCCGATGCAGACGGTGACGACGACAATGACGACGAGGAGGAAGATGAGAAGCAATTCTACCTCGACACGATTGGATCGGATGCCGAGAACAGCGCCGACGATGCGGAAGAGGGCGACAGCAATGAGGCTGATAGTGACGAGGAATCTGATGCGGGCGATGATGTGGAAGTTACGTTTGACGATGAAAAGAAGAAGGATGCTACGCCTAAGCCATCCAAGCTGGCAGCCAATGTGCAAGACAACTGCACACTCTTCATTAGGAACCTGAACTTTGACACAACGGAGGAGGAGCTCTCTGAGGCGTAAGTGTTCATTTCGAAGCTGTTCCCATTTTTCTTGTCAGAACACAATACTGATTTGCTGTCCGTGAATGCCAGATTGTCGCATTTCGGTGAACTTCGCTACTCTCGTATCACAATGGATCGCGCCACCGGTCGTTCCCGTGGAACTGGGTTCGTTTGCTACAAGCGTAAAGAAGACGCAGAGACGTGCCTGGCAGAACACGAGATCGCTCGGCGGGCGTCGGAGGCATTGCACGGTATAAACGCTGCCCCTGTAGATACCAAAGCCCAGAAACACAAAAAAACCTTGCGCCCACCAAGTCCATCTTGACCCCCGAGCCGTCCCTGACCGCCAAAGCGTCGCCATTCTTGGTCGGCGGCCGATTCCTGAACGTGACTCTGGCCGTGAACAGGAGCGAAGCGAACCAGCTAGCGGAAGACGGCAAGCTACGTCGTCGTGCAGATGACAGCCGCAACATGTACCTCATGCGCGAAGGTGTCATTTTCCCCGACACCGAGGCCGCCAAAACACTGACGCCATCGGAACTCTCCAAGCGCCAAACAAGCTTCGCCGAACGCAAACGCATCCTCACCACCAACCCCAACCTCTTCATCAGCCGCACCCGTCTCAGTGTCCGCAACCTGGGCCTGAAAATCGACGACAAGGAACTCAAACGCGTCGCTGGGATCGCCGTCCGCAAATTCTGGGACGACGTCAAGAAGGGGTTGAGGGAGGGTCTTGAGCCTGAGGTTATCAAAGAGGAAGAGAACGAAGGTCGCCCCGCACCCTCTGGATCTCGCAGGGCGGTGGTCACGCAAGCCAAGATCCTCCGCTCCAAAGACCGTATCGACGCCGCTACTAAGCAGCCCCGGTCAAAAGGATATGGGTTCATCGAGTTCGACTCCCACGCCGACGCATTGGCGTGCCTGAGGTGGATGAACAACAACCCGCGCGCGTTCAACCCCGCCCCCGCCAAAGCAGGCGCAGCGGACGCGACCCCAGCAGCAGCAGTAGACGACGAAGAAGCTACCTCTGTCGCAAACAGCAGCGGCAAACGCCCCATCGTCGAGTTCGCGATCGAGAACAGACAAGTCATCAAACGCCGTGAGGAGCGTCAGGCGCAGTTTGGACGGAAGGATGATGGGAAGAAACGTGGGAGGGAGGATGGAGAGGATGGTGGTGCTGATGGCGGGCCGTTAAAGAAGAAGCGGTTTGGGGAGATTTGGAGGGATAGACGTATTGCTGCTAAGGAGAAGGGGAAACCGTTGGGGAAAAAGACCGATGGAGCAAGGCCGGCACAGAAATGGGTCAAGCCGGATGGTGCGCAGCAGAAGTGGTCGAAACCCGATGGTAGCAAACCTGCGCCAGGAGGATGGAAGGATAACAACAAGAGCGCTAACGGAAAGCGGAAATGGGGCTCTGATGGAGGCGACAAGGTCACCGCCGTTGGCCAAAACAAGCGGGGCAAATTCGACAAATCGTTGGACGCCAAGCAGCCGCGACCATCACCAGCCGCCGCGCCCGCGCCCGCTAGGCCATCAGCAGCTGACGACCAAGCTAAAAAATCCAAGAAAGCCGCAAAAGCCGAAGCCAAGCTCTCAAAAGACCAGCGCGACGACAAGAACTTTGACAACCTCGTGCAAAAGTATAAGAAGAACCTGTTTGGTGCCGGAGCGGGCACGAATGCGTCGGAGAAGAAACAGGCGGCTACTACTGCTGATGATAAGAGTATCAAGCGGTGGTTTAGCTAGAATTTTTCAACTCGGCATTGGTAGACCTAGTCATATGTATCTAGCAATCAGTATATAGCATTGGGGGACACCGGTGGAAAGCTCGGAGGGAGATCGATTCACGGAAGTATTTAAGAATGCATTTCATAATTATATTTACATAAGATACAAATGAAGTGTCCGACCGCCATCAACGGCGGAAGTGGGAAAAGCGGGATGGGTTCTTTCGCGAAAGCGAGGATATATATTGCTGGTGTATAAGCGGTTCCATGACTGCCTTAAAGAAAAAGAGTCTTGAAGAGGTAGAGCCTTTGGTTGTCCCAACGTATGGGTATATTGGATGGGATCTACGCCCAGCGACCAATCACAGCCATGAGGGCGGCACCGGCCCACAGGGAAAGGAACTGGACGAACTGTGCGCTGATCCGGGCGTGCTTGAAGTTCATGGACTGGAAGTGGGGCACGATGATGTTGGCGAGGCCGTCGTAGAGGAGGATTCCGGCGGAGAGGGCGTCGAGGACGCCGGTGGAGATGAGGGCGCGGGTTGCGTTTTCGTTGTCTGTAGGATTTATGGACGATCAGAACCAGATATTCAAAAAAACTAAGATGAGAGGAGAGGATACTTACAACTTGAGTTGAGCGCGATGCCCAATGCGATTCCAATGGGCGTGGTGAAGCAGTAGAAGATGACCATCCCGATTGCAAGGGTGCGCTTCTTGAGCTCTGCGTCCAAGACGACGGTGGAGAGGGCCAGGCCCTCGAAGAATTGGTGGAAGCAGAGTGCGATGAGGAGACTGTGGAACTCCTCTGGAAGAACATAGCAGGATGCGTTAGTACACACGTATTATCAAACAGCAATATGGAAGACGAGAGGCGGAGACGTACCTCTGGCGGCACCGAGCGTCAACCCGATGATGATAGAGTGCGACGCAATACCGAGCTCAAGAACGTACGTCGCGACAGTCTTCTCGGCATCCGCGAGCACCAAGCTATGGTGATGAGCGTCGTCAGCGTGAGCTTGAGAATGGCGATGGACAACATGGGGCTCCGCATCCGTAGACGACGATGCGCCCTCGCCGTTGATCCTATCCTTATCTTGAACGAGTCCTTCCTCCAGCTGCTTGCCAGTGGATAGTGAAAGAGGCCCTTCGGTAGAAGTGGACACACTGCCCGAGTCGTTGTCGCCGTGGGCTTGCTCAGCGCGCATCTCATGATGGTGGTGTCGGTGGGTATGGGCGGCATGCACGGCCTTTGTTGCATGCTTCTTGCCATGGCGCTGGCGTAATATGGTTACAGCAGATACTTGAAGGAAATGGGTGAAGAAAATGCCAAAGAGGGCAATCGCGCCGGCCCAGGCGCCATAGTCTTGGAAGACTTGAGGGAGGCATGGGTTGGTGAGCTGCTCTTGGGCAGGCGTGAACATGTGAACGACAGCGGTGGCTAAGATGACACCGCTGCCGAAGAGTTTCAGACATTGGAAGGACAGGTTGCCAAGCTGCAAATGTGAAAGGAAAAGAAGAAATTAGGTAAGACAACTGACGACAGCATGGTGAACGGTCAACTGCTGGCAACCCACCTTGGCCGCAGAGAATCTTCGCCCGACGATGGGCAGGAGTGTTCCCATGAACGACAGCAACATGATGAGAAACATCGCGCCGATATGCCAGTGGAGGTCATAGTCCCCCGAGAGCTCTGCAGCACAAACTGGCTGCTCGGCGTCAGCGGGGGGAACGTCAGCTTGTGGGGGGGTAGCTTCGGGTTCGGCAGACATTGTTATCTTGGAAGAGAGGCGCGAGTCCTCTGCGTGAAAAGACCTTGTTTGTGTGTGAACACCTCTGACGTTCGTTGCAGCTTCTGTATACAATGGGGCGAACCAACGGTGAGTATATTCCTTCCGTCTCGAGGCGGGGTATCTGAGCACCTCTCTGACCCTACCTTATGCTCAACGAGTGGTTCAGAACCGACGATCAGGCGGCAACTACTGATGGGCCGCTTTTCTGAACGGCGAAGAATCAGGGCCACAGACAGAAAACAAGACACGGGGCGGCGAGGCTTGCAACTGTTCGTCGTGGGTATAGAGGGTGGATAGGACGGAGGGGTATGCGGGAGAGAATAGCGGGAGGGGGAACCGAGAAGGTAGCGGGATCCTTTTGTAGCAAGGACGGGAGGGGAGAGCGAGCGAGGGGGGGGGGGGGGGTCCCTCCGAGGTCCTCGCAACTGATGGGGTACTCGCCGCCCTCTCTCTCTCTCTCTGTGTCGGTTGTGTTCGCCGTGCGATTGATTGGTGGGGAATTCATCCGCCGCCCGCTGCAGATCTGCAATTGCGCCATCGCCCCCACAAACCACAAACTCAAAGTCACGTGGGGTCTCGTGGCTGTCTTCTGGATATTTTGCGAGTCGAGCGAAAAAAGAAGAGCAGCAACAAGCGAACAAGCTTGCACCTACAGGAATTTGTTATTGTTACTATTGTTATCAGCTGCTGGACCCTGGTCCCTCACTCGAACTAGCACAACGATGGCTGGCCCCAACCCACAGGTAGCTCCTTCTCGTCGGGGGAGCAGCAGCGCAGAACAAAGGCTTCCAAACAACTGGCCGCCAAATCACCTCGAAAACGGCATTCCGGTCTTCGCATAGCGCACTTTTGGTTCGAAAACAATTCCTTCTCGCGGACAGCAATGGCAGTGGACGACAAGAGTCCTTCACAGCAACCAACAGTGCCCACCGTATCATCTAGCGTTGCACCCAGCTGTGGCGTCTCACAACAGTTATGTCCAAGCGTCGGGGACGGAGTTGGCGGCAACAAAGGCGCAGTTAGCGGAACACAGACCCATCTCCACACCTCGGAACTTAGGAACGACCTGCCATGGTACAGAGCCGGTACAGTGCATTCACTGGGGACCATCTTGGCGACCGCGTTGCCCGTCATTGTTCCTCTTTTCGGTCTCGCCGCTTTGCTGCGCTACCTGGAGATGGAGGTAGAGGGGCTGACGACCGGGACGCGCGAAATCGATTCGCACACTGACTCTAAGAAATTAGCGATTTTTATATACTTTGGACCATGCTTCATTACGATCCTCACCATCAATGCGTGGGATAACCCGGCAATCAGAGGGTTTCCGGAATGGAAGGAGGCGATTGAGAGCTACGTCGACGTTACCGACAACAACCCCGAACTATTTGAACGCGTGAGAAGATCAAAGCAAATAACAAAGACATTCGTGGGATACCTCGCCATACGAGCGCTCTGGGTGGTTCTCAACGCCATACCCGCCTACTATTGCGGCTCGGCCAATGCTGCGTTGGGCTGGACCGTCCTGATCAACGTATTCTTTCTATTCTCCATCGGTTCGTTGACCGTTTGGAAGGGACAGTCGCTGAAAGACAAAATCCTGCACACATTTCGGGGATCGTCGTCGATGATGCTGGGTTATCTGACGGTATACGTTGGCTTTTACGTCCTTCGACACACTAAGACGCTGCAGTTTGCTGCGCCAATTATTACTGGTCTCTGCTATCCGATGATGAAGCTAGTCCTCATCGCTTACTACATCGACGCCGGGAAAGCACTCTACGGCTGGAAGCTGCACGACCGGCTTTGGGGCGGTGCAGCACACCTCTACTCCTACGTGGTGGCTTTTCATTCTGCCTACGGTGTCCCAAGCAAGCTTCAAATCCTGAGCTTCACCAGCGATGCGCAGTTCTGGGTGACGCTCCTGCTCAACTTCATTGCGGAAGTCGGCGCACGTTTATTTGGAGTTTACATCGTTAGGTGCCTCCAGGAAGCTGCTGTCCAATCGGAAACGAACGCGAACTCGGCGGTACACAAAATGATTGATGGGAAGTGCGATAACGCCGGTTCGTCCGATGACTTGGAGAAGCTGAGGAAAACTCCGCCGGCGACTATTCTCAAATCGGTGAACATGCAAGAGATTAGCATCAAAAGCAATATCGACGCAAAAGAGGAAGAGTCGAAGCACATACCCAGCGACAATCGGCCGAGTGCAGCAGCCGCTCCGATACCCAGAAGTCCGTCGTCAGTCAAACGTTCAAGCCCCGACCCATCCGCCTCGTTCCTCCTGCGCGCCCACCAAAAGATGAAATGGATCGTCACCACGAAGATAAAGATGGCCGACTTCCAAGACCCGCAGTGGCACTGCCTCACCTTGGGAGGCATGGCCGTCAGCGAGTATTGCGCCTTGGGATGTGCGGTCAGCCTCCTCGTCTTTCAAGGCGCCGCGCTGGGCGTCATCGAACCGCCAGAAGGGTCCCCGAGCGATCCCGATACCTTGAGCGTTGGCGCCTCTTTCTTGTGGGGATTCGCACATGGAACCTCCCCGAACGCTTTAGGTTGGCCGATTCGAGCTGGCATCTTTTTCGCGGGGGAGATTATAATGGATGTTGTTCTGGGCGTGGTACAGCGCCAGCATGGGATTCGGTGGGAATCCCTGCCCCCTTTCAACGCTTTGGCGATTGTTGGCTGCTGGGCGTGGCTGTTGAGTTGCACCTGCACGTTTTTGACTGTCTATCGGGACCTGCTGTAATCAAAGCACACTACAACACCACCCCGAACTCGCAAGCAGCTGAATCCGCATCTCCCTTCATCAGCATATCTGATGGCTGTTCGTCGGACACATTTCACGTAGAGTACACCGATTCTTGCGAAAGCGGCCATCCCCACTTGTACAATATATCAATACATAGCGCCCTTCGAGATGAACCGTTGTGGAGAGCACATTCTGTTATCTGGCATATTCATGTGGTTTCATCAATTCTGGTGGGGCATGCAGAGTAGTCTGAGTAGAGGAGCGGAGAGGTCCCACTTCCCAGTGAGCCGCGAATGGGCCGCAAACGCGCACACCTCAAGATGAGAGATGCCGCACACGTTCATATTTGCCAAAGCCGTTTTATCACAACCGTCGGAGTCCAACGTGGCACCATCCTGAGAGGAAGGGGCGCCAGCGATAGTATACACGATATACAGAAGGGTCGTAGTCGGCATGGCGTCTGCAGACGAGCGAGCCAAAAAAGTAGAGGCCGCGAAGTTGAAGGTAAGCTTCCGGTCAAGATCACCGTGGAAGGCCTTACTACCACTAGCCTCTGTACTCACTGGAGAACCGGTACACAGCTGAGACGCTTCCAAGCCTCGAAACCCGGAGGAGACGAGTCTAGGAGGAGCATCGACGTTGGGCAGCATACGCCGCCACGTGCGCAAAATGCTGGGGAGATCACGGCGTATGGCGCATCTACGGCCTCCTCTGCGACACCGAGACCGATACTTGCCTATGGAGCCGCGGACGGAACCTCAGCACCTACCACTCCATCAGGGCAACCGAGCGAGCCTGGAGTCACAGCACCTGTTGATGCACCACCCCCGACACATGTTGACATTGATAACCATGACGACGCCCAACTCGAAGCCAAGCTGCCCAGTTCTCAGAACGCGCTGGATAAGGCAAAAACGGAAAAGACGGAGCTGCGGAACGAGATAGAAATAGAAGCCAATCATAAGTCGAGTCGGGAGGAGGAGAATCGCGTGTTGCAGGCAGAGCTGGCTTTGCTCAAGGCCGAGGTATCAGCGCAGCGATCTGTGGAACAAACCCAGGATAGCTTGCAGAACGTGCTGGATAAGGCTGAGGAGGAGAAGACGCAGCTTCGAAATGAGATAGAACGGGAAGCCAGTCACCGGTCAAGTCGTGAGGAGGAGAATCGGATGCTGCAGGCAGAGCTTTCCTTGCTTAAAGCCGAGTTAGCGGCGCAGAAGTCTGTAGGGGACACACAGGAAGGTGAACTGCGGGCCGTGAAATCACAGTTGGATGAGAACAGCGAGGTGATTCGGGGACTCAGGGAGGAGCTGGAATTGGCGAAACGGTCTGCCAAGGAGACAGCCGGGACAACGGAACTAGAAGAAACTCTCACCGCGGAGAGACAGAGGGTGTCGAGTTTGGAAAATGATGTAGCCGATGCTGCTATCCGACTACAACAGGCGGGAGAGCAGCTGGCGGAGGGGGGTGCCACTATCAGCGCTCTTCGCGAAGAGTGCCAGGTGTTGGGCCGCCGAGTCTTGAAATTGGAGGCCGACAAGGCAGAGCTGCAGAATGAACTAGTTACCCTACGGTCCGCTATTGAGGAGGCAGGAAAGGAAAAGGCCGAAGCGGCCCGAGCGGAACTGGACATTGAAAAGAGTCAACTACCTGCCGACCGGCCTGCATCTGTCTTGTCAGCGAAAAGCGAGGTTTCGCGCCCGGGATCCGGGCCAACTGTCTCCGAAGAGCCGCATGAACACCTGAAAGAATTGGAACGCAAGTTGGCCAAACTGCAACAGGATTACACAGCCTCACAAGCCGAACTGAAGCGGCTTCACTTATCCCAAGCCGATGTCGGAACCCTCCTCCTGCGGACCGGGTCATCTCCAACTTTTGCAGAAAGCCTCGCAACCTACCAACGACGATGCGACGAGCTGGCGACGCTGGTTCAGTCTCTGCAGGTAGAGCGCGATCAGATGAAAGCTGAAGTTGAGCGCCTCAAAACCGCCGCGTGGGAAAGTGAGCGTACTGAGGCCCGGTCAGCGGAAATGTCGGGCGAGCTGAGCAGTCTGCGCGAGAGTATAGAGAGGGAACGGGAGATGTGGAAAGGACGGGAGGAGATGATGAAGAAAGAAGTCAATGCGGCTCGAAGCGATAACAGTGTTTGTGTACAGCTTTTGGACACACTTTGGGCACTTCTGCGCGATGAAGTCGGCTCGAGCGGCGACGATTCGTCTAGTATACCACACACACCAACGACTCATCGTCCCGCGCATTCCACGAAGGCATGGAGAGACGGAGCGCTAGAGAAGGCTGTCAATAACCTGTTTGAGAAAGTGAAGGATCTCAAGCTAGCCTTGGCAGAAGCACATGTCGTGATGGACAAGCAGCACGACAAGATCGAGCAGCTGCTGTCGGAAGGTGCAACACCACCGGCTTCCAATAGCCATCCTCCCCTTGATCGCCGGCAATCATCGCTACAGCAGAATGCGAGCGCCGAGCGGGAGGTTTCGCGGCAAGACGTGGGGACGCAGACGCATCCCATGCTTGCGTTCGCACGATTGGAGACTGTAAAGGCTCGGCTTGCCGAAGCCGGGGTTATATGGACGTTCCCCAGTGCCAATCGACGAGGATCTCAGGAACTCAAAGACCAACCTCCTGCGTCACCATTTTCTTCGGATTCAGCAAGTACTCAAACACATGAACCTCGGCCTAGTGACCTGACTGCCCTAGAGAAGCAAATCGGGGCTTTGGCCATGTCGCACGCCCAGCTGCAAGCCGCGCATGAGATCGCTCAAGCCCACATCGCCTCCCTCGAGCAACGGTTGGGGCATGCCAAGAAGCTTGTGGTGGCATTATCCACCGGGGATATCAGTCAATCGGGCGAAGATGAAGACGATGCAGCACAGGTTAGCGAAGACAGAGTGCGTCTGACGACCACACTAGTTGCGCAAATGGCGCAGATCCGGGAACTGGAGGAGGATCTCAATGCCTGGCGGGCACGATGCGAGGAGTTGGAGGAGATCGTAGAGGAGTGGTCGCTAGGGAGCGCCGGAGGGCCGTCCAAGACTGTTACAAGTCCGCAATCAGCGTAGATAACCGATTTTTTGAACCTCATAAGCAAATCCTCGATCTGAATCACTCTCGCGTATGTAAATCAATAAAATTAGATAATGTTATGATGCAGACAAAAACCCCCTTCAGTGCTATGTACAGAATTTTGATTCATCTAAGCAAAAACTCAAGCGACCCGTCGCTTAAGATGATAAGGCCCCGGAATCGCGCAGGGCGTTCTTCACCACTTGGCATTTGTGGATCAACAATTTGGCGGCTTCGGTGAAAAGAACTTGTGGTGGCAGGATTCCGGTTGATTCGATGCTGACTGTGAAAGGGATTAGCGTGTGTTTACCGTACGATCCAAAGCGCTTGATAACCGCTTACATAGGAAATGGTCGCGCACACGCGTCAGCCGAACTTTGTCTTCAAACTCTGGGTGCCGCAATACTTCACGGCTGACTGTGTCTTTACGGGGGTTCACGACTCGAGCCTCTGGTTCACCTGTCATACAAGACCTTGTCAGGTCAGCCAATCAAAAGAATTCGCATCGAAAGAGGTTTCTGCACCTGCTGCGTTCTCATCGACAGCCACGACGCCTTCTGGGAAACATTTTTGGAAGCGGTACGCCGAATCGCCAGTGATGGGTTTCAGGATTTGAATATCGGGAAGCAAACGGTACGATGCAGTCGCTGTTGGGAACACAATATCAATCCACAAGCTACAGATTCTCAACGAAAGAAAGACTTTCCGGGTTTCTAAACTCACCGACAGGTGACCACTTTGCGTGCTCTTTCCCTATTCCTTTCTGACAATGAAGCTCAACGTCGATAATCTGGAGAGACGGAACAGGTTCAGTCAGCTGAATAAAGCTTGCTCTGCAAAAGCATTGCGCCCTACCTGGCCCGGTCGCATCTTTGTGATGAGAATGTCGTCAATCACGGGTCCAACGGGCCTATTGGCGAACCGCGTGCTCTGCAGGCCTTGCGGGATCCATTCCAGATCCCCAGAAAGAACTGTGAACCGTTCGCCTCTGATTAGATCCACGCTGCCCTGTGCCAAATCGCTGCGGCACATTCGAAACCCGTACCATTGGAGTGAATGTACTTCACACTGGGGTCCACCGCAGACGTCGGTGCTTCTGGGTTCTTCTTGCATTCCACAAATAGTTTGAACACCAGCGTGTTCTCGTCCGTTGGCGTGTCCTCCGTACCCAATCGGAACTGGAATGCCCGAGGGTCGCATTTGATTGGTATCAACCCAAGGCGCTGCGCCAGAATCTCGTCGTGCATGATCGATGTGTTGTTCAGGACGTAAACTTTTTCGATGGCCATTGTCGGCACCTAGATGGAACCGTCCAACCCGCAGTGAGCCGCTTGCCCTCCTCCTTCAACACCATCTCCGCACCGCAGATTCGTCCGACGCACCTCGCCAATCAATATCCTTCGGAATGCGTTCGCTATCGACGCGTCCACCCCTATCATATCGAACTCCATGTCGTCCTTCCCAATGAATCCAACGACGATTTGAAAGTTCTGGAGAGGATTGAAATGTTTGGTACAGAGGTCGTTGTTGCACCTCTCGGGTTCGTAGTAGAGATTCTCACCTGCTTGAACTTCTCCAGGTCCCAAGCGAGATCCTCACCTGGGAAATTTCCCGGAAATTCCAAGGACGACGGCTGCATGGATGTGGAACGACATTCAGCGTAGATTCAGTGCACCAGCGACCTTTCGCTTCCGGCGGTCATCCCTGAGCCAATTCGTCGTTGCTTGCGGCCGGTTTTCACACTGTAGGGTGACCAGTAGCTATGAGTGCACTTGGTGGGAACTTACGTGAGCAACCCTGTCCTTGTACAGCACCACGCGGGAGCGCATCAACTTGACGGGGTCTGTATCGGGCATGGCTGTCTGTTCCTTTGCCAATTGCCTTGTGGTTCAGGAACGCTTTGGCCGAGTCCAATGTCAAATTTCGAGAGTCGAAGTGCGAAGCCGAAAGGGTCTCTGCCAGATGTCCAGGGGAGAAGCCCGATCACGTGACTAATGTCGCTGTGACGATGCCATTCACCATTCCCAACGCAACATTGAACTTGCAGGAAAGCCCACCTTAACAACACCATAAACAAGCAAGCAGCGATGGGTGCCTTGGACAAGTTCTTGACCCATCACTTCGGGGGCATACCAAAGTCCTTCAAGGACCTGGAGTGGATCATCAGAACGGTATGTTCTTGACTGCCACGCGCAACCTCAGTTTCGAACCCGACCGCTAAATCCTTGTCTTCGCAATTCCAGCGGCCAGATGTGCCACCTATCATGGTGTCGGTAAGTCCTTTGGTGTCTAGGTTTGTCTTCTCTTTCAGCAAAAACTTAGAGCCCGTTGTCTTTGCGCGGAATTTCAACTAGGCCGATGAATATCGTTCGGTGACACCGGGGTACGTGTGCTGCATGGCTTCTTCCTAGAACTCCATACCCTAGAGCGTCCCACGTCTTTCCTCTTACGAATCCTTCATGTACAGGTCGCAACCGACGTACCAGCCTTACAAAAACGAGAAGCTGTCGAAGAACTACTACTTTACTCGCGATTACAGGCGAGCGTATCCGCAGACAGTCGTGTACACCTCTGCAGAAATCTCCGGTCTGCTTCCTCCTGGTATCGAGGTTAAGAGGTTGGTTTCCGTCAGCATGAACAAAGGAGAAATGGGATCAAGGCAAAACGAAGGGATCCCTTATCAATATTCTGACTTCGTCTTGTCTTAGCATCGCCGCCAGCTCCGAGACCGGGGAACTCAGCTCAGTCTCACAAAACGCAGCATACACAGCCAGCAAATTGCCACCACTCGTAGACCGAAAGTACAGGTGGAAGCCGGCGATGCCTCATCTTAAGCCTGATGCTGTCAACTCTGAATATCCTCTCCGTGGAGCTACATAAAGACAGTAGATTGAAGACGTTTTGGGCCTACAGCTGTCTTTTTATCCTTGTCGTCAATGAAGCATTACTATACCCACATGACATTTACTTTTCAAAGAATCGGGGGAGCATGCAAAATGCAGGATTTGGGAGGTTGAGGAGGTTGGAAAATTTCTGCCGAGTTGAAGTCATGACGATTGCGCCAGGGGATCAAGGAGGGTACACAGGCGAGCGTCAAGCTTACGATTGAGGGCAATGTTCTTTTGGCCGAAAGAGGAGAAGCAAAGGAAGGCGCGAGAAGCTTTCACGGTTTAGGGTTGCTTGGAAGGTTTGAAATGCTGAAGATATCAGCGGCATCTTTCTTGATGGGGCAATTCACCACTCTCCGGCGAGATTGGTGAACTGCGGAGGACCGCAATGAACTTAACGTAATGGTCCATACAGAACGCGATTACGGTGGATGCTGATAGGTGCAAGTGTAACGAGGTGTGACTGCGAGCAGTTTCGTGACATTCCATCTCTTAACCCTGAATAAGCCCGGTGGACTCGAACTGGGCGGGGTCGGAAAGCCCACGACAGTATATGACTTGATCTTCACATGGTTTCCGCTTCCGTAGCTAGATAAATAACGTGCCATATGGCGATACATAATGAGCCTACAGTCAACCATTTTGCAGGCTATGCCCACCCCTACGGACCAAGGAAAAGGTTGGCGGGAGTCATTGTTCGGTGTTTTGCCCGGTTCAGCTCCGTCCAGCGGACGCGTTGCCACGCGTTCTTCTTCCACCGAAACCCTTCCTTCTCCAGGGGTACTCCGCGATAACAAACAAGCACGGCAATTCATTTTTTTTCAGACATCAGCCTTCTTTCTCCATGGAACCTCCCTAGCGAATCACTAGTGGGTTTTCCCTTACAGTACGAAGGCACTCGCGTAAGCGTAGAGGAAAAGAACATGGGAGGGGATGGGGTCGAACGTGTTTTGGGGTTTTCGTGTTTGTGTGTGGGCTTGGCGAGTCGTGCCGCGTTCCCTTCCAACCTGCCATATAAAGCCAAGGGAGAAGGTCCCGAACCACTTTGCATCCTGTTTGGCTTCTTCCTCCCACGTCGTTTCACGTCGGAGTGCGTTTTGAAAAGCCTCATCGATCTACGAACATAGTCGAAACATCGGAAATTGTCGTGGGACGCCGAGCAAGGACATCCGTACATCCATATCCCGTCAACGTATCCGTCTGTCCCCGAAACCTATCTCGACGCAATGCCATCACACGCGCTCGTATTAAGCCTGGTCCTGTCCTTCCTTGCCATCCCCCGCATCGCGGCTCGGCCACCTCCGATGCAACTCATCCCACGCGAAATTCCCGTCGTCACCCTCGCACCCATCATCGACCCGCCCCCCGTATCATTCACTGTCCTGCCAGAAGTTCCGACTACGGAGCCGACGGCGACGGCGACCTACGCATACGGCTACGCGTCATCGTCGAGTGTGGCTCTGACGGCTACGGCAACGTTGATTGCGACGCCTGTGTGCGATATCCCTGACCTGGAGGGGACCTGGCTTGATGAGGAGTTCGGACAATCGTTGGATAACCTGTTGAAGCAGGCTGCGAGCGCCTATAATCGCATCATTTACCCTATCGTTGGCCCGTGCGTTGAGCTCGATGCTGAGATCAATGAGGATTGTAAGTATCCTGAATTCCACCCGGCCATCCTTCCATGGGCGCTTGTCAACTCCAGGCTAACATCTTTAACCCTCTCGTCATCTCACATCACAGTGCAAAAGTTCTACAACTACTACTACATCGCCGAAGCTGGCATTCACGGCCCTGCATCCCTCAGCGACGTGCATAAGCAAGGAATCCTCACCGACCAAGTCTGCGACGCGCTCGAGGCCGTCGAGGTTGTCATCTCCCAGATTGGCGAGCACAAGGAAGAGTCTTGCATCCACTACGGTGGACTTGGCCAGATCACGGCCATCTATCCCTGCCTCGCGCCGGCTTACCCGAGCTCACCTAGGTAAGTTTTCTGTCTGGCCGTTGTCTATGTCTTCTCCTTGACCATTCACTCAAATCGCATCTCCTTTCACGCGTCCAGGCCATACTTGATCCCAGAACTGGACCTGATTGAAGCGCCCAACATCAAGAACGTGCGGCAGGGTCTCGGATGCCGTGGTGAAGTCGTCGCCAACGGATCCCGAAAGCGGGAGATCAAGGAGAGTGTGCGCAGGGTCTAACCAACCGGCCGTACAACCTACACACCGCTATATACCTCTTCGCCATTTACCAGCTTGCAGTACTGAATGAGCCGGCTTCATTCCTACATGTTCCTTTCTCTTCTCTTTCTTCATACCCGTCTTAGATGGAGTGTACATTTTGCACATATGTGTCTCTGGGATGCTCCCCTTCCAGCTCTTGGGACGTTTTCTTCTTGTGTTTTATTGTGAATGTAACTTATTTGGAATGACGATATCGATAAAAAACGCGTTGAAGTTGATGGGAATGAAATACATGCGATCAACCAGCGGCACAGCGAAGGTGGCGAGCGACCAGCGTCTCCACAGCGGCATCCGTTTGGACAATTGCCCACACCCCGACAGCCCATTTTCCAACGAGCAGACAGACAGACAAGCCTTGGGACCCATCACCACCCACCGCTCGTAACGTGTCTTCTTGTTCGGCCAACGCGCGAAAGAGGCTCTGTGAGACAAGAACCTTCCTTCGCCCACGCCGACTTTCCCGCCCAAAGACGGGCAGACCGCCACTTACGCACGCGCAGATAAAGTAAGTGGTGAATATAAACGCACGCTCAGGTGCCGGCCATATATAGATGCATGCGGACCGCTGTTCTCGTGCCGCAACGTTGAATTAGAAAGTGTCGCTTAGGCCACTTCCGTTTGTGTTGCGCGATATCGCTGAGGTGCTCACTCCGCAATCTCCCAACTTGTCTCAGCGTTTGACTTAGTGCAGACCATACGCGCCCTTTCAACTGCACCTCCTTCACACCTCGTCCTTTCGTTGACGGTCAAACGCCTTCCTTGCTACGGTCCAGTCTGAGCACAACCATCGCCTCCCACGCCCTATAACTCCTCGCCATTCGCATCAGCAGTCTTAAACAGCAGTCATGTCGAGAGTAGCCTTAGTACGGGAGTACAAAATCGTCGTTGTTGGTGGAGGTGGTGTTGGGAAGGTAAGAAGTTTCCTTGTTTTGAGAAATGCGAACTGCTGCCGTGGGAACTTCGGCGGCTGGGAGAAAATTACCGGCCCGAAGGTGGATGTGATGCCCGAAGGTGGATGTGATTTCGTTGGGTCTATCGAATTTCGAAACTTGGTGTACCGTACCCAACCGTCGCTGAAAATCTGTTCTCCTACCATTGCAGAGTGCCCTTACGATCCAGTTTATACAATCGCAATTCGTTGACGAATACGATCCGACTATCGAAGATTCCTATCGCAAGCAGTGCACCGTCGACGGAGAGAATGCCGTTCTCGATGTGCTTGACACCGCGGGACAAGAAGAATACTCAGCGATGAGGGAACAGTACATGCGATCTGGGGAAGGTTTCCTACTGGTGTACAGCATCACGTCTCGATCGTCCTTCGATGAAATTCAGACGTTCCACCAACAAATTCTGCGAGTCAAGGATCGGGATTGGTTTCCCGTGACTTTGGTGGGAAACAAGTGCGATTTGGAGGGCGAGCGGGTTGTCGGCACAGCGGAAGGAAGGGAGCTGGCCAGGCTCTTCAAGTGCAAATTCATGGAAACGTCTGCGCGCAGCAAGATCAACGTCGACGAAGCATTCTACTCATTGGTTCGAGCGATCCGTGACGAGAACAAGAAGACACCTGGAGGAGGCACGGCACCCGTGAAGAAGAAGAAGAAGACAAAGTGTCTCATCATGTAGACAGCCTTCACGATCCCTCTTCCATGCTACATTCCGGAGGACTGTATGCACGCGAGTCTGACCGCGACCTGTAGCGCTCCGCAACAGCGCTGAGGCAACTATTTCCTAGCTGGCTCGGCTCTCTCTTCCCCTCAGAGGCCCCTCCCCCCATCTTCTCGTAAACTCTCCCTTTCCCCACCCATCCTCTGTTCCATCTCTTGATGTCTTTGCTGCCTGATTTCCTCTTTAGAAGCCCACATCACGGAAGCGGATACCCGCTTCAAGAATCGTGTAAGCGCCGATGTAAATTTTAATAGATCCTTATTTCTTTTTCTTTGCCAACATGAATCACTTCAGTCGAAAGAAAACACCGGCTCGAGTGATATAATATTGAATTGCACTGATGTGCCCATGTACAAAGTGATTACGTGCGGGAAGAATGTTTATACTGACTACATATACAGGGCATCTAAACTGTCTATATACGCTAACCACCAAGTCCTTGTCGTAAGATCACGTTCATCCGGGAAAGAGGAAGCCTGGACGGATGGAGAAGGTCGTCGGAGTCAATAGATGGGCGGTCGTTGGCGGGAAGCGCAGGGTTGATATGGAGGATTGGACGAGCAGTCCGGCTTAGTCTGCCAAATGCGCCGCTCGACAGATCGTTTTTCAACAATGACAAGCTCCCTTCGGGCACTTGCAAGCATCCCCGCAAGAGCATTCGTGATGTGCAGCCTTCCTCTCCGGCTCGCCGCAAGCGCACCTAACAAAGAACCGAGAACCTGTCAGTCACACCTGTCAAAGTGCAAAGCACACCACAGAACTAGGCACACTTACTTCTCATGCTGGGCCGGACAAACGCAGTCACTCCCACACGTGCAGTGCGCGAGCTCTCGCCTACTCTCGGCTTGCGCCTTGACTGTCGCCGAGTCGCACGGACAAGCCAGACCCTGTGCGCCGACGCATCCGCAACCGACGCCGCATTGGCAGATCCCGAGCTGGGTTTGGGTTGATGACATCGTTGATGCTGGCTTTGCTTTCTTGAGTGGTTTCGTTGGGCTTGCTGGGATCGGAATGCGAGTTTTTGGTTGAGCTGTCAGTGGGGAACTGTGATGATGCACGCAAAAATCTGGAAACCTCCACCCGTATTTATAACGGCTGGCTATCGGGATTCAATCACCGCTTTCTAATGAAATTGGGATGCGCTCATTTTGCAGCCCTACCGGTCTCCTACGGAACAGCATGGGTTGCGGAACAATCAATATGCTGTGAAACCAATATGGTGGCGTCGCTCTGTGTCAAATGCTCTGTCCAATCGTTGCGGCTTCCGGACTCTGACATTCTTCATCATACGTACACATAACGAAAGCTGGTATTGCCCTCACCCTCTGATATGCTTCTGATGTCAGGCATGAGCGTTGGCCCTCTCGGCGCAAGCTGCTCGCCAACATCCATTGTCCAACTTGAAGCTGTCGAAAAAATGAAACACATTAAGCACATGACCAAGAGACACACGGAAGACGGATCTTTTCCATTGTATTTTCGTAATATACCTCATTCAGAGACGAGCTCTCTGAGGGATTTTTCAGGTCTGATGAACCGTCAGCTTTTTCACATTGGGTGAATGGGCATGCGCATTGCGCATTACCTTGCCGGTTTCGCTATCCTGTCATACATGTACGTATGTTTTCCAAGTCGCGACACGTCACTGACGCGAAGTTTGGTAATCGCGTCGGCTGCACTGGACATGCATTCTGAATTTGAACCCCGTCCATAAGGGTCGGATGTGCAAACTTACGAGGTAGAAAGCAACAGCCTTCGATCAACAGTTACTCGAGGCAGGAAAAAATCTGCAAGCATGCTCAACGCGGAGAGCATCTTGCCAGATCCTCCTGGTCAGCAGGGGGGCCTCGCAAACAGCGCCGCCCGACCCTCACCAATGGTACCGAGGTCTTCTGATACCAGCGGAACCGGCCTACCAAACGTTATACCCGCCAAGCGGAAATCGATTCCATACGTCCCTGGTGGACCCGAAGAGGAACACGCTCTACAGCGCGCTAGCGCACTGAAAGGGCGTCTATATACCGTCGTCAAGAAGGGCGAAGTCCCCCGCTTCGATGTCAAGCGTGTCGATCCAAAACGGGGTGGGGCAGCAGCAGCAGCAGCACATCGCTTCGGCTCCGGGGCGAGGTTGGAGCCGATAGAAGCGCATGAGATTGGACGATCTGATGGGGCGGGTGCACGTTTAGGAGGGAAAACTACAGATGCATCGCGACTGCGAGCGAGACAGGCGCAGGTTATCCCGGCCAGTTCGGCCCGGTCTCATTCAGCGAGGCGGATGCTTGATAGGGCAAGACAAATTGTTGGAATGGAGGAGATGACTCCGGCGCAGGCCAACCAGGCTGTCGAACTCGGAAAGCCTGCACTTAACGTGATTCCACCCATCGCTGGTGATGTTGACCGGGAAGATGACTCCAAACGTTTGAGGGTGTCAGGAGTTGCGGATGATGGCTCTGATCGGGAACTAGTCTCCCGGCAGCGGTCCGGGACCGTGGCAATTGAAGACGAGACGCAGAAACGACATGCGAAAGAGCTATTTGCATACATCAAACATCTCGAGAATCATCCGCAGGGCAAGGAATTCCAATATATGAACCCAATAAAGACGTCGGTGAAACGGGGTCAACCGACGTTTAATCCATATAATCTGCAACTAGTAGAATATGCCGACACGGATAAGACGGAGGGATACTATACCATAAGTGCAGCGGTAAGCCCATACTTTTGCCTGGCTTATCGTTCGTCCATTCTTGTTAGCTGATGCATATTCCACTAGGGGGTGACTCATTTCGATGTTCATGGGCACGGCGACTTTACGCCTCTTGCGCAATGGAAACGCGAATACGATCTTTTCCACTCTCTCCTTCGCATTCCATTTTTCGGACACTACCGACTGTGGAAATGCTTCTCCCAATGGCGCAAAACGGTTTTGCAAACCAAAATCGCGCAGATTCGTCGGAGATTGGCAAAGAACTTGTTTGTTGTGCATCCAATCTTGCGCACGGCACTACTCAAGATTCGCGCTTGCTGCGTTGATATCGTCCTGACGAAGAGGCTGGTCAAGATCGAGCCAGATAGAAGCTATGAGCTTCTGGACTTCGTGCGCGAGCAGAAGGACTGGATTGATCAAATTAGTGGTGGCACACTGAAGGAATGGGAAGATCAAATCCGGAAGCTGGTGGAGGACGCCGGAGTGGCTTGTTTGAAGGAGAAGGGTTTCGATGTACAGATCGATCAAGAAGAAGGCGAGGAGGAAGAGAGCATGGAGGTTACGGAGCAAGCAGTGCCGGACGTAGACGCTCCTGTCTTGGCTATAGTCAAGAAGGCTGAGGGAGAAGTCGCCGAGCCGCGAAAGCTGACTTACACGGAACAAGCAGCGCGGCGAACAGAATGCCGCAGACTGCAACGCTTTGTCAAATTGGCAGATTACATGATCGTGACAACCTTGCATCTGCTCACACTGGAAAGCGTGCGTGATCTGCTTCGCTTTGTTTTCAAGGGCTGCGTTGATGCCGACGTCGAGGTAGATGGCGCTGGGGGCGGAACCATTACCATCAGCGATCCCGCCATGCTTGGCGAGAGTGATGGCATGCTGCTTTTGCAAGAAGAGGCAGACAACAAGAACAAGCGCACGTTAGAGCGGACGGCATCATCCAACGGAGTTGACATGGTTGGCCTGGGTGCCGGAGGAGTCGTGCAAGTGGGCGGAGCTGTCGTCGGTGAGAACATCGGAACCGGCGAGATCGGCGAGGCGGGCTTTGAAGGATTCTTCAATATCCTCAGCAAAATCGTCCGGCAAAGCATCCCGGCAACAGAGCTCATCGAGGTGATTGAGGAGACCGGCCCAACAAACACGGGTGGTGACATGATGGACATTGACCTCCCGGAGCGTCCATCTCTCGGAGAGACAGCAGCCAGATCCGCGCAAGTGGCTGATAAGACTGGTAAAGATGCTGGAAAGCACAGTCAAACGGACAGTGGCGCAAAATACCATCCGCTGTTCAGAAATGAGCTCCTATTGCAGCTCGCCACTGCCACCCGCAACTTGTATTTCGCCCCGTCGCTCCCGGATTTCTTGACGGCGGTCGACATTTTGTTCAAATCTTACCTGGGCATCATTGACAAAGTGGACCTCCTTACAAACACCATCGAATATCTGGATCCAGCCAATGTTGCTGGAGGAGCCTACTCATCTGTGCGCGGTCTCGAAGAGGGCGAGTACGGGGAGGGACCACAGATTACCGCCATAGTCAGTGATGGCGCTTACTTTCGGGAACTCTGCGGTAGGATTCGAGGCGTCCTCGTCGGAGTTTTCGCCAATGCATCAGAATGGATGCAGACATGGGAAGAAGTTCGAAATATGTGGGTGGAGAATGAAGGGTTCGATACTCTCTCATCGTTGGAGGCAGCTGCGGGACCGGTCGCCATACTCTTTGCAACAGCTGGCGAAGCCACACATGCGGAAGAAGGCGGGATTGCCAATATTCTGCTGAAGCGCTATGCGGAAAGGGAAATCCCTGCGGAAACCGCTCCTGAGACCCAAACGGAAAGCAAGCCCGAAGTGAAAACGGAAGGCGCATCAGAAACCGCTGAGGCCGGAGAAGGTGGAGCAGAAGCTAAAGAGCCGACCATTCTTGAGCTCGGCTCGACTATCCTTACCAAAGCCGATGGAACCACCTACTCGCCAGTGGTGGAATTCTTCGAACATCATCTAGCCAAATTCGCACTTCAACGCCAGAAAACTGCTGCCATTCCAATCACGTCAACAATCAATAACTTGATGGTCGACACGACAAAGCTGAAAAGCATACTGGTCCCCAGTCCCGAACGGTGCTTCTCGGAGGTAGCTAGCTTTCTTCCTGGCTTGTCCAGAGACAAGAACGAGCTGCTTCTGAACGAAGTTCAAGTATGGGTCCGAACGCTCAATACCCAGCCTGCGAACGTAGAGGGCTTCGTCGAGTACCTTGGATGGTTGGAGAAAGTCAAGGGATCGATGCCATTAGTCGAACAGCTGTATGATGAAGTCTCAAGGCTGTACAAGTTGATGGAGCAATACAAGATCAGCATCCAACCGACGGACCTTGCCATGTACCAGACCCTTGGCCCAACCCTCCGTCAGTTGAAAGAGGTTGTAGACATGGCTTCCGACACCAAGGATGAGAACATCTCCAGGTTCTCTGTCGAGCTCGACAAATCTCTGAATGACTTGATGGCGGAAGTATCCGAGGTTCGGAACCGCGCACAGGACCCAATGGTTCTCAACGCCGGGGCCAAGAGTGATATGGTAATCAAGTTCCTCGAAGAACTGCGGGAGCAACTGAGTAACGTGGACGCGACGAAAGCGCGGTACGAGCAATGGGGCTTGCTCTTCAAGAGTGGAGGGAGCCTGTCAGCTGTTCCTAAGGGCGTGGCCGAAGGAAAGCAGCCAGCGCCCGGGCTACCTACTAAGGGCGGGGATCTGGAGGAAACAAAGGCTGAGGTCAACATGAAGCGAACCCTGTGGATGAGCTTGAAAGATTGGGACACAATCACCAAGTAAGTATCTAAAGCATTTTTGCAGCAAAGAAGACAGTGTTGCTCATCAACACATCACACAGGCGCTGGCGCGAGGGTGCATTCGAGTCTCTGAACACCGAGGAGATGAATGCTGATATTCAGGCATATGTGAAGATCGTGTACAACCTTGACAAAGGGTTACCTCCAAATGAGGTTGTCCCCCGATTGAAAGCAATGGTCGATGAATACCGAGGTCTTTATGCCACCATTGTAGATCTCCGAAATCCGGCTCTGAAGGCGCGGCATTGGGAAAAAATTCAAGATGCCCTCGGCAAAGTGCTTGTCCGAGACGAGACGTTCACCTTGGAGAAGCTGATGGAGCTGCGCGTCTTCGACTTCAAGGATGAAATCAGCAACGTTTCTAGCCAAGCCGGTTCCGAGGCGGCCCTCGAGGAAATGTTGGGCAAAGTTGTGAAAACTTGGAACGAGGTGGAATTTGTCGTTGCAGCGTATCGCGACGCTAAGGATGTGTTCATTCTGGGATCGGTTGAAGACGTTCAAACACTCCTGGAAGACAGTCAAGTCACCATTGCCACCATCAAGAGTTCACGCTTCATCGGGCCCATCCGAGCGGAAGTGGAGCGTTGGGACAAACAGCTCAGTCTTTTTACTGAAACCTTGGATGCTTGGCTGACGTGTCAGCGGAACTGGCTCTACTTGGAGAGCATCTTTTCTGCTCCAGACATCCAGCGTCAGCTGCCAGATGAGGCGAGAATGTTCTCTCAGGTCGACCGCAGTTGGAAGGACACGATGCGTAAGGTTCATCGCAACCCGAACGCGATGAAATCAGGCACAACACCAGGATTGCTGGAGACCATGCAACAGAACAACGTATTGCTTGACCAGATTCAGAAATGCTTGGAAGATTATCTCGAGAGCAAGCGCCTTCTATTCCCTCGTTTCTACTTCCTATCCAATGAGGAACTCCTCGAAATCCTTTCGCAGACGCGTAACCCGCAAGCAGTTCAACCGCATCTCAGCAAATGTTTCGATGCGATCAAGTCTCTCGAATTTTCGTCTACTGATCCTAAGAGCATTGATATAAATGCCATGAACAGTCCGGAAGGAGAAAAAGTTGCATTCCTGAAGACCATCAAAGCGCGCGGAAACGTGGAAGCCTGGCTCGGCAACGTGGAAGAGGGAATGGTGGCTGTCCTGAGGAGGCTAGTCAAGCAAGCGCTCGCCGAGTTCGAAGATGGAAAACGGTCTGATTGGGTGAGAGAGCATGTTGGCCAAGTGGTGCTCACGGGAAATCAAATCCTTTGGACCCGGGATGTCTCCGAATGTCTGAAAACGGCCAACGCGGTAAAGGCGCTCCAAGCTTTCAAGGATAAGTGCATCAAGGTAGGTTCAACAATTGGCTAGTAAAATTGCTCCGACTCCCAATCTCAGCCGTTCTTCTGTAGAACTTGTCTGGCGTTGCCGCACTCGTGCGTGGAGAATTGACCAAAATCCAACGAGGCATTTTGGGTGCTCTCATCACGATGGATGTTCATAATCGTGACATCGTTCAGGGTTTGATCGACGCAGGCGTAACAGGGATGGGGGATTTCGAATGGACAAAACAGCAGAGATACTACTGGGACGTAGATAACGACACTTGCCTCGTGAAGATGTCCACTTCTACGTTCATCTATGGATACGAGTATCTTGGCTGCTCGCCGCGGCTCGTCATTACACCTCTCACGGATCGCTGCTATCTGACATTGACCGGTGCTATGCAACTGAACCTTGGTGGCTCCCCACTTGGTCCGGCCGGGACGGGGAAGACTGAAACTGTCAAGGATTTGGCCAAAGCTCTAGCTCGGCAATGTGTTGTGTATAACTGCTCGGACGGCATGGACTACAAGATGATGGGCAAAATGTTTGCGGGACTTGCACAATCAGGAGCCTGGTGCTGTTTCGACGAGTTCAATCGGATTGACATTGAGGTCTTGTCCGTCATCGCACAACAGCTTCTGACCATCAAGAACGCAAAGGACATGAAGGCCACGCGGTTTATGTTTGAAAGCAGGGAGATCCGGCTGATTGACACATGCACTGCATTCATCACGATGAATCCTGGATATGCGGGAAGACAGGAGCTCCCGGACAATCTCAAGGCACTTTTCCGGCCCATTGCCATGATGATCCCAGATTACGGCCTCATCGCGGAGATCATGCTGTTCTCCGAAGGGTTCGAGAACGCGAAAGTGCTGGCTGGAAAGGTAGTCAATCTGTACAAATTATGTTCCGAGCAGCTATCTCAACAGGATCACTACGACTTTGGAATGAGAGCCGTAAAGTCGGTCCTCACAATGGCCGGCGCACTAAAGCGAAATAACCCGGAGCTCAGCGAAGAGGGCGTCCTCATCCGCGCTCTGAGAGATTCGAACTTGCCCAAGTTCTTGGCGGAGGACATTGGACTTTTCCGGGGTATTCTTTCGGACTTGTTCCCTGGAATCATCATTGTAGAGCAAGATTATGGAGCTTTGGTAGCCACAATCAAGGAAGTCATTATCGAGCGCAAGATGGAAGTGGTCGATAGTTTTGTCACCCGTATTTGCCAACTTTACGAAACGAACAAAATCAGGCACGGTGTTATGTTGGTCGGCCCGACAGGAGGTGGCAAAACTGCCTGCTATGAGATCTTGCAGGAAGCCTGCAACAGATTAAAGGAGCGCGCTGTGGCGGAGTTCCAAGCTATCAAGACTTGGGTCCTCAATCCAAAGGTACTTTCACTGTTGTGTTATGTTCCAAACGCTATAGCGGCTAACTTGGGTCTACCAGTGCATATCCATGACGGAGCTCTACGGTGAATTCAATCTTGCCACGATGGAATGGAAGGACGGGCTTATCGGTTACATATTCCGACAGCAAGTCCAAGACAACAGCTTAGACGAGAAGTGGACTGTGTGCGATGGACCGGTTGATGCTCTTTGGATCGAGAACATGAACACCGTTCTAGATGATAATAAGCTTCTCACGCTGATCAATGGCGAGCGCATCAAAATGAACAACACGATGCACATGCTGTTCGAAGTCGCCGACCTCGCAGTTGCGTCACCTGCGACAGTCAGTCGATGCGGAATGGTCTACATGGATCCCACCAATCTTGGGTGGCGCTCTTACATTCGGAAGTGGATGGCCCAGTTGCCTGCAAATGTCAGCGAAGACCTCAAAAATATGTTCTGGGGCTTCTTTGACGTGTATGTCGATCCTGGTCTTCGCTTCATTCGCAAGCAATGTCAGGAGTACATCAAGTCTGTTGATCTGAATCTCGTGCAAAGCCTTAGCAAGCTCTTGCTTACCTTCATCGTTCGCAAGGAGGTGGATCTGACAAGGTCAATAGCCGATGTCAGAGCCTTGTTCTCCAACCTCTTCGTCTTTTGCTACGTCTGGGCACTGGGAGGCAACTTGGCCGACGGCTTCCATGACACATTTGACACTTTTGTTCGCGATCTCATCGACGCAAACCCAATTCCAGATGTACAGCTGCCTTCGGCAAACAACATGTTCTGCTACTACGTAGATTTGAAGACGAAGTCTTTCGCCTTATGGGATGATCTGGTGCCGGCCTTCAAGTACACACAAGACGTTCCTTTCTTTCAAATGACAGTTCCTACAAGCGACACGGTGAAGTACGAGTACTTCCTGGAAGCGTTGCTGATGAACGGATTTCCAACCATGTTTACGGGAAACACGGGTGTGGGAAAATCGATTATCGTCCAAAGTCTCTTGAACCGTTGCTGCAAGACTTATGGCTGGGTACCGGTCGCGCTCAACTTCTCTGCACAAACGAATAGTGCGCAAACGCAGCAAATCATGGAGCTCAAGCTCGAAAAGAAGCGGAAGAACATCATGGGGGCCCCCACCGGGTTCAACAAGATCATTCTCTTCGTCGACGATCTCAATATGCCGAAGTTGGATACTTATGGATCTCAGCCTCCGATCGAGCTTCTTCGGCAATACCTTGACTTCCACGGCTTTTACGACCGGGAGAAACTCACATGGAAGGCCGTGGAAGATATTGAGATAGTAGCCGCTTGCGCACCGCCTGGAGGAGGACGTAACAATGTGACACCGCGCCTTTTGCGCCACTTCAACCTCTTCAACATTCCGGCACCCAGTGAGCTAACGCTGGGCAAGATTTTCCGTGCAATCGTGGAAGGCTTCTTGCGAAATGGTTTTGTGCCAGAAGTAAAAGGCGTGGGCGATGCCATCGTCAACTCTTCTATCGAGATCTACCACAGGATGTGCGCTGAGCTGTTGCCCACACCTGCAAAATCGCACTACACGTTTAACTTGAGAGATCTATCGAGGGTAGTGCAAGGTGTCCTGCAAGCCCGGCCACAGGTGGTGCAAAACAAGCTTGACATCGTAAAAGTCTTCTGCCACGAAGCCTCTCGCGTGTTCCATGATCGTTTGATTGACGAATCGGACAGGTCGTATTTCAATAAGCTTCTTTCGGAGCTGGTTGAGAAGAACTTCGGAGTCGCTATTCCGAAGGAGACGCTTACCCAGAAGCCGATCTTGTTCGGTGACTTTGGAAAGCGAGGCGTACCTCCAGAGGATAGGCTGTACGTCGAGATGGCGGATATGAAGGTCATGAACACTCTCCTAGAGGAATATCTGGAGGAATACAATGTCACAAACAACAAGGACGTGCGCCTCATCTTCTTCATGGATGCGAAGCAGCACATCACCAGAATCAACCGCATCATTCGCCAGCCGCGCGGAAATGCCCTATTAGTTGGTGTCGGCGGAACGGGCAAGCAATCCTTAACCCGGCTTGCATGCCACATTTCAGATTACCAGTGCATACAAATCGAGTTGACTAGAACGTATGGTCAGACCGAATGGCGCGAGGACATCAAGAGACTATATCGATTGGCGGGCCAGGATGGGAAGAATACGGTATTCCTGTTGTCCGACACGCAAATCAAAACGGAGACCTTCCTCGAGGATATCAATAACATCCTCAACTCCGGGGAAGTGCCAAACTTGTTCGAATTTGATGAGAGGGAGAAGATTCTGGGCGAATTGAGGTCGGTCTGTAGGGAAAAGGGTCTACCAGAAGATCGCGACAGTGTGTATCAGTTCTTCATCAACCGTGTTCGGGACAACCTCCACATTGTCTTTGCGACGAGTCCTGTCGGTGATACATTCAGGACTCGATGCAGGATGTTCCCGTCGCTGGTGAACTGCTGTACGATTGATTGGTTCGATGAATGGCCGCGGGAAGCTTTGCTGTCCGTGTCTCGTCGGTTCTTGGAGTTCGTAGACCTCGGGTCAAATGCGATGAAGGAAAAGATTGCAGAAATGTGTGTGGACATTCACGAGTCCGTCGGACTGCTAGCGCAGAAGTTCTGGGACGAACTGCGTCGTCGGTACTACACCACGCCGACGTCGTACCTCGAGCTCATCAACCTCTACACGGCCATGTTGCAAGAGAAGCGAAAGGAGCTGGGCTCCTCCCGTGATCGACTTCGCAATGGTCTGAACAAGTTACTGGAGACAAACGAGCTGGTGGCAAATATGCAGGTGGAGCTCGAGCAATTGGGGCCGGAACTGAAGCAGAGGGCACAGGACACTGAGGTGCTGATGGTGAAGATCGGAAAGGATCAGGAAACCGCTGATGGCGTCCGAAAAGTCGTTTCTGAAGAAGAGACAGTGGTCCGAGCAAAAGCCAATGAGACTGAAGCAATCGCAGCTGAAGCGCAAAGGGACCTCGATGAAGCTCTCCCGGCATTGAACGCCGCCTACAAGGCTTTGGATGCCTTGGATAAGAAAGATATTGCAGAGTTGAAGGTGTTTACCAAACCTCCAGATGCAGTGCTCATGGTGATGGAAGCCATTTGTACCCTATTCAAGACTAAGGCGGATTGGGACGGTTCAAAAAAGCTTCTTGGAGATCCTCAATTCATGAAGAAGATGGCTGAGTTCGACAAAGACAACATCGAGCCAGCTGTTTCGAAAAAGCTGAAGAAGTACATCGAGAATCCGAACTTCAATCCAGACGCTGTAGAGAAAGTTTCAAAAGCATGTAAAAGCATGTGTATGTGGGTCATCGCGATGGATCTCTATTCGCGAGTGAACCGAGAAGTCGCGCCAAAGCGGAAGCGCCTGGAGGAGGCTGCTGTAGCCTTGGAATCAACGCGGGCCAAGTTGGCTGAGAAGGCGGCGGCGTTGGCAGAAGTGGAAAATCAGCTTGCCAAGCTCAAGGCTCAGTACGAGGACTCCATCGCCAGCAAGCGTGAGCTCGTCGAAAAGATGGAAGAAACAACGCGACGTTTGGCGCGTGCCGGGAAGCTCACCACAGCTCTGGCTGATGAACAAGTACGATGGGCGGAGTCCGTCGAGAAGTTGAATCAGCAAATAGAGGATCTCGTTGGAAACATCTTCCTGAGTGCAGCCTGTGTGGCGTACTTCGGCGCCTTTACATCGACGTTCCGCGCTGAACTAGTAGCGGGATGGATTAAAAGATGTCAAGAAATCGGCATCCCCGTTTCCGAAAACTTCAATCTATTCGACAATCTGGCGGATCCTGCCGTCGTCAGAGATTGGAATATCCAAGGGCTGCCAGCTGATCCGCTTTCCACGGAGAACGGCATCTTGGTGACGAGGGGACGACGATGGCCTCTTATGATCGATCCGCAGGGTCAAGCTAACAGATGGATCAAAGCAATGGAAGGCAACGAGCTGAAGATTGTGAAGCTTAGCGATCCAAAGTTTTTGAGATCGTTGGAAAATGCAGTCAGGACAGGTCAGCCTGTTCTCATGGAAGATGTCGGCGAACAGCTCGATCCATCACTCGAGCCACTGCTCTTGAAGCAGACGGTGAGACAGGGAGGTCGACTTCTGATCAAGCTTGGAGACTCCTTCGTGGAGTATGACCGCAATTTCAAGCTCTACATCACGACCAAGCTCGCCAACCCACATTACTTACCGGAAGTCTGTATCAAAGTCACAATCATCAACTTCACGGTCACGAAGGTTGGATTGGAAGGACAGCTCTTAGCAGATGTCGTGCGCTTGGAACGTCCTGAGTTGGAAGAGCAGCGGAACACATTGATCGTCAACATTGCAGCTGACAGGAAGGCGTTGAAAGACATTGAGGAGCGCATCCTGAAGTTGCTTTTCAATTCTCAAGGCAACATTCTGGATGACGAGGAGCTGATCAACACCCTGAACCAATCCAAGGTCACCTCTGCTGCTATCAAGGAGCGTGTGGCGCAGGCCGAAGTCACTGAGAAGGAAATTAACATCGCTCGTGAGAAGTACCGACCAGTAGCTATCCGAGGCTCGGTTCTTTATTTCGTGATTGCGGATCTTGCTGGGATCGATTCGATGTATCAGTTTTCCCTTAAGTACTTCAAGAACTTGTTTTCCACATGTATCCAGCACTCCGAGAAAGCCAACGACCTTCAAAAGCGGATCGAGATTCTATGCAAGACCACAACCTATAGCACGTTCGCGAACGTCTCCAGGGGCTTGTTCGAACAGCACAAAATGGCATATTCGTTCATGATCTGCGTTCAAATCCTTCGGGAAAGCAAAGCCATTCTCGACTACGAGTGGAACTTCCTGCTTCGCGGCGGAGGTGGAATGCTAGGTTCAGACCTGCCTTCAAAACCCAATGTCAGATGGCTCTCGAACGGGATGTGGGAGAATCTGTGCGATCTAGCGCGAACGATTCCCGAATTTGGCTACGCCATCGAACATCTGCAGATGTACACCATGGAGTGGGAGGCCATCGTCGAATCTGACAATCCTTATAGCATGCCAATACCGGGAGGGGCCGAGAACCAATTGACCGATTTCCAGCGATTGCTTTTGATCAAAGTGCTTCGTGAAGAGAAGGTTGTGCCTGCTTGCGTCGAATTCGTCAAGAAGAATCTTGGACAGGAGTTCATCGACATACCACCGCTCGACCTGGCGGTCGCCTACAAGGACATCGACAACCGCACACCCTTCATCTTCATTCTCTCGACGGGCTCAGATCCCGTGTCCGCGTTGATGAAGTTCGCGGCGTCCAAGGAATTGAACATGCAAGATCGCCTCCACATGATCTCTCTAGGACAAGGCCAAGGACCGATTGCCGAGCAGCTGTTGCGGCGGGCAATGGCATGCGGAGACTGGGTGTTCTTGCAAAACTGTCACTTGGCAGCGTCGTGGATGAGCCGTCTGGAGACAATCGTGAAGGAGTTCTCGCAGCCAGATGCAGAAATCCACGAAAACTTCCGCATCTTCCTATCGTCAATGCCTTCGAAGGTGTTCCCCATCGCGGTACTGCAAGACGGTGTGAAGGTGACCAACGAGCCACCCAAAGGCCTAAAAGCGAACGTGGCACGAAGCTTCGCTGACATCTCCCGCGACCTGTTCGATGAACATCCCCCCCAAGGACCACGGTTCCGCAAACTTCTGTTCGGTGTCTGCTTCTTCAATGCCGTGATTCAAGAGCGTAAAAAGTTCGGACCGCTGGGATGGAATATCTTGTACGACTGGAGTAACTCGGACCTCGAAGTTTCCATCACCATCCTGAAAAACATGCTTCAGGAGTCCAAGACGATACCATGGGATGCGCTATCTTACCTCACCGGCGAAATCACCTTCGGAGGCCGTGTGACGGACGACTGGGATCGACGGACCTTGCGCTCAATTCTCGCGCGGTTCTATACACCTCAGATTCTGGATGACTCGTATAAGTTCTCGCCTTCCGGCATCTACCATGCCCCGCCCGACGGCGATCTGGCCAGCTATCGCGCGTACATCGACAGGCTTCCCTTCTCGGAGGAACCTTCAGTGTTTGGCATGCACGAGAACGCCGACATCAGCTACCAAATACAAGAGACTCGGCGGTTATTGCGATCTATTCTGGAAGTCCAGCCAAGGCTAGTTACTGCGGGCGGTGGCAAGTCCAGTGAGGAGATCGTCACAGGAATGGCAACGGCCATCTTGAACGACTGGCCGGCCCCTCTCATCTTGGAAATCCCAATAGAGGGTGAGAAGCGGCCGAAATCCGCTCGCTTCGCCGGGGGAGCACCTCCATCCGAGTCCGGCGGCTCCACGATAGACGACAGTAGCCCCAACCCCGTCCTTCTGGAGCTGTTCAAGAAGGACGAATCGGGTCGCATGCTGAACTCGTTGAGCACCGTTCTCTCGCAAGAGGCGGTGCGATTCAACAAACTCAACAACATCGTCCGCAACTCGTTGCAGAACCTTGTGAAGGCTGTGAAAGGTCTCGTCGTTATGAGCTCGGAGCTGGAGCTGGTTTTCAAGAGTTTGCTCAACAACGAGGTACGAGTCTGCCTGATCTATTCCCATGCATTTAAGAGCCCATCCACTCACGCATCTCACATTCATCCAGGTCCCACATGCTTGGTCCGCCCACGCCTACCCCTCCCTCAAGCCGCTCGGCGCCTGGGTCAAAGACTTCCACAAACGCATGGCCTTCATCAAGGATTGGGCCGACAACGGCCAACCCACCGCCTTCTGGCTCCCCGGCTTCTTCTTCCCACAGGGATTCCTCACAGGAGTCCTGCAGAACCACGCGCGCAAATACAATATCCCCATCGACACGCTCACGTTCTCGTATAAAGTCCTGGATTATGATGAGGGCGACCCGCGAGCGTACGGCGGGGGCCAGCCTGCGAGTGGGAGTGATCCGTCGAGGGTTGGGACGGCGGCGTCGGATACTAGCCGCCCGATTACGGCCGCGCAATCGAGTCAGGATGGGGTGCTGGTTCATGGGTTGTTTATGGAGGGTGCTCGATGGGATCGGGAGAAACGGTTGTTGCAGGATTCGTTTCCTATGGAGATGTATTCGGTATGTTTCTGATGTCCTTTTCCTCTACACATCAAATGTTGAGTCTAAAACTGACCACCGCTCTCTTCCGCTAACAGACAATGCCTCTCATCCGCTTCATCCCCGTTCCCACCTCGCAAGCCCAAGGCGGCTCCGGCATCTTCGTCTGCCCGCTCTACAAGACCTCCGCCCGAGCCGGCACACTCTCCACTACCGGCCATTCGACGAACTTTGTCGTGCCGTTAAACATCCCGTCGGATCGGCCGGCTGATTATTGGATTTCCAAAGGTGTCGCGCTGCTTTGCCAGCTTAACGAATAAGGGGCAGGAGCATGGATCGCTAGGAGAGGGATGTATGTAATCTGCGTGTATATAAGAATTGTATTCTTCATAACAATATGAGAGAGATCGTTACGCCGAATTGTGTGCTATCCTGCGATCAACGCCGTTTTCTTGACAATGGACTAGGCAAAATGGGGGGGCTATTATACAAGTTATCTACAAGCTTGAAAATCGCAAGATGTCTGTTTTGCCAAGGGATTCTATCTACTTTTTCTTAAACTCCAAGCTAACCTTCCTCCACACCCTCTTCACAATGGACCCCTTCCTCTTCGCCGGTTCGGCTTTGGCCGGGGATCCTGCTTCGGGAATGTTTTCGACGGAGGGCTTGTACTTGATGCCGCTGTTGCTGGAATGCCCTGCTTGTTTTTCTATTTCGGCTTCTATGGCATCAGCTACGATTCCAGTGAGGCTGCCTTTGCGGCCGATGGGGGTGGCGACGTCCGATCCTGCGGGTGTCGCCTGGGGAGTTGCTCCGTTTGTTTGTGCTGGCGGCGGGGCAGCGGGTGTTGCGGGAGTCGATGTTACGGGAGTGGCCACGCTGGAACCGTCCGGGGCGAGTTCCGTCGACTCCTGAACGGGTACGGAAGGCTTGGTCGGTTCCGGCGTTGTTGGAGTAGCAGGCTCGTCAACAGGCTGTTTTGCGGCTTTGTCGTCTGTCTGCACAGGTTTACCCCTATTTGGAGGCGTAGAAGGAGGTGTAACCTCTAAGCCGTCCTTAACAGCCGGTATCGAGGTTTCTGATGCGGCATCCTTCTTCGTCGTTGTGGCAGGAGCATCGACATCGACAGCCTTGCTGGAATCATTCAAAAGCGAAGGGCTGGACGATGTCGTCGGTTCCACTCTGGGTTGCGGTCTTGGCCGATTACGTCTTCCGGAGGCAATCAAAGTCACAGTATCATCCAAAGCCACTTTGACCCCGTTTGTAGTGCCATCAAGGGCGAAACGCGGAGACGCATTGTTCACCTTTGGGCTTGGCGATTCTGACGATTGCTCGGATGCGGCGGCGTCGTTGGGCATCGGGCGGAGGTTGTAAAGCGCGGCGCTAGCTTTCGCTGCCGCGTTTTCTGGTGCCGCACGGGTCAGTGGCGTCGTGTGCCTATGTATTGGATCAGGGACGTCCTCAACTTCGTCTTTGGGAGACGAGAGGCTTTCCAACTCTGCGCCGTCGCGTTCTTCGTCAGCCGTAGGGTCCTTAAGTGGCACGGTCGAAGCATCACCGTCGCCCAAATCTTCGTTGCTATTGCTGTCGTCGGTAGGATCCTCGAACTCGTCTTCTGTGTCTTCCTCGGTGTCCTCATCTTCGGATAGTGATGCTCTCCTTCCATTTACGGGCGGCGTACTACCCACCGACCGTCCTGCGAGTCGCCTCGTGGCGCGAACAACAGCCAGAATGTCTTCGGGAGAAAACGAGAAGTTTGCCGCGGTGCTTGAACCCTCGCCCTTAGCCTTCATCTGTACGTCCTGTTTGGCAAGCTCCTTCAGCCACTCTGCCTCTTTCCATTCCAAAGCATTTCCATCCTCGTAATCGAATCCCCACTGAGCAGCGCTTTCGCGGATGACTTCTCGTTTGAGGACAAGCTCATCCCATCGGACGGATTTCGGTGGCGATGAGGTACCAGCCTCCTGAGTCGGTAAGGAGCCAACTTTCTGCAGTGTCTCGGTGAGGGTGGTGACCAGCGTGCGTACTTGCTCTCCTGCGGCCCAGAGTGCTGCCTGCAGAGACGATCGTTCCTGCTGCCATAATGTCTCACGACTAGCTAATGCGCCGATCATGACTTTTGCAGCGTCCAGTGCGTCCGATTTGTTGACGTCTCGTGGCGACCCAGTCGATTCGCCACTTCGGACGGTGACCTGCCCATTGGAACTCCCACTGGCGTCTCCCTCCTGCCCCACAGGCGACGCGCCGCTAGACGTGTCAGCCAAGAAAGGCACGTCGCCTCCATGTCTTCGTAACAGGAGGCGGAACGAGTCCCAATCTCGAAGATCAGACAGAAATGCGGGAAGCACGTTGGGATTGCGGACGAGCTTTTCCGCCAAAGGGTCTACGAGATCCGCCTCCACGACTTTGGTTTCGGTGGCAGATATTTCCGATGTTTCAGGGGAATCGGCCGTCGTCTGCCAAGACGAATCCCCGTTTCCGTCAGCTAACACAGTGTTTGCAAACTGCTTAAAGCGGAGACCATCAGGCGCACTCTCCTCCCAAAAAGCTCGCAGGACTCGGAGGGCATCTCTCGTCCGTCGTTGCGCCTCTGCGATAGACCCTGCGTCCTCTCCTATCGACCACTCCACTCGACGGTCGCCGTCATAGCCAGGAAGTGATCCGGCACGCTGAGCGGTAATGTTTATGCGGAGGTACGTAAGAGGCATCGCTAGTTCCTGCTCTCACACTCAACACTCGGTGGGAGCTCCAGGTAACGGTGCCGACAGAAAGGCTACCTGACGAAAAGGCTGACTGACGCGAGGGACGTAACAGACTGTTCGCTTGTTCGCAACGTAGCAAAACAACACCTGAAAACCAAAGGTGGCTTGCCGTCTCCGAGTGTTCACAAACGTCCTAGCACCTACAAATTCGGCGCGGAGTAGCTTCAAAGTACTGGTGACTTCGACCGGCGGCGATATGAGACGAGCCCTTGACAAGGAATGCCGCGGACTGCTTGGTTCTGGAGGAGTTGGAGGCGAGGACTGGTCCAGAACTCGGAATGGTGGGTGTGTGTGAACCTGAGGTTCCTTGCTTTTTCCCCAGACGGGAAAGAAAGTGCAGTACTTTTGGGCAAATCCCGTGTCCAACATGGAGTGAGGCCGAACCTTTTCCTCAGAGGTGGGAAGTTCAAGTTTACTGTACGTAATAAATGGAATTATTATTAGCCGCCAATTGGAGGCATCGCCCCCGCGCCCGCCCCCCTTTGCTCAAGTCAGTGTCACAAGCCTGTGATGCTCCCATGTGAAACCGTCGCTACTATGAGTCACCCACGGTAACTTATAGCGTTTGGGGAATTCATTTTCGACGGCGACACTCTTTTTCGCACGTGGACAGGATATGGCATTGATGACTCCAGCCAAGTATACTTAGCAGATATAGCCCGCATCCAAGGGAAATTTGCGAGAAATCGCTCCGAGGGACGCGTCGAGGCCTAAAAATCGGCCCGAGGCTTGGACTATTTGCAAGGCCAAGACAAGGCCCCAAGGATCGATTTGAGCGATTTCCCGAGAGGACAAGGGTTATATCGTATTTATCGCACACACCGTACAACAAATATTCTGCTTAAGATTTATAGTTGACACAGTTGATAACAGTCATGTGGCCAACCTTTGCATTGGCCAGGAAACTACCAAAGCTACAGGCTACATGGGCTGCATCTGATTCTACTCCGTCAGGAAGTTTGGATGCTTCATCAGCATCATCCGCATTGGCTGATTTGGGCCTGGCAGGAATCTTGACCTTCAACCGCTTGATAGGAGACTTGGCGGGATGCGCCATGGTGCTGGCTTTCGTCTCGGTAGCCGTCCAGGAATTGATGGTTTGCGTGCCAACAATGATGGGCAGCTCATTCTCCTTTCTTTTGGCACTTGTTGGATCGAGCACTTTAGCGACAGCAAGGCGATGAGTTTCCTTCATTCGAGAGTACGAGGCAAGGCCTGCGGCGCTGCGGTGTCCTGAAGTTTTCTGGGTGATATCCTGATGGACCCCAGCTTCAAGAAGTGCCGTAATTGCTGTGGCGCGGCCAGAGTGCGGGACAAGCTTTCGGTGGTTGCAATCGATTCCAGCCTGAATGAACGCTTCTTTCAACCACTTTGAGATGGTATTTTTGCCAACGGGGGCATCGATGTACCATTTGCCGGATGCCAAGAGGTTTTTGGCTGAGTTTGCACGGACAAAGAATCGTGAAGTGTTCAGTCCAGAATGCTTCTCAAGGTATTTCCGAATGTCGGCAGAGGGTCCTGATTGCCCAACGGTGAGCGGAGTGACATCGACTCTAGCAACGAGGCCTTTAGCACGGCGGTGAGGTAGGCAGGGATATATAGATGTATTATGGGTAAAGAAGAAAAGAGAAAGCCGGCGCAGTCGCGCGCGAATATGTACAAGTAGAAAAATCCAACAACAAGTCATGTGACCAAGGGATATAAACTAGCTACTGGGTTAGGGTTACCGCGTTACCGCAGGGAGCTAGGGTTGCGGGAATATGACTCGGCTCCCCACCACACCACAGCGGCCGCCCTGGTGATTCGTTTCGACGGTCATGGTTCTCTCAAAATAGTACTCCCCAGCAGCCATCATCTTCAGCTTCAGATCTGGAACCTCCATGTGGCTTGCCTCTCCTCTGCGCTCAACGAGGAAGACTGACAGGTAGAGGTAAACGCGGTGGAGAAGGCCTTCCGGCGTGTCCACCGAGCAGAAGGCTGAACCCAGCATAGTGCGAAATTCTTCAAGGCTGAGGTCAGAGGCTGCGTTGGTCCCACCATTGCCCATCTTCTGTAAGTTGGCCATCCTCACGTTGAGAATAGTACGTGCACCACGGAACTCAGTGTCAGACTGAATATTGACAACCCGGTTGTTTTCCTCCCCTTTGAGTTTGAGATAGCGGCCAAGACTACCAAAGCCAGTATCCAAGCTGGAGTCACGAAACTCTTCCCCATTGTCCATTTTGACCTGAATGATGAAGGCCTCCAAGTCCTAGATGGTTTGCGTGAAGTAGGTATCAGCTTTGAGGTCAAACAAATGGACCGTGCGGAAGCAGTGTGGGTTCTCACCTTGTTCAATTGAGCAACGTTGACAGTGCCATCTTCATAGGTCAAGTGGCACTCTTCCTTGTACTGGTTCCATTTTTTGACCCACGTCTTTGTAGAGCGGACGGTGTTTGGGTTGTTGTCTGCCTCCTTAATCCTCTGTATCTCCTCCTCGGACAACGGTGGAAATCTCGGCGCAAGATTCCCAGGAATCAGCTTCCTCTTCAAAGGCAAAGTGATGGCAATGGTATCGTCAGGGCCTGGTTTGCAAGGCACGGCACTGGGCTTATGGTCCTGGTCCTCAGCCTCCTTCGACATTCTCTGAGTGTAGTCCCACTCTTCCTGAAGCCGGTCAAAGGAATTGCGGCGGCCTCTATTGTAGACTTCAGGCTCTGGCTCTTCCTGGCCTGCGGGGAACTGTGAGAGGGCCTCCTCTGCCTCCATTGGAGTGAGGATAGGGTAGTGATCATCACCCATGTCAGACAGCATGTCGGAGGTTGGGGTGCTGATTGCAATGCTGATCTCAAGATCTGGGACGTAAGTTGGCAAGGCCGGGGTGACGACGGGAGACGTGGGTGTACCTTGGCTGTCGCGAGTGCCAAAATCCAGGCTGCCCCTCAAGCGATTGGCTTTGGTAATGTTCTTGAATTGAATTGCCCAGTCCTGTGTTTTCAAAAACAGATGTACATACAACCACGTACTGCTGGTCCTGGAATAGCACTGGTGTGCTATTCCAGCGCATAGGTGCGTCGCAAAGTTGGTGCTATTTGACTTTCGAATAGCCCTGGTCTCCAATAGCACCGGTGTGCGATAACATGTGCGCTTGTACATAACTGAGTTTTGATGAGTGCAGGCTTGTCAATATACAGTACAGCGATGAATGCATTGCCATAAAAAATGCAACTTGCTCAACGGATAGTGTTGGGCATTCGGCGCTGAACAACAGTTCCAACGGTACTCGGATGCACGAATCTTGACAGCACCGCAGCACGTGAATAGGGTAACCAGAGGGGCGGGACATCCTTGACAATTGATGCCAGGATACCACCTGCGACCAGGCAATCCATGAGCCCGGGTTGATTCAAGAAAAAAAGAGCTTCTCGTGATGATGGCGGATGAATATCGATCGGCAAAGATGATGATCGCGTATACTATACACTTCGTATAGAGCGCGCGGTAAGCGGACGAGGGGAGGGCCATTCCCTTCACCCGTTCCAATCGAATGCCAAATAGTACCATTCCATTCATAATTCACGGTCAAGTTTCCGCTTCCATACCGTCCCTCGCGCGAGAGACACAACACCCCAGCCGTGGGACTTATTAGTACATACTTACGCCGAAAGCCAGAAACGACCGTTGCCCCTCGTGGAGAAAGCCCCTCACCTCACCGACGATCGTTATACAGAAAGCGCTGTTGACGAGCTCCGAATCCACTCTAGCCTGGTTTCCCAGGCACACCGCGGAGCATCTCCCTGAAATCAGATTCCCACGGGACTTTTGCGCAAGCGGACCGCAAATGTCTCGACTGCCCACATACCACTACCATGGGTCTTCGGCTTCCAACAGTCCCAATAGCCGTGAGCAGCAGTCTCAATACCCTGGCCCATACCCGTACGGCCAATATCCGCCGGCATATCCGACACATCAGCCAAACCACCCACATTCCCACCCAGGCGCGCCAATGCCATACCCCGCTCCGTATCCTCCCGCATTAGCGGGCCACCCCATGTATTCCCATCAAGATCTACCAGGCCACCTTGCAGACCCTCATAGGCAGTTTCCCTCTGGCTATCCTCCCCCCTCGCAACCTTACCCGTCGCGGCACGGGAGACCAACGAACTTCAACCCAGAATTCCAAACGTATTCAGGGGAAGATCAACAGAACTTGCGCTCTGCGGAAAAAAGTCAATCGGCCGAGGACATAGACGGACCAGGTGGGGCTTTGGGAAGACATCCGTCTGACGATAGCCTCACTGCGAGCGATACGCCTGAAGCAAAACCTCTTGCGAAAGGCGACAAAGCACAGGGAGGAAAGGCGGACGTAAAAAGTGCAAATCCTGCACAGGAAACCAATAAGGAAGCGGATGGGGATGCGTCAGACGAGAAAGCTGCATTCGGAGAGACCACCACGGCAACTTCGGGCACATCGACCGGGGTCCCAGACTTTGTGAGAAAATTATTCCGGTAATTTTGGAGTCTTCTTGCTATCTGCACACACGCTCATCGCATTGACTCTCATCGTCATCTTTTCATAGCATGTTGGAAGACTCTACGGAGACCGACATCGTTACATGGGGTGTAAAGGGGGATACATTTGTGATCAAAGATCCGAATGAATTTGCGAAGGCGGTGCTGCCAAAACACTTCAAACACAACAACCCGGCCAGTTTCGTCCGGCAGTTGAACAAATATGGGTTTCACAAAATAAAGAGTCAGGACGATGGACGGCTTTACGGTGACTCGGTAAGTCTTCCGTTAGCGGTCCGATTTCTTTACCCAACGCTGACCTGATTTCAACTCGTTCATCAGGCGTGGGAGTTCCAGCACCCGAACTTCCAGTACAACAAACGCGAAATGCTGGACTCGATCCGAAGGAAGACCTTGATAAAAGGGAAATCAACGACGAACGCCGCGTGCCCCACAACCGTTGCAACCGTGGACAATCTGGCAAACGAATTTCGCCGGGACACGACTGATCTGCAATCGCAAGTCAATAGCTTGGCTAAAGTGCAGGGTGACATAGCCGCCTATTTGGAGAGTTTGAGTCGGAACTACATGATGATAGTGGAGGAAGTGCTGAGCTTCCGGAAAAACATGATTGCACAAGATCAAGTAATTCGCAACCTGGTGGGATATATTGCAGACAATCAGCGGCCAGGTAGGCTCATGTCGCAGGTATTGCTGAAGCGTTCTATCGAGGCTGACTTCCATATTTCTCCTCCAGATACAGACAGGAGTAAGCTGATGAATTTCTCGCGCCCCGAGCTGCCTACGTCGTCAATGGCTGCAGCCCTCCCTGGTATAGGCGGGTTTCCGTCCCTACCGGCTCCGTCTGTAGATGCCGGAGGACCCGGCAATGTGTCCAGCGGTAGCTCAAACGACGCACTCCAGGAATTCAATAAGACTTACCAGGCAGTTGCGCGAGCGAGCTTTCACCAGATGGACGAGATCAGTCGCCATGTCAAGGAGGCATACGGGTCAGTGCAGAACCCGCCCGGTTCCGTTGAGGAGACGGTGGGGTCAGCGCCATCCACTAGTGCCGGTGCGCCAGCGGGGTCGATAAACGACTCCATCCGAGACACCGCGGCCGTCAGCGCCGCATTGAATGAGCACTTTGGTGAACTTCAAGACCAGAACGGCGGCTTGACCGTGTTCACAGTCGGAGGGCTCACGCCAAGACGGGAGGAGCCAGTTGGACCGTCCAACGGAAATGCTGGACAATGTAAGAGTGTCAGGGTCACCCGAGCGACGTTTGTGCCCCCATGGTCTGTGCCGCCAAAGGTTTTGCTTGTAGAAGACGACAGTACCTGTCGGAGGTTGTCCAGCAAACTGCTCCAAATCTTTGGTTGTGCATTCGATGTGGCTGTTGACGGCTTGGATGCGGTCGAGAGGATGGGAATTGGTAACAAATACGATATTGTGCTCATGGTAAGTAGGCGAACTTCGATTCTTCAGCTCCGTAATGTCGATGTTGAACTGCTCTTCGCAGGATATCGTGATGCCGAATCTCAACGGAGTCGCCGCAACAAATCGCATTCGGCAATTTGACCGAACAACACCCATCATTTCGATGACGTCCAACACAACGGCAAACGATTGCCTCACATATTTTGCGAATGGAATGAACGATGTGCTTCCGAAGCCTTTCAACAAGGATAGCATGCTTTCTATGATTGAAAGGTTGGTATTAACATGATCATTCTGTTTAGCGGGTAGACTGATGTGACTGATCGCCCTGATTTGTAGGTATTGTAATCACCTTGTCGGCCAGCAAGCTGCCGCAATGGGCATTCCAAAGGCCATTTGCGCCAGTGATGGCTTCCGACCGAATGACTGGGAGAGAGGGTCTGGACGGATATTCGAGATGGAGAATCAAGATGGATACCCGTCATCGTCGGGGAATGGATCCCATGCCCAAACTTCGCACGTCGGAACAAGCTGCGCATCAGCTCCTCCGGCTGCTGATGCCACCACGGCAGATTACTCCAATCTGCTCAACCTTCCATTCGCCGAAATGCCCGAATTGGGAGCGGGCGGATTCGGCACCTTGGGCGACAACCCATTCATGAACACACTGGAGAGGGACACGTTTGCAACTGCTGGCGGTCAGCGTGCATCTCAACCGCAACACCCACAACACCCACAACGACAACCACAACAACAACAATTCTCGTTGTCACCATCCCCAGACGTCGACAACACACCGTCCCCGCAGGTCGTCGCGGAGCTGGGCATGGGCGCGTTCGCATCATCCGGCATCTACGGCCACCCCTCCGGCGGCGCGCCAACCAATTTATCGCGAGAATCCGTCGCGAATAAACGATCATATGACGGTGCGGGGCAGCAGGACCAGCATAACCTCCACCCGCAATCGGCAGACAACGAAAACCCGTATACCAGGTCGTTCAAGCGCGCACGAGGTACATGAGCGCCAAGCGAATAGTGAACAAACATTCCAGCATCAGACGATTGCCCTCCCCGTTACGTTGCTCCATCGATTGATATGTGAATGGAGTGTACGCCGGCGCCGGGCCTCACTTGCGCACCTTCGATATTTTTTGGGATCTTTCTCTACTTCTTGTCGGGTGTTTTTCCACCCTGTATCCTTCCCTTTGTGTTTGTCATTTAGTGTTCTGTAGGATGTGCGGCTATACCCTCGCTCCTTCCTTCTTTACTTAAATACATGATTACTACAAGTGTATTGATGCAGGACTCTCGTGCACGTCCCATGTACGTAGTTAAATGCCAAACTATGTGCAAGCCGACATGTGATACATATCTGTGGATTTTGAAGACACGAATCAAGTACGCCGGGGGAACTACGTATGAGCTGAATGAGCTTTCCACGAAGTCCAAAGGGCAGCCATCACACATCTCGCAACGGGTGACTTGCAGATTCCCCCGTTCTGAGAAACTCAAACGCGCGCTTTTCAAAACGAATTAACCAATGAGAAAGCAGAAAAAACAAGCGGGAGAAGGACAAAGAACGAATAAGCCCATAACACGAAAGGAAGGGGCCAATAATACGCAGTTCGCCTTCCGTACCTGCTGAACACCAATATCCCCCGCCCGCCTGCACTCGCCCACAAGATCCCAGAGATCTGCCGGGATCTCGTAGCCGCGCGCCATCAGCCTATTGATGCAGTATAGGAGCTGCATGATTGCTAGCGTTGTTGATGATGCTGTCGTGGGTGGAGTTTTTCTGGAGGAGGTTGTCGTGGTCGTATCTGGGATGGCGGGATGGGGTAAACAGTGGCGGGAAGGGGTTGCAGGTGAGTAATGAGACATGTTACGGCGTGAACAACATGCAAAAGGCGTACATACCGTTACTGAGCGCCCTTTGAAGGACGTTGGACAATGCCGCAAATATCTGTGATGTTGACGAAAGGTACTCTGCGATGACCTACGACGCCCAGATCACATATTTTGAATCACTCTAATCTAACCGGGACAAGACTGGCACTCCGCAAACCTACCCAAGTGACAAACGACAGCAGATTGATTTCTCGCACGTCCAATTCAAGTAGTGAGTTGCGGCAGAACGCGTCCAAGGCAGGTATGGTGGCCGCCGATAGTGGATTTCGGGAAATGGTTTTGGTCAGTGACGAAATGATCCCACGTCGTGAGCCGTCCGGAAGGAGGGGCAATAGTTGAACAGCATGCGTAATGTATTGTTGTTGATCTGTGTGCAAGGAGAGTGTCAGCCGCCTTTGAACAATGGGGAACTATGGACGTCCGCAGGAAAGAAGGTACCCAATGTGGGAATGCTATCAAGCACATCCATGGCTTTTGCGGTAAGCCGTTCCTTGAAGGCAGTATCATCGCTCGTTTTGACGATCTTTAGTACTTGGCTGAGGACGGCCTCGTAAGTGGCTTCTGACACGGTTCCCATGAGTATATCCAAGGCCTGCATCATCGCCATCAGTTTCTCATCGCCACGCATCCCTCCATCGATGGATCATCCGCCGATATCGGAAAGTCACCTTGCGCTGTATAGTCTCATCTTCACTCTCCAGCCCTTCCTCTACAACAGCTCGGTGCAAGCCCACAGCTTCCGGATCCAGTTTCGCCCACATCTCCAGCCCCCAAAGACCCACATATCGCAGATTGTGGTTTTTCGATCCGAGTAACTGCGATATGGATCGCCACGGTAAGGATGGAGGATCTCTCGTTAGTGGCGGTACTAACGAACGGACGGTGGGCTTGGTGACTAGGTGGTCCAGCCCCCGTATGCAGGCGTAGGTGACAGCGTAGGATGCTTCACCACCCTTTGATGCACGTTCCAGTGTTTCCAGTATGATTGTGTAAATTTTCTGATTTGTGCTGTTTGTAGGGCCATCAGTATATAAGTAGAGCATGTGCTAGGACATTGCATGCTCCTAGCTCCCAACATACGCTTGATCGTCATTGTCCAGCAATGTAATGATCTCGAGAGTCCGTATCAAAACCCAAGGCGCTGGGACACCATGGAAGTCATGTGTGCTTGATAGTCGGCCCGCGATCGCCTGCCGCTGGATGTGGATGAACGCATCCAATAAAGGCAAGCATTTCGCAGGATCAATCTGGCAACAATGCATGAGCATCAGCATTGAGATGGATTGAACAGCAACTTACGGTGCCTGCGAACCTGCGCTGCATGAAGATAGACGCTCAACGTCGCTGCCATGACACTCGGATCCGCATCGGCCAACGTCCGCTTTAAGCGCTTCATCTCGAATGTAATCAGATGCGGGGCTACTCTGAATAGCCTTCGCAAAGCTGTAACGGCGCTTTTTCTGACTAGGAGACTGTTTCCGGCGGCGATTCCATAGACAGGTTAGAAGTGTGAAGCATGACGATCTTGGAACAACCAAATTACACACACTCTTCATGACGGAGACATCCGGTCACCATGGGCAGTAAGGACGGGACCATGTCTGTGCTTGCGATGGCGCTCACGACTTTGAGTGCCATTGCTATTATGTCTTGATTATCACTGGCCAAGTCCTGGGATGCATGGCATCAGTATATGGCCATGGGAGCAGATATCAAGATGTGCCTACCCTTTGTATGGTATTGACCATCAAAAGATTGAGCTCATGATCCTCGTGCAAGAACATTGATACACAAAGATATCCTTGGGAGCGCCCACAATCCTTGTTAGAAGGATCTTCTCATCCAGGAAAGCGGACCTGTGGGCTAACCGATGTGCTTCTCAAACAAGGTCTGCGCGTCCTGGACCAGCGTGACAGCCTTGATATGTGCAAACTCTGCCGTACTGTATCCCATCGTCTCGCCGTAAAGACACAATGCCAGCAGCTCTGCAGTTTTGGCCTTCAACAGCTGTCCGTCAGCCTCCAATCGCTTCGCACCATGTGCGTGAGAACGTAATGTCATGGACGCTACCGATGTGAGATCATTTGCACCTAAGTCGATCCGCAGTGAGTTGACTTCGCTCGCCAGAAGGTCTCGTTCTTGCTGGGCCGTCTTGGCGCCTGCGACAGACCGGAGGAACCTCCTAAATCGCGGGCTGAACGAACGGTTTTCGCGACCGTTAGCTCCCGGAGATGCCTCCCTCGACATTGCGAAAGTTGCTTGAGATTTAGCTAATAGCCGATGCTTTCAAGGTCTTCAAGCCCGTTCCCAGGTCCTGCTCCTGCTATGAAACAGTGTGGGTATGAAGTGAAGGACGTCCACAGACGTTCAAATCCACAATCCAAGCGTCAAAGACACTTAGGCAGAGCAGGAATAAAAAAGGGCCACGCATCACGCAGCTGGTGAGGCAGGGTGAGGGGGGTGAATTCAAATCGAGAGACGCGCCGATGTCCGAAAGCCTCGAAGGGGAAATCCATCCGAACGGCACACTCCCACCAGCCACGATTAGCACACCCCTCCACACCCTGCCCCAATCCCTATCAGAGGTTCAGAAGGAAAGCCGTGATCTGGAAAGGGCATCGTTGCTGAATGTGGCCGACGTGGACGAGTTCCGGCATCCAATACCAAAAACGCGAGGAAACCCAAAACATCCCAGAGCCTGCAAGCGTCGAGATGGCGGACCCACTCAACGACGACTTTTTGAACGATTCTTCACCGCTGGATATGAGGAGCGGGCAGACGCCCAAAACTCCGCTAGAAAGGCAACAGGTTCAAGATGATTTGGCTATGATATCCTGCGGTTCATTTTTTGACCCTCCAATGATTTCAGTTTGATAGATCATCACAAAGCCGCCCACCAACCAGCCGCATCTTCTCGCGCGAAATCGCGGACAAACCACCCCTCCATCCATATGACGACTTATACACCATGCCTCCGAGCTCCTCCACCCCACCACCCAAACAGTCCATCTCCCTCAAACAGAAATCCAGCCCGGCACGCCTTTTCGTTGCACCCGTGAAGTCCTTCGGCGACTGGATGAAAGATAGAGGCCGCGTACCCAATACCAAAACGAAGGAAGCCGTACCTGCTGGAGATGACGTGCAGGCTAAGACTGCGTCGGAAGGAACTGCTGTCGACCGGGTTCGGAAGGAGGAGAAAACAGAGCCTGCTGCTCTTCCGCCGCCACCAATAGACGAACGCGTGCCGTCCCCACCTTCTGTGGTGCATTCAGCCGAATCCCCACACGACACTCTTGAGATCAAACGAGAGCAGACGATGTCGCCTCCTTCCGTAGCCTTGGCCGCAGAACCAAACCATACCCCGACGGCCGCCACAATGAAGTTGGACGACACCCCAGAGCCCGAACCGGAACCGGCGCCGCAGAAGGCGCGCATTTCGCCGACATTCCCGTATCCCAATGAAGAGGCACTGATTCCGCAATCACCGATAAACGCAATGCCGAAACCGCAACGACAACAATCATCATCGGCCAAGATCAAAACTGAGCCAGTTGGTGAGAAATGGACCGCGGGCCAGCCTTCTCCTTGTGTCAACCCTTCACCGTCTAAACCAGCCCTCGGATCTGCTGCAATCGCCCGCGACTCACCGACCATGATGTCCCCAGGCTTTCTGCACGGAACCGCGCCACCAAATTCCTACAAAACCGTCGACGACAGCGCACTCGAATCCGGCCACACTTTCACAAAGAAAACCGCAAACGTGCCCGCACGGCCCCAGTCGGCCTACGGCATACTGACCCCGGTAAAGCCGGCGGCAATGGACCCGAAAGCGATCGCAGACTTTGACCCTCTTCAAAAGAACACATCCGAGAACGACTGGTTCCTGAAATGGGATTCGCCACAGGCGGTTCCTCCAGCTGCTGTACCACAATCTTCTCGGACACCTGCGAAACAGAGATCGATGGGCAACTTGACGAGTCCACCGCCGTCACTACTGGATTCCGTGATCGAGTGTCCGACGCCGAGGAGTATTCCAAGGTATTCGGAGAAGGATGTGCAGGAGAAGATTCGGATATTGCGCGAGAAGGTGGGTGAAAGAACGTGTCAGTGTGAATCAATTTGGGCTGCTAAGATGACCTCCGTACAGTATGAATCCCAGTTCGAGATAGTGCGCGCATCAATATTGCAGGAGGCGAAAGACGAACATGACCGGAGGTGGAATAAACTCAATGAGGACTGGGAACAGTTCAAGGATCATGTGAATGGTTAGCCTGCACAGTGGGCAGAGCGGATTCCATGTCGCAATGCGGGTTCTGACGCCGTCTCTTATGTTTCCGTATATCAGAGCTGCGCAAAACGGAATTAGAGAACGCGCAGATGGAATACGAGCGCCTGTACACGCAAATGAAGACCGTGTACGATGACAAGCAACGGCTCGCAAAAGAGAACGAGTTGTGGGAGGTCAAGAACAAACAGCTGCAGATGGATGTAACGGATATGCGTGAGGTGCGTGGGGGATGTTTTGTGCTTGGCCTGGTGGGGTAGATTGAGGAAGGACTTTTTCTTATGTGGGGTTTTGTTGGGTTGCGCAGTCTACGAAGAAATTGATGGCCCAAATCGATAGTCTGAAAGAAGACTTGAGTGGCGCTGAGGGGCGGTATACGCACTTGCGGGAGTATGCCAACCAAAAACTTGAAGAGTGAGTTCACTTTGCTCAAACTACATCCCTCACTGAAAGATGGTTGCTAATTCATGTCTTTCACAGAGCAAACACAGAGTTAGGCCGCATGCAAGACGAACACGAGCAGGAGGTTTCGACCCTGAAAGCTAAATCGATGCGGCAGGAAGTGCAGATGCGCACGTTACAGAGGTCGCTGGAGAGTAAAGAGGCGGAGAATTCTCAGCTTTCGAGCATTGTTGATAATTTGGTGATGCGGCTTGAGCGGAAGTGACACTGGCCTGTTTTTATACAAGTTGCCTTCATCGGCGACGCCTCAGACAGAGGTACAATGATGTGGATGGCAGATAACCACCACGGAAAATGGGATGGGGTGAGGATTCTAGACTACCTACGGTTACGGGAGAATGCGTCTGGTCTGCGGCCATCAACGCCAAACACCACCGAACGCACAATTGAGAGGAAATTCTTGGTGCTTAGGACGTCCCGATTGTGCACTTTCATCCGTAGTGGTCGTCTTCCAGCAATCTCAAATGGCGTCCAGTCTTGGTTGATACATTCGGGGTTGGGGCAACCCACCAATCCATGGACGAATTCCATTCTTCCTTTTCTAGCTTGCCACGGCCGAGATGACAGCCGGCGTCGGATGTTTTTCTTCACATGGCCGTGGCAGTCGGGGCACATGGACGACGTTCGATACTCATCTAGCAAGTAGCATGGAATGCTGTTTCTTGCAAAGAGTGTGCGGAACCTGATTTCCATGATGAGTTAGCATATTATAATACATAAAAAACAACGATGGCCACTCACCCTTTGGTCTTTGTTGACTCCTGAAAGCGCATGGTTCTTCCAGCGTCGCTCCAATCACCCAAGATGACCGAAAAATGCTTTCCATACAGGCGTCGCATGTTCTTGATGAGTTTGCTCTCAGACTTTTGCCGCAGTGAAAACGCCTTGAATCTGCGAGCCACATGAATCTCATCCTGGTAAAACTCATCCAGGGCGGGATCTGGGATATGGATGTCAGCCCATGTATTACCAAAGTTGAAAATCAAAGTTGAAGTAGAACATCATACCCGCATGTTCGTAATCCACGATGAACGCTGAGAACGCCTGAATGTTCATGCTCTTGTGCGACGGAATATGTGATTCCATCTCAGCAATGCCGGGCATTGATCTTTCGCTCCGTCATGTCTCGTTAAAAATGCCGAGACTTTGTCTCGACCGCCCGTTGATTGGATGTGTATCTGATATGGGGTGATGCATTGTGAGAACGCTGCAGTGGAATGTCGCTGCAACGGGGATGGTGGGGAAGGTGACGGAGGGGATGGTGACTGGGGGGATGGTGACGGGGGGGATGGTGGGGACGGGGATGGGGACAGGGTTGAGGAGGGCGTTGATGGGGATGGCAGGGATGGCGGAGGCGGCGACAGCGGCGACAGTGGCGACAGCGGGGAGAGCGGGGATAGCGGCGACAGCGGGGATAGCAGCAACAGCGGGGACAGCAGGGCAGTAGTAATCAACTGAGACGTACCGAAATGGCCGCTCCTTCTTGATGTCTCGACAGAACAAGAGGTCACGCTTGCCTGGATCAATGCAGACGATGTTTGGAGCCTCCCGTAGTTCGGCGATGTGGTGCTCAAAATACAGCTGCTTGACTTCTTCCTGCATTTGGGCCTTGCTGCGCTTCCGGGCCCGATGCCCATACTTGAGCCCTGGCTTCTTAAAGTGGATGGAAACGGAGTACCCGTTTGTGCTGATTGACCCATCAAATTTGAGACTAAGCTTCTTTCTATGCTTGAAGACCTTGTCCTACAATCCGTCATTCAGCAAGGTAATCAGATTGAAATAAGCGCAGAAGGATACAGACTTACATTGATATTGAGAAACTGCCCCCACAGCTCCCGCTTGCGTTCATCGGTGAATTTCCCCATGCAACTTCGGCCCAAGCCCAGGATATGGGTGCCTAGGATCAGCGTGTCGATCCAAACAGATGACTGGATTCGAGATTTGTGCAGCAGGATAGCCGAAAACAGCCGCATTCCACGGCGCTCATAGAGACGTGACAGCTCACAATACGCACCTGTGATGAGGCGAGGCAGGTGCGGACCATCATTAGACAAAAGAGGAAGCGGGGGGGGCCGGAAATATACTAACTCACCTGAATATGGCGTTGCGTCCACCGCAAGGCTGTACGCAAGTGGCTCATCCTGGGGAGGAAACAGAGCCCATAGCTCGTCGAGGACAGTCCGCTCAAGTCGTGTGAGGCGCGCAAACTCCTCTTCGGTTGGAAACTCTTCAAACGTCGCATACTTTGTAAACTGACGGACACGCTGATAATAGTGTCGCCGCTGCGCTCGGTTGACTCCGGCTCTACGGAGATGCAGTACGACTTGCTTCAAACCAAGCCTTTCATTGACATAGCGCAGAAACATTTGCATGAAATGCTCCTGTACGTTAACTTTGAGGTTTGTGAGGATGCTCTTAGCTGTGTACGCTGCAGTCTGTTGGCAGTTTTGCATGCGGATGGGGGCGAATCCGTGAACATCACAGTAGCCTTGAACCCGTGGACGCAGCTCTTGCGCGATGACTGGATTGCCATTGTAGCCTGGATTGTTTAGCAGCTCAAATATCACACTTATGTGCTTGTCGGTGATGTCTGGGAAATTGTGTAGAGGATGATCGGCTGTGGTGGGCAGACGTAGCAGTCAGGACATTGTTTGATGGGAAATATACAGTTTAGTGAACCTCAAAAACTCACCAAGGTAGAACTTGAGAAAGAAGGTGGTGCGGCGCGCAAGGATGTGAACATTGCCGATGAATGTTGTCAAGCGCTCCCTTTGAACTTGATTTTGATTATGGATGATTTGGTGAAGCAAAACCTTGGTGCTGGCATGTGTCTGCGGGCGGGGTCGTTGAATTGGTGGTGGTGGTGGTTGGGGCTCATACACCAGGGATCCACCCGGTGTGCTGGGAAAACGGAAAGGGATGGGAGCAGGGAGGTTCAGCGGACGCTGCAGACCCCTGTCCACGGGTGAAAGCCCTCGCTGCTGGCGCTGCCCATCTTCATCGCCGGAACTCTTGCTAACCATGTCTGCAATTGCTTGGGGCAAGTGGCGCTGGACAGAAGGTGGGAAATCAAATCGCAGGGGTTGCAATGGTGTCTGCACAGCGGTTGGCAGATGCAGGGTAACGGGAGTAACCTTCCTCCTCTTCCGCCGTGGTGTGGTAGCTCCGGTAAAGATGCCACACCACAGGCGCCCCTGGAGCGCCTGGTGTGATGACATGATGGCTGTGCTGTGCCGAGACAGGTGTTGCAGGCGATTGCCGTGATAGCTGTGTGTCAAAGAACTCGCATCAGTGCTGTCTGACAGCGGGGAGGATTTACAGCCTGGCGCAGTCGTGGCGCAGTCGTGGCTTGTCCACTGCTGATCGCCGCGCCTCCAAGGCCGCACTCTCCTCCTCTCACACGAAACGTCAAGCGCTCGCAGCTCACGCAACTCACGCAGAGCGCACTCTGAGCATGGAAACGTCAAGCGCTCGCAGCGGACAACAGGCCCCTCACCCCCCTGGCCAACACCCACCTCCCTCCAGCTCAAGCGCGGCAACTCACGCAGAGCACTCTCTGAGCATGGAAACGTCAAGTGCCAATGAGGTGAGTCACTCGGCTGCTGTGCAGCCGCGGGCGTCTCCGCTGGGTGTTGACCGCCTGATCTCGCGGCCCATGTTGGGCACAACCGCCGCTTGTGGGAGGTCGACCTGCATGGGCTGTGCTGTCTGGGCGTGTTTGCCATACGCTGATCTCGCGGCCCATGTTGAGCACGACCGCCGCTTTGCGGGAGGTCAACCTGCATGGGGTGCGCTGCCTGGGCATGCTGCTGTGCGCTGGCCCATGCTGAGCACAACCGCCGCTTGCGGGAGGTCGACCTGCATGGGATGCGCCGCCCTGGTTGCGATCGGGCTAGGTCTGCTAACGCCTTCCCTTCCCCCACGCCCCCGGTCGCACCCACCGCGGTCGAGGCTCTTCTGATGGGCATGGGCGAGACCCGCGCCACAGCTATCTTCGGTGACACGGTGGCCTTTTTGTATCCGCTGCTGGTAGACGCCGGCCTTGCCGCCCGGAACGCCAGCCTAGAAGACAAGGCTAAGGCGATTGGCCTTTTTTCACAGAAGATCAAGCAAGACAACCCCACCCTTTGGGGTTGGTGGATCAATAGGCCAACGCGCTCCCGTCACCAGAATAAGCGCGCCAAGCACCACATTGGGCTCCAGTCCGGCATCATCACCGCGATCAGCGATGGCAGTCTGACCACGGCCAACTTCTCAGTCGACCCCCAGCCCTCCGCTAGCCGCCCGGCTGTTCACATTGTGGTGCCAACGCCCGCCTTGTGCGATGGCTGGGAGGGCAAGATGGTCTATGCGGGGTTTGGGAAGAGGCCGGCGAAGGGGAGGGGCCTGGATGGGCTTGAGCAAATTGAACCCCAGGCGGGGGCCCACATCCACATCCGCGACGAGCACGGCGCCCTTGTGGCCACAATCTCGTACAATAGTGCGGGTCATCGCAAACACGATCTGCGGCTGGGGCTCATCGTCAAGTCCTGTGGATCCCGGTCGGCTGCGGTTCGATGGAGGGCCTCAAGGGGCACAATGCACGCCGCGGGGCTTCGTCGTGGCAACAAGAACTTGGGATATGCCAGGGGGACATCGCACTATTCAATGAAAGGAGGGGCAGACATGTCCGCAAAGAAGTTTCTCGTCGCAATGGAAAAGGCCTTCACCAAGCGACTGCTGCAGGAGCTTGCCAACCGCAACCCCACCGCGGCGGCCTACCTGATGATGGCCATGCCAGAGGTGTACGGGCCAAATTCCGATGAGTTCCCCCCGCTGTTCGCCACCACCAACTATCAAGTGGTTGTTCACTCCGACCCGTCGGACAACGGTGCAGCCGTCAAGCTGAACCCGCACACAGGCCGCGCCATATGGAAGCTGACCCCCAAGGAGGAGCTTCCGGAGGAGCTTCAAGCCCGCAAGCTATGCGCGCAATGGGCGGGAGGCTACGCCGCTGCTCCGGCAACCGTCATCGGCGAGTGGGTATTTGCGCTGCCAGAGCAAGGCTTCTACTTGGTGCTGCAGCCCGACTGCATGTGGACGAGGATGCCTCACAAGCTCCACGGAATGGCGGTGCTTGACACGTCCAGCGGCAGTCGCCACACGGCTGTTGTGACGCTGCCCTTGGCGACGGCCGCGGCCATCCAGAAATACGGCCTCCCTGATGAAGATGAATAATGTTATGATCTCGACGACTGAGGCGGAAGTGAAGTAGAGAAGACAGGGCGAGAGTGGTAGGCGACAAGAGATTGTATTGGCGAAACAAGGAACAAGGACTAGAACAGGAGATGAGAAGAACTGGTGTTGATCTGCTGGGGAGGAAGGGAATGGACGAAGAGAGGCCGGCTATTTATAGACAGGCAACCCGGCAGATCAGAGAACAACAACAACAAGAGGGGACTGGGGGGGCGCCAGCTATGCTCCTAGAGCGTGCGTGGCGAGCGTAGAGAGCATTGCTACAGCTGCTGGCTATGGGGAAGTAGTGGAGGGTGTGGAGAAGCCGAGGGGGGATTGGCGAAATGAGAGGAGAGAGGAGGAGTGGCGATACTGCAAGAGGATTGATGAAATGAGAGGAGAGAGGGGGAGTGGCATTGACATTGACATTGACACTGACATTGACACTGACATTGACATTGACATTGGCGTTTGACATTTGGCGGTTGACATTGGCGGCTGTCAGTAGGTAAGCTTATGGTATGGGCGCATTGTCCATAACATCACCCCTCTCTTTAGCGGCGGCGGCGGCGGCGTCGAGTTTGGTGTGGCCGCAGAGGAAGTGCTACGGGGACAGAGGAAGGCTTGTTGGGGTACGCGCTGTGGAAGTCCTGGAGGAGTGCGTCGGTATGGGTGAGGTGTTCCACGGGCTCCCAGGTGTTCTCGGAGTCAGGCCAGCCCTGCCATTTGACTAAGTACTGAAGGCGACGACAATGGATGCGAGAGTCAAGGATGGCTTCGACAACCCACTCTTCTTGACCCTCAACGGTCTCTGGGGGCGCGGGTTCGGGTTCGTGTCGTTCGGGGATGGTGAAGCGGGGTTCGAGGAGAGAGACATGGAAGACATCGTGGATTTTGTACGTAGGCGGGAGCTTGAGCCGGTAGGCGACAGGATTGATTTTTTCAACGATGGGGAATGGCCCAATCTTGCGATGGTCGAGTTTCTGAGAGGGCCGGGTTGTCTGGAGGTTTTTGCAGAGGAGCCAGACGTGGTCGCCAGGCTTGAAGTCCGGTCCAGGAATTCGTTTAGCGTCGGCGTAGCGCTTCATTTGATCTTGGGCTTCCTTGAGCTCGAGGGAGAGCTGTTCATGGACTCCCCTGATTTGTTTAGCGCGGGCTTCAGCGGCGGGGTTGACGGATTCGGAGGTAGCAGAGGCCACGAAACTGAAGCGGGGGTGGAGACCCTTGTTGGCGTAGAAGGGGGTGGTCTGGGAGGCGGACTGGTGGGTGTTGTTGTAGGCGAACTCGGCGGACGACAGAAGCTGTTTCCAGTTGTCCTGTTGGTGGTTGCAAAAGCATCGGAGATACTGCTCCAGGATCTGGTTGGTGCGTTCCGTCTGGCCATCGCTCTGGGGGTGGAAGGCCGAGGAGAGGTTGGCTTTTGCCCCAAGGAGTTCGAGAAGTCGACGCCAGAACCGGGACTTAAACTGGGGTCCTCGGTCAGAGATGACGTCGTCGGGGAGGCTGTGGAGACGGATGATGTTGTGGAAGACTAGGTCGGCGGTGGATTCGGCGGATTCTGACTCGCTGCAGGCAATGAAGTGGGCCATCTTGGTGAGGCGACAGTTGACGTTCAGGATGGAGTTGAACCCGTCGACGGGAGGCAGACCGGTGATAAAGTCTAGGGACCAAGATCCCCAAGGGCGGGTAGGGATACTGTTGGGCTGGAGTAGGCCATATGGTTTGTGTCGACTGGATTTCGCTTGGCTACAGGTATTGCAGGACTTGACGTAGGCCTTGACGAAGCGCCACTGGCTGAGCCACCAGTAGTTGCGGGAGGCAAGTTCGAGCGTCTTGGACATCCCAAAGTGGCTGGCTAGGGGTGTATCGTGCATGTCGTGGCAGACTTCAGCTCGGAGCTCGTTGGTGGGGACATAGACCAGGTTATCGTGCAGCAGGATCCATCTCCATCTGAGAACCGCTTGATACAATCTTGGGTTTGCTCGGTTCGTTGGGCGAGGGGTATCTTGAGCTTCTTGCGAATGGTCTTAGCGAGGGGATCAGAGGCCTGGGCGGCCTTAATCTTGTCAAGCAGCGTGGTATTCATGGGTGTGAGGTAGGCCGCGGCGAGTCGAAGGCGTTCGGGAGTCAGAATTGTGGTTGCCTGGGAGCGGAACGCTCCTTCCCCCTCTTTCAGCTCATGTTCGGAGCGTCGGGAGAGGGCATCGGCTTGGTGCTGCTGGGAACCGGGGCGATAGGTAATGACAAAGTCAAAATCCGAGAAGAATATCGACCAGCGGGCTTGGCGGCGGTTCAGGGTGCGGGTGGTCATGAAGTACTGAAGGTTTTTATGGTCGGAGTAAACGGTGATCTTGTGACGGGCGCCAATGAGATGGTGTCGCCACTGGGCAAAGGAGTCTTGGATGGCCAGAAGTTCCTTGTCGTAGATCTCGTAGTTGATCTCTTCGGCCGTGAATTTGCGAGAGTGGAAGGCCACGGGGTGGAGCTGATTGTCCTGGTCAGGTTGGAGGAGAACTGCGCCAAGAGCGAAGTCGGAGGCGTCAGTTTCGACGACAAAGGGCTTCTCTGGGTCAGGGTGATGTCTTTCCGGGTCAGGGCTGTGAGCGGGGTAGCGATCTTGGAATAACCTTGGATGAATCGGCGATAGAAGTTGGCAAAGCCGAGGAACCGCTGAACGCCTTTGACAGTCTTGGGAGGTTCCCAATCCGTGATGGCAGCGATCTTCGTGGGGTCCATCTGGATGCCTTTCTCGGAGATGATGAAGCCTAGGAACTCAACGGATTCGCGGTTGAATTCGCACTTCTCTGGTTTGGCGTACAACCCATGCTGTCGGAGGCGGGACAGGACTTCGCGGACATGTTTGGGGTGATCTTCGGGGTTCTTGGAGAATATCAGGATATCGTCGAGGTAGACGACAACAAACACATCGAGAATGTCGCAGAAGATGTCGTTCATCAGGTACTGGAAGACGCCAGGAGCATTGCTGAGTCCAAAGGGCATGACA